CAATCCAACCAGCATTTTATATGTTTCATTTCCAAGGTTATGTACTGTTTTCTCTGGATGTAATGTTTTCTAAAAACTGAAAAGAACCACATGGGTCTAAGTTTCCCAAAATTAGCTACATTATGTTGTAGACTCAGCCCCGTCTACAGGAAACTGTAGCGTAGGTTGCACGCAGGTCCCCCTTGTATTTTGGCTGTGTTTGCAAGAATCTGTTTAACAGGCCTGAGTGAGACGTAGCACAAACACAAACACAGGTCCAAACATGGTGGAGCACTTTAACATTTAGGTTTTTATCTTATTCACTGTCATAACTATTTATTTGTTATCATTGCTATTTATTTTGATGATACCTCTGGTGTGTCCTGTTGTGTCTGTTGCTGTTGTGACAAGATGAGTTTCGCCTTTGGGGGATCAAAAAACTTTTATTCTATTATTATCTGTGACCTAGCTTGTGAGCCGTCCCCTCAGCAGATTTGGTCCTTTCAAATATTGTGATAAATATATTTATTATGATGTATAACAAGTAAAACACCACTTCATATGTACCCAAAGATTTCTTTTATAATTAAGAAATTCAAAAAGTATCACCAAACTGACTCTCCTTGCTCTTTATCTGGGCCTACTTTAAACTGAATGCTGATTCGGTCAGTCTTGAAAACCAACTGCAAAGCGATATTCGGTCGCTGTGCTTGAGTGCGCTCATTACAGTGATGGCGAAACCTTCCCATCATTAACCAAACTAAAGCCAATAGCTGTTGAATGGAAGGTTGACGGCACGTATACTTACTCACAGCAAATAAATAGGCGGCTGTAAACAAAACACATTTTCTCTCCATTTAATCAAGCATTGCTGTTCCAGTTGGAAACACGTCTAATCAGTTCCTCCTGTTTTTTTTTCTCCCCTCCCTCACTCTCACCCAAATGCTGACTTTACCAATCCATTCAAAACTATTTAGCATTGTCTGCAAGCCGGGGCTGATAAATGCGATTGAAAAAGTGATGTCAGAGTCGGTTATAGGATCCCCTGACAATGTGCGTCTAATGCAGAGCTGTCACATCGCGCGGTGGTCAGTCCCTTCAAGCTCGGCTTTTGTCAGACTGCAGCGACTAATGTGATCGTGAACGAAAAAAGAACAATAATAATAATGAGCCCAGCCAATCTAACCCTTGCACAATGGTTCACTGACATGATTAGAAGTAAATAAAGTAATTACCCATCCTGCAGTTGGACAAAGCCCCTGCATATAAATAGGCATCATTATAGGGTACAGTGGAGGAGTTGGCTGAGCATTTGTACCTTTGGTGGAGAGCGATTTTGATCTAAATTGATTGCTATGGGATTATCCAGGATTTATTAAATATTAAGGCATTGACTTCCACTAATGTAGATAATTAGGGTTTATTCAAAGTCCAAATGAAATTGGCATAAAATGTGCATAGAAAGTGATTCATTACTAAGCTACTAGTCAATTCATCAATTATGATTTTCATTACATATCATAATTAAGAATGCTCAAGCTAAATTGATGTAGTTTAAAACTCTCATTACCCTGTTATTTGGATTAACAAATGCACCTTTTGAAATACAAATGAGGACGGAGAGTTCTGGAAGTGGCAGCAGCGTGAGCTCGTTAGTTTACTGGCGTTGACACATGAAGTGGTCGTGAAAGTTCAGATTGTCGTTTTGGGTTTAGACTTTTGTTTGGTGACCACGATAGTTTCTGCTACAAATAATATCTGCTATAACTCCTCACCTATGATAAGATAACATTATATACTCTATACTGACGCTAAACTGGAACTTATTAACAGAAAATCAAGACTCTGGTGTTTCTTGCTGCAAGTTGATTTATCTGTTCATGTTCATTCATTTTTTAAGGTTTCACTTCACCAAGCATCGTTGAACATCAGCGTTTATTAGTCCCTGTTTACATGTACCTGGTTATTTTTAAAAACCAAGACATTAACCATCGTTTACACCCTTCGTTTTGGCGAAAAATGGAGAATCCGCCCCTGAAAACAATGCTTTTTAAAAACTGCGGCTAGAGTGGAGATTTTGGAAAACTCCATTTGCACGTTTTGGCCCAATCCCAAACCACTCCCGGACACTCAGTAGTGAAGGGCGAGTGTGTAGGGGGCGGTTTGGGATTGGGCCATCGTTGTTCTTGCTGCTATGCGGGATTCTGATTGGCTAACGTGGGCTCAGGCTTCTCGCTACACTGCCACCTACAGGTTTGGCATGCTCTTGACGGCATATATAGCGTAAACGAAAACTTTTCTGAAAACATAATGGTGTGCACACAGTTTTTTTTTTTTTTTTTGTTAACTGAGAGGTTGAAATGTCTGTTTATGAAAATAGCTGGACAGGTGTAAACGCAGTCTCAGTCTAACTTCCTGTCTTTAAAATGAACATTTTCTAAGTGGACTTAACTTGAAAACATTCCGTTTTGGGAGCTGGTGAGTCCTGGCAACTTTGCCTGTCTGAAACAGTATGTAGTCTGACCTCAGTGTTAGTCTACTGATAGAAAAAATGTTGACCCGGTTCATCAAACAGCACAGGAAGGCCCCTAAATTAACGGTAAATTACCGTATTTCTCTGTTTCCGCCCAATTTTCACAACTTAATCGACACTTGAGAGAGTAAAACACACAGATAGACCAGAAATTCACCTGTTCCAACAGCACACTTTAGTTTGATATGTTTACAACCATGCGTACATGGCAGATGTACTATTAAGCGTCCTGAAAAGCCAAACTGCAGAGGCTGAGGACCACTCAAGGTCGTTTTGACTGAAAAGCCAAGGCGACACGCTCAAGAATAGAGAAAATCTCGAGGTAGAAACTCTCTTCAATACTCGAACTGAGAAAGAACTGCGAAAACATCACATGTACAGTCAAGCATATAGGTGTGGGAACTAAAGACAGCCTCTACTGTAAAAATGTCAGACACCGACGTGGCGATGACGCACCGGCTTTCAGACAGAAACCTTTAGCGCCTCTGCTTATTCTGCCCCCAGCTCTTAGCATAAATCAGATTGTGGAGATAGAGTGACAATTTCACGTTCATGACATAAATCCGTCGTTTGCAGGGTACAGCGCCATGGCAACAGTGGCAAAAATTCATTTGAGCACCTCCTCATGAAGTGTTGAGAGCTGCTTTAACAGAAAAGGGAACAGAGTCTGTGAAGAAGACGCTGGCGGCACATCACTCACATTATAGAGCCGGCAGAGACTTGAGTGCCCTGCTCCTAGTTGTGATTGGTGATTAGTAAATGTTTTGTCCCCGCCACAGATCTGGTTAATGGGAATGTGGACTCCCCCCGCTGGTGCTGGGGAGTTAATCACACAACAATGGGGTGCCGAGGAGGGGAAGGAAAGGTAGGGATGAAAAGGAACCGGGTCGGATTGAAGACTTCTCAAGACAAGGCCCCCAGTTTAATTGCCTTTGGATAATCTTATTGTCTGCTGGTCTTAACGCGTGACTCTCCCTATCCGACGCTCTCTTCGGAGTCGGGTTTTAGAAGTCGAGTTACTCACAGAGGCTGTTGATTCAGAGCGAGTCGGTGGCTTGAAGGAGACAAGAGAAGGTGTAAGGCAAGGTGCTCTGAAGGTACACGACTTAAAATTTATTCCTCAACTCTGAAAGTTTGAGAGTTTGACAAAACAGTCACAATGAGAACTTTGGAGAATCAGAGGAATGTCAAACCCGCCACACATCAGCTCTGGATCCAGGGTAACCTGCTCGCCAAGCCAGAAGAATGAACTTAGACATTTGATAGTAGCTATAAGGATGTTGAGCTTGTTTAGAAATCAATATTTGAAGGTCTGGATTCACTGGATGGATGCACTGCTTTGTAAACAGTCCTGACTGAAGTGTGAATCACTGCATTGCTGTATTTCTTAATGATATTCTGACTCACAAGTAGGGCTGGGGAGATTCGTCGACATAATCGACTACAAAAATTCGTTGACACAAAAGACATGAGTCGACGCGTTGCATGATGACGTAGACGATGGCTACTTCAGGTAACAGTGGAGGCGTGGATGGCAAACGAGCTCCACCTAATGGGGTCGACTTAAAACCTGCTTTAGTGAGATCTACGAACAGCTCCTCTTGGTCAATGTTTTTGTTCTTCCTGGCTTCCTCGTTCAAATTCCCAAGATCGTGCTGCTTTCATTCAAGGAGACGTGCAGTGACCTGTCAATCAAATAATCCACCGTTGGTGCAGCAAACGCCACAGTGGACGCTGCATCATACGCCCTGCATCCCATATCTAGTTCATTCACTTTCAGCAGTTAGCTCAGAGTTGAAGCATCAGTGTTGTGCTTTTATTTTAACACCTGCTAATTAACCAGCTGTGTGATCACCGACAATAGCTCGCTAATGCTAGTACTTGGCGCACGCAAGCTCCGCTGCACATGTGTATACTGATACACGAGTCCGAGGTAGAGCCATGTAAGAAAAAAACACATTTTTGGAGTGTGGTGGCTTATATTTAACCCTGGCGGTGCGCCATGATCGATTGCATAAAGTGGAAACGCTGTTATCTTGCACCGTGTTTTACTCAGCGATGTAAACAAACACTGTTGCCAGCATTTTGCTGACCGTGGCCTACAATGAATTGCGACATAATGTGCCTTTTTGGATGGTTGAGTGGCACAGACTTTCTCACTCTTAAAGGAAAGATGGTATGAATGTTATGTAGTGCCCTCGTAATTTGAGTTCATTCTTAAAGTAGTTTGATTCTGTGATAGCTCTTATTTGTCTTGTTGATGATGTAAGATATCACCTCATAATCTCAGGAATGTAAATTTTTTGGTTAAAGTTTTCAAATATCCCGCAGTTAAGGCAGACCTTGAACGCCTCATGTCCGTTTGTCCCTGTATTGCGTGATTGACAGGCGTCACGGGCGTATCGCCAATCATTGTCAAGTTTGGGTGAGGAGTGGGACCTGTCAGTTTTTGGGAAGGCGGGGTTTTCATCTCGGCGAGAGAAGCGGTGATTGACAGAGGGAAAAATGCCCCAGGGATGTCGAGAGAAGGCGAAATAATTGTGTGAAAATTTGTTCTTTCGGTTGTTAAGTGTTAAATGAAGACTTAACAGGATTGAGGCTCGGTGTGTTGGATCGGGGCGGGGGTGTGTGGTTGTTTCGAGACGTGCGGGTGAGTGTTGTTGGTAGATTCGGCTAGGTTCGTAAATGTGCTATATGCTAAATTGTTAGCTGACTAGCATTGACTGTGCAGGAGCAGAGGAAGACTGGAGTCAGGATTCACGTGCGAGGTCGGGTGTTAATTTCAAGTTCCTGAGTGAGTATCAGACTGATTATTGTTACCTCAGGCATGTTGTGAGTGAGTACGTGTATGTGAAGTTTTGTTTTTTTGTGCTGTCAGTGTACTTCGGATACTGGCCACTCGTGCTGCGACATTAGAGGTGCTCCGGACTTGCCGCGCCAATGACTTCGGCATGCGGACCGACTTTCGCTTTCTTCCATTCTGTGCTTCGGTGATGGTTGTAACAACACACAAAATTTGCAAGGAACCGTGAGTACAAACGACTTGGAAATCACACCCACACAAGAGCTCCATCAGCGCGCCAACGTACGTGGTACCACAGACTGATTTATAAAATCCCGGGTATTAAGAACTATTTTGTTTCTTTTTTTTTTATTTCTTTATCCTGTGAATAAATGTAAAGATTTGTGAATTTAAACGTGAAGTTCCTGTTGATTGATGTTGTGCACATTTGGGGGGCTATCTTAAGACATGCATGGGAGTTAACACTCACACAGACACATCACACAATTCCCTGGTTCATATTTTGTAGCATCACCAATTCCTCTCCCATGCAAAATACTGTGTGTATGATCCGGTAGGTAATAGTATTTAAAAAAAAATAGGAATTGAGTGAGGGGGCTACAGTTATTTATTGTTACTTGACAGTCATTATAACTCTGAGTAAGGTGAGCATTCACCTGTTAATGGAGGCTGGTGAGCAACAATAACCTATAAGGCTGGTTACCTGAAAATGGTTTATTACGGTTCACAGTATGTCGACCAGCACTAAGTGAAGGCTTTTGTCTCAGTGTTACTTACAGTTGAATTTAGATAAACTAAAAAACAATGTGAAGTTCTTTGTGAATGTAGAAAAACATTGATAAAAATTTACTGTTTTTTGTTTTGTTTGATTTCAAGAGAATCTTAAAAAAATCACTGAATTAAATACTAATGGGACAAGTTTTTAATTGTTATTTTGGTTAAATTCATCGTTATATTAATCAGTTAATGAAAAAAATGGTTGGAATAATCGATAAATTAGTCGATAGATTACTCAAGTAATCGAAAAAATAATTGTTAAATTAATCAATTTAAAAAATAATCGTTAGGTGCAGCCTTTCTCATAAGACTCTCTCTTGAATTTGGATTTCCTTCAACTGTGTTTGACGTATTTTGCACAGTTGCCCCTACCCTCTGGAACTCCCTTCCACCCTCCATCAGACACTGCCCTGACCCCACTACTTTCAAATCCTGTTCGAAACTCACTTATTTAAAATTACTTTTAATATTTAACAGTTTTATTCATTTTATTTCTACTGTTTTTATGTCCTTGTTTTATTACCTTGGGTTTTATGTTTTATGTACTATGTAAAGCGTGTTTAAGTGTTTTTAAAAGCGCTGAACAAATAAAACAAATTATTATTATTATTATTTATTATTTTGCAGATGAACTGAGGACAGATTTGAACCAATCATAAACCGTCTTCTCTTAAACTCCGCCATGACAGGTCTCTACAAATCCCTCACAGACACGGCAAAAAAGAAAAGCGAACTTAACCCCCTGTAGCTCTTCAGCACCAGGCCCTGCAAGTGGTCATGGGTAAAATACTATCTTTTAATTTTGGTCCTGTAACTAATTGGCTTTAATGAAGTAGATTCATTATTAAAGCACACATGGGAAATTCCACCAGGATTACTACTGTACTGGGCTAATAAAGCCAAACTACAGTCCATGAGAGGTAATAATTCTCATTGTCCTTCTGAGAATCACGGCGAGATTGCCGTGTTGTTGCCGACATGTAACATTTCCTTCTTCCCGCTGTTGTTGCATTGCTCTTGTGTATCCAACACGATTTCCACAGAGCTGAATGGATTGAAGGGTGCATGAAGGGAGATAAAACACCAGGAACCCTGCTGCACAGGCTTAGTGGAAGTCTGGTGTTTACATGACCAAACAACCTTAAAATAATGAGGCTCGGGGCACGCTGCTTTATTGTATTAATACCCTGTTTATGACCTCTATTAAAAATACACTAAGATCCATGTTTTTCTCACATTATGCTCATAATTGCTGGGGCATTAAAGTGTTGCATCGTAAACATGGGAAGTGTAAACATCACCAACTTCAGATTTATAATGAAGCTTATTGTGTGCACTGTAAAAGTAACCCCGTTTGGTTATAGACAGTCTAATTCACCATGATATTTTTGCAGTGCACTTTTAAATCTTTATGTATTTTCATGTTTTTTTAACGACACCAGCGGATCATCCTTGGCATGATCTGGATTTCCCGAGAACACACTCGTTCGTTTCCCTCGAACACGTGAGGAGTTGTAGCGCTCCTGCTCCAGGCGATCCAACATCAAGAAAGCTGCCAGCTGGTTGATCATAATTACAACCTCTGTGTGTTTTTCTGGTCCAGCTTGGATCAACCGAGTGAAAATATGGAAGCTGGCAGGTTTTCTCGTTGCATCAAAACCGTCAGTGACTGCCAAATCCAATGAGCGATGAGCCTGTCAGTCATTGTGTCCTTTTTCAGGAGAATTTCCCTCTCTGGAAATGAATTTTCCTCAGATGTAAAAACATTAAATGTATATTTACTCACAGTTAGATAACCTGTGGTTAGGATATTATCAAACCAAACAAGGTGCACAGATGTTTCTCCAGCCAGATGTTTATTACCGGCTGCTGCTGCTGCTGCTGCTGCTGTGTTTGGACGTGAGTCATTGTTTATGCATTGAACTGGTTGGCTCGTTTGTTGGTTATGGCGCATTATGATCCAATCTTTGTCCGGGGTGTTTGTTCACGTCAATCAGCAGCTTGAGAAAGTCGATGAAGTTAATAAACAGAGCTGGAGTTATGCAGATCTTGGGAATTCTGATTCCTTTCAACTTGTATGTGACGCGCAACATCTCTGAATAGTTGAGGACATTTATTACAATGAATTAGTAAAGACAGATTTCCAATTAGAGTTAATTAAAAGAAATAAAAATGACAAGAAAGGTGGATTGATTATCCTGTATTGAGTGTTTAAGTGTGAAGTCTTAAAGCTGTGGACGTGGTGTCCATGATTTCTAGAAATAATTACTTCTTTTCACTTCTGAGCGCGCTGACCTTAGTCTAATTTGCTTTATTTTAATCCTGTGAAAAGAAAGTGTGAATTTTTCTTTTTGATATTCCAACTGAGATGTTTGGAAATAATAAGAAATCTGCTTTTTAAATTCACAGTAGAGTCCTCACTTTAATCATAGGAGCAAAAAGAAGCAGGAAGACGCCGCAGCAGCTTAACTACGGCATGCCAAAAGGAGCAAAAAGCAAACATAACTCGACCCACATTGCGCTTTTATTGGCACATTCCCGCTGACAGCCTTCAACTCAAACTAAATAAACTTCAGCTTGTAAAAAAATGGTTATTTTTTTATCTCCTGTTGACAAAATATCAACCTAAGACGGCTAAATCCTTCCAGTTTGTTCGACAAAGGGACAATTTCTCTTGGCATTTGCTGAGTATTTCTTTATGTTATATGTCTTTTCATTTTTTTCCCCAAGTAATAAAACTAATTATTAAAATATTATTGAAAAAACTGACTATAATTAGATATTTGCACATTTTTGGACCTATTCTGGCTTGGGATAAAACACTGACGACACTTTCATCACTATACTTTATTTTATTTCTGTTTGCTGCATGTAAACAAATGACTGAATAAATTAGTCAGATAAAAAACCCAAACAGGCAGGATGAAGCCGTTTTCCATATGCTGTTCGGGATGAGGTTTGTGCAGCTTTCAAGCTGGGTTACAAGCCCAGAAATAGCTCTCAGCACTTTGCCATGGAAGAGGAAGGTGTAAAGACAGGTTTTATATTTCCAAATATATCACCTGAGAACGTCTGCAGATGGCAGGTCGCTCTTTTATTCAGAGGTGTGGTATTCTTTGAAAAAGCGCAGCTAAGAGCCTCGGCAACACGCTCTAAATGGAAGCTGAATAAAAACTCGTAGGGCCTCCGAGGTTGGTTATGCGGTCGGGTTCAGTGTGTGCCGGTGCTGCTCTGCCAAAACAGGTGAAGTCTACATCGAAGAAAGCAAGTTCTCTACTTTCTCCTCCGGAAAAATCTGACTGTTCCCCAGCTCTGCTTTGTTGAAAAGAATCCAAGCACTCGGGAAGAAGGAACTGCCACCTGCAGACTTTTTGGAGATGTTATATTTGGTGATGTAAAATGTGTTAACGTCACTTTCAGCCAGGACCAAGTTGTACATCTCAACAGGATGTCTGGAGGAAAGTATCTGCTACAATCTGTCAAACGGAGCTGCAGTGGTCTACCAATTACAGCTTTCGAGAAGCGAGCAGCTGTCTGGGCTGCACAGACTTCTGAGCCGCCATGTCTCATCCCGCATTACATACGTACTCCAATGTAAAAATGTGATGTAGTACAGAGAGACATGGGTGAAATACAGAAGGAGATTGAAGACTAGCAGGGACAGAAAGAGGATTTCACATCCAGTGATCAGAGAGATTCATTATAGCAGCTATTAAAATGATCCCTGGGATACCGTCTCAGATCAGGGGACAGTGCGCTGACAGTATGGGGACTCGGTGCTGATCAGACACCAGAATCCAGAAACCAAGGCTCTGCTGTAGTGAGGGCTGAGTGCATTTCTAGGTAACTGGTGTCCAAGCGCCGGCTCCTGTGTGAAAGCAGAATAAAGTGAGAGAGAGGGGGAAATCGAGAGGGTAATGAGATTCCACTGTAAATTGCAGCAGAGAATAAGGGCTTCTTGACTTGTCTGAGGTTTTTTCTACAGTATGTTGGAGGAGCCGCGAGGAAGTCTTTGCAATTTCTTCAATGGACCCTTCTAGGAGTTTCACAGCAATTTTCAACTCAGAGGCAGCTCGGGTCATTAGTATGGAAATCATAAACACATCAGGTCCTTTTGCAGCAATGGGCTCAAATTACTACACCACCTCCATTCAACATGGCGGCCTCAAGTCAATCCTGAGTGGATGAAACAGGCAGAAAAAACTCTGATTTATAAAAGTGGTAATTATTAACAGAGTAGGATGGTTTAAGAGCCCTGAATTTGAAACCCTGAATTTATCTGTTAATGAAAACTAGAGAAAATTTGTTTTGATAAGATCATTGGACATAAATTACGTTATATTTACACACCAAGTGCCTACTCCATCACTAATGCTGCAATAGCTATTGTCAGTGGGTGCCAGTGGTTGTCAGCAGTTGTTAGCTATTGTCAGCGGTTATCAGCAGTTGTTTGCTATTGTTAGCGGTTGTCAGTGGTTGTTAGCGGTTGTCTGAATGTTAGTGGTTGTCAGCGGTTTCTAGCTGTTGTTAGCCGTTGTCAGCTGTCCTTAGCTGTTGTCAGAGGTTGTCAGTGAATGTTAGTGGTTGTCAGCGGTTTCTGGCTGTTGTGAACCATTGTCAGCTGTTGTTAGCCGTTGTCAGCTGTTGCATCTGTTGTTAGTTGTTGCTAGCTATACCAGTTGTAAACAACACATTATACAGTATTTTACTCTTACAAACATCGTAGCACCATGTTCACGGTTGGACGTCGGGCAGTACAACATAAACCACTTATTTAATTTCACAAATAAAACAGGAGTGCTAATAAATTCAACTTTATTGTCATTACACTGTTCAGAACAATGAAATGAAATGCAGTTTAGCATCTAACCAGAAGTGCAATAGTGCAAGTATCAGATAATATTAACAACATAGATTAATATATTTGCATACCTATATATATTCACATAAATAAGAGATGGTATGAAGTTACTATTGTCAATATTACTATTGTTATTCAGGCGAGTTTTTTATTTGAGTTTCCCCGTAACCCTTTTTTTTTCTCTTTCTAATCAAAGGAAATTAATCTGTAACCGTGTCTTCAAAGCGTTCATGATCTTGATGAATTCTTCAGATTTCATACCTCTGTGTCTCCTCTTCAGCAGAGATTGTCCTTTAATAATGTTTACACCAAATCGAACCCGGCCGTGTGTTTGTTTTTGTTCAGGGTGTGAATGGCTTCATATTAGCGTGTCGTTTTCTCATATAGCACAATCTGCCCCTGCGTGTGAGTGTAATTGGGTTGATCAGGGGAAGTTACTGGATCACTTATGTCTCTACTGTCCATGATTACCAGCAAATCAACATGCTGTGGTTACCTTCAGTCAATGATGAATCTTAATTAGTCTCCTAATTGCACTCCATTTGCTCGCCAAGACAGAAACTATACAGAGTAAATTGTCACTCGTGAAAGCCATAAATCAGCAGTAATGTCTCAATCTACATGGGATTACGCTTCTCAAACAGCGGGTTCTTTTTTTTTAAAGCTTTGTTTGCTCTGAAAACACATCTGTTTATTCTCCTGTTTCCCCTCTTAATGCAGCAAACACAGACGACGGTATCAAAGGTGAGCTGGATCTGAGGGGTCGCTCACTGATGGAGATGGTTGAAATGATATTTCTGTGAATCATGTAAGCTAAACATGATCGACCCGTGTGTTGCAGACATGCTGACTGAGAAATTGAAATTGATTTCTGAAGGATGTTATTAAGATCCAGGATATGACTCGTCTACTCTGGTCTGGAATGTGATTATAGGTTATAATGTTTCATAGATGAGGACTGAGGTAAATATTTCAGAACTCAACCTATACATTTATTTTGGGCTGCACTTTCAATAACAGGATCTGTGATTTGTGAGGAATTTGTAATAATTGATGCTATAGTAGTATGTATAGATAGGAACAGTAGATACAACATGCCCCTATGTGGCAGCCATCTTAGCGGGGGCAACTTTCCCATCAAAGGAATTAGATATACATGTGAAATAAAATCATATCTTTTTTTTAATCAAATGTTCTGTATAAATAGCACATGTTTTGGCATTCAAAATAACAAACTGCATGAAAATCAGTTGAGAAATGAGCAAGTTATGATTTATTTCATGTGTACATCTCATGTCTTTAACGGGAAAGTTGCCCCCGCTAAGATGGCTGCCACGTAGGCGCGTCATACCACTTAGCTGGCTGCTACAGCACACTGGCTTATCTAGTCTTCTATATATATATACATTTATGTATGTGGTACAATGCTACTGTTAAGGCAGATCAATGTATGCAACGCTGTAGTTCAGAACAAGATCATTATTCTATTTATTATTACATATTGTAACGTATCCTTTCAAAATAAAAGAAGAGAATATGGAGGAGAGCTGATGTGGACTTAAAGTAGAGTCCAGTTACTTTCAGTTAGAGGTCAGTCCTTTTTTTTGTTGTATTTTCAGTCATTTAACAGTATTAGGTACAGGGGGCTAATAAGTGCAATTCCATTGCAATGACCTGTATGTTTGCAATGAGCGAGAATCAGGCGGCAAAACCCAAAGCTACGGAAGCCGAGAACGACCACTGATTTTATTTGATTTGATTTTTTTAATGCACTGTCATCTCATGATAACAACTTATTATCTTGTTATCTCGACATAACAAACATTGTTTTCGCATGATAATGGAAATGGCATTTTAGCCAACCTCAACGGTAACTTTTAAAAAAACACCCTCCAGATTAGGATATTTCTGAAACGCCACAGCCACCGACATCAAATCCGGGTTTTTAATGAAAACACTGACGGCACGCTCCCTTTTGCGCCGGTGCATTACACTTTCAACGATTCTCACACTGCAGTAAATGTTCCTACACCTTAAGTGTAATGCGCTGTTGACAACGGTGGCCGCGGTGTTTAGAAATATCCTCATCTGGAGGGCGTTTTTAAAAGTTATCATAGAGGTCAGATAAAACAACATTTCTGTTATCGTGAGAGATCTTTGTTTCATCGACATAACGGAAAAATGTTGTATCGAGGTAATGAGATAATAAAGCATTATCATGACAAAAAAAGATACACCAAACACACATAACTGAAACTCTTCAAACATATTTACACTCACTGCCTTTTATTTTTTTTTTCACGTTTATTAATGAATTCTTAATCATGTTGGTTTACTGTCTTAGTCCAATCATAAACAGGCCTTCAGGAACCCCTATGCAGCTTAGATTTGACTAACTGAAGCTGTCAGAGTTTTTTAGACTCTTTTTTTTTGTTTCCCTCTAAAGTTTAGATCTCCTCCTCAGCTTCACCCCCCAACTCCTGACTCCACAGGGTGTCAGACTCCTGTCAGAGAAAAAGAAAGAACACCTTCTTTCAGAGACCTTCTGGGTTAAATAAGAAAAATGTACATCAGTATATCAGACACAAATGTCCTAACCTCGCTCCCTCCATTTCTGTATGCTAACAAGCATTTTTCAGATTGTTTACCACCGTGAGGTTCACACTTTGTTTCATCACTCAACCTCTTTCAAATTCTCGGTTTTGCTGAGTGTCAGAAACGCAATGTTTCCATGAATAATGAATGTCAGTTTAGCCGGCCAAGAATAGTGTCAGCTTTACATATGCATTATATATACTGTAGGTTTGTTAGGGTAGCAGGCTGCTGCTGTTTCTAACGCGCGGCTGCAGAGTTTCTGTTGATGTGTTTTTCTTCCTGACAGCGAGGAAAACATCTCCCAACCTGCTGCAGGTTGTTTGGACTCATGTGCAGAATGGCTTCATGCTGGGTCATCCTTTGAATCAGCCATGCCTGGATCAGTCCACCAATTATCTGCCAGTCTATAATACTCAACAGTACAAGTCTGCTCTTCCAATACCCAACAGGTATAATTTTGCAGAACTTAATTGGCCAGATCAACTTTTGCTTTGGGCGAAGCACCGTCTTGGCATACAAATGACGGAGCTGTTTTCATGTTTGGTGGATGGTATGAAACTTAAATCAGCGTCTGAGAGACGAACAAAGTCAAAGAAACACCTTTTTTTGTTTTATCAAAGAACTTTGTGTTGGATCTGGTTTATCTGGGTCAGTGAGCGGGGTTGTTACTTTCTCAGACACTGTTTTGACAGATTGTTAAGTCTGGGTTATACATGGTCTCTATCTCAATTACAGGAGGTAGATAAGCCTGCACGCTTTAGTTTGTGGCTGCTGGGTTATTATATCCTCTATATGCTATCAAAAAAAAAATAGAAAAACTCCTGTGATTTGGGTGTTAAAGTCTTTTTGAAAACCTCAATTTAACGCAAAGGTAAACTATCAAGATTTCATTATAGAGCATGTGCAGTTACATCTTTACATCCTGAAAACCTAAAACCTGAATTAATGCATAATTTTAAAGCTATAAATGCAAGTTTTGAGTATTAAAAAGCAATAAATAAAGTCATGTTCAGATTGGAAACACTTTCCCACCTTTCTAAAACATTGTTAGACCTGAACATGTTAATGAAGACTTAAAAGGGATATTCCGCAAAAAAATCAAGCCAGGGTCAAACCATAGACTGTATATACTATAGATAACTTGGTCCCGCCTCCCGTTCGTATACTGATTTGAAACCAGTCTGACAATAACTACATGTCAACAAGCGGGGGGAGAAAAGCTTATATTCTGTGAAATAAATCTCTAAAGTTTGTCCACAGCTCCATAAGCTGAGGCGGGATTTATGACCTATACTGCAGCCCATCAACAGAGGGTGCTGTTCTCGGAGTGGCTTCACCCAGCGAGGAGGCAGACGGCGTCCATTCTATATACAGTCTTTGGGTCAAACACACCGTAACACCACGTTAGACACCCCCTCGGAAGATGAACATTGCCGACCGCTTGCTTCTCTAGTTACACCAACTTAAGTAACGACCGCAGAATAGCAATACAGAGAGCCACGCGCTCAACCAAAACACCACTCTATAGCCACAAATAATGATCAGAACAGCACCTAACTTCATCAACAGGACATATAGGGTCACAGACATAGTACTAGACACCAAACATCTTTTTAGCTTTGACTCATTTCTTTCGCAAAGAGACTAAACACAACTCAACCACTCTCGCTTGTTTGTAGCAAGACCTCAGGCTAGTCCATTAAGGACTACAGCGGGGTGTCGCAACTCAAGGAAGAACATTTATGATCATTTCTTCATGGAAATGCAATCAGACCGAGACGCTGAGGCAGAAGAACTACCGCGTCTGAAGTGCAAAATGATTAATATGGTGATTATTACTTCAAGAAAATGATAAAGTAATAATGATAATTGTGCAGTTACATATTAATCTACATCCTGAAAACCTAAATCCTGCATTAATGCGCAATTTTAAATCTGTAAATGCAAGTTCTGAGTATCAAAATGTGAAAAATAAAGTCAAGTTCAGATTGGAAACACTTTCCCACCTTTCTAAAACATGGTTAGACCTGAACATGGTTCTGCAGACTCAAAGCTTCGGTGAAAACTCATTTTTATCTCCTGTCAGTCTTCCTTAAACTGCCATTTCATGCTAGTTCATACACTGACAATGACAAAAATCTGTTTGTGTTACTATATAGTGATTTTGTCGTACCAGGGGACTGACTTGGTTCTTTTCCCGGTCTTTTTGTTGCACTGATAGGCGAGGAAATATTGAACTGTCACCTGTAGGAGGGAAGAAACAAATAGAAAGATTTCCCAAGAAATAAGCCCTCCATTGGTTTTCAAATCCAGGGCCACATTAGTAAGTTTCCGCTGTATTTGGCAAAAGACAATCAATTGCCGCCACGAGTGCCCCAGCTCCATCCACCACTCATCTGCATACAGAAGCAGCCATATTGCACATGATCTAAAAGGGTAAAAAATGGGCTGAGAAAACAGAGGGAAAGGGTCATTAAGCACCAGGTTGGGAGACAGAGAGAGACAGCTAGGGAGACATAGAGTCCCAACTTCATCAAGATTAATCACTGACATCTGGTGCCTTGGAGGACCTAGTTAGTAACCCTCTGTTTTCCCCCTGGTTGGGTGTGAATCATCGATGGCAGGCGGCGACGCAGGATGCGCAGCCCCGGTTTGCCTGTTGTAGCTTTTGTCACACTGGGTGACAAAAGTGTGTAATGAATGACAGTGAGGGGGTAAAGTGTGAACAAAAACACTTGTAATGCTGCCATATATTTTCATCTGTAATTCAGCCGTGGTGTGAATACAGCAGTTATGGCACAGCAGAGATTATTGTGTACACCGCGGCTGTCTGTGCTGACAGACGAACCAAGATAGATGTTCAGACGGAGAGATGGATGAAGGAGCTGAGAGAGGGCTGCAGAAAAAGATAGATAGATAGATAGATAGATAGATAGATAGATAGATAGATAGATAGATAGATAGATAGATAGATAGATAGAGGAAAGGTGATGAGTGATGATAAACAAATTCACAATATAGAGATAGATGGAAGGGATAGATGATAGGTTAATGGATGGATGGACGGATGAATAAAAGGTTAATGGACAGATGGATGGATGGACGGATGGATAATACTTAATGGATGGATGGATGGATGGATGGATAAAAGGTTAATGGATGGATGGATGGATAAAAGGTTAATGGATGGATGGATGGATAAAAGGTTAATGGATGGATGGATGGATGGATGTAAAGGGTTATTGGATTAGTGGATAGGTGATGGACGGATGGATAACAGGTGAATGGATGGATGGATGTAAAGGGTTATTGGATGAATGGATAGATGGATGAATAGATAGAAGGATGGATTGATGTATGTATTGATGCATGAAAGGTTAATGGATGGATGCATTATTGGATGGATGGATGGATGTTAGGTTAATGGATGAATGAATGGATTGATAAATGGATAAAATGGATGAATAAATAGAAGGATGGATGGATGGATGTTAGGTTATTAGATGGATGGGTAGATAGATGATATGTTAATGGAAGGAAGGATGGATGGATGAACAAGTCTAGAAGTTATGGGATAGATGGATGGATGCATGATAGATGGATGGATGATAGGTTAATGGATGGATGATAGATGGATGATAGGTTGATAGATGATAGATAAATGAATGGATAGCTAAATGGGTGGATAGATAGAAGGAATTATTGATCGATGGCAGGTTAATGGATGGATGGATGGATGGATCAATGAATAAGTTAATAGATGGGTGGATGGATAAATCAATGGATTGATTGATTCATGGTTAGATTGACATATTGATAAACTAAATGATAGATGGACTAATAGAAAGATGGAGGGATGGATAGATGAAAAGAAAAAAGTTAAAAGTGAGAATTAGTGTAACAATAAGAGGATATGAAATGATGGATGGAATTATAAAAAAGATGGATAAACAATTAAAAAATGAATGAAGGATGAATAAATTGTAAAACAGAATGAAAGGATGAATTAATTAACAGAAGATGATTAAATGATGGAAGAAAAGAAAGAACAGATTAATGTGGAAAATAAAGGATGAATGAGCCGATGCAACAAAGGAAAAAGATAGATAGATAGATAGATAGATTCTCTCTATATTTCAGATCTAAGGTGGTGAAAGCTGTAAAACTACGTCATCTCAGTGAAGTGAAGTTAAGAAAGTGAGGATCTTAAACGTATATATTTAAAAGATCATGATGGAGATGCTGTGAAGACAGAAGTTATGGCTCATCTGATTAAAATTTCCATACATGCCAAATGACTCCAAGGACATCCATAAATCCTGCTTTTACAGCATGTATGTATGTATATGTGAGTGTATTCATGCATCAGTTTAATTAGATATACGTTATGGTTTCATTTATGTAGGGTTGGTCCATATAATCAATTATGATCACGGCTATAAAGCTCATAATTTGGTGAAACTCTGATCCATGCGAGGCGCCGTATAACTGATTTAAAAATAAAAAAATAAATGGAGAGAGAGGGGGGGAGAATCCTTGACACCTATTGGTTGATTTAACAGAGTCCTGCTCGCAGATTTCATGGAGGGAGATGAATTGATGGCGAGGAGGGGAAAGACAGAGAAGGTCGTGCGAGAGTGGGAGCTTGAGGGGGAGAAAGACGGGGTGGGGGGAGGGGGCAGGGAGTCAGAGTCCTCTCTATTAACAGTGGGCCTGAAGGGGGCTCTTCTTACTCGCGCCCCATTCTGGCTACGCTACATTATTCTGTTCGGTTTGGGCCCTGGGCTCCGGCTTATGAGGAGAGACTGTGACCCACATCTACACACTGTTATTTAGACACAGTTACTTCTTGTTGTCGCTGCAACAGCTAAGGCTCGGGCTGATGCTGGATGCAGCGGTGGATCAGGTGAGACACTTGATGCTGAGCCGGATGATGGAGCCTGAAAAGAGTGTGATAATTAGAGGAGCTGCAGAGGGACACTGGAAACCGAACAAACACTTTCCTCTTACAAGGAGTGCAAATTAACGTGTGTGAAAAATTGAGATACTATCCTTTTTTATCACAGAACCAAAGAGTCGTTGGTTTTGCCCAACCACACCGACGTGGTCTTCTTGTTTGAGAGGTTACCGAACACGACATTCATGCTTTGATATCTCTCTCTCTCTCTGTCTGTGGTTTATTTTCCAAACCGAGCGCTGATTCTTGACCTCCTTTTACAACACGAGCTCTTACATTAAAGTCTCCAAGAACTTGTAAAGATCAGGAGTCAATAAAGATAGCAGTGTTAGCGGTGTGAACTCTTCACTGAGGAATTGTAGCAAAGTCAAAACGAGGAGAAAAGGCGATGAGATCATCTGCTGCTGAATCAAACAACTGTTTTTCATACTTGAAGGACTGAAGATCGTGTTTTATCGAGATCAGAAGACAAAACATGATGAAATCGGGTTTTAGTGATTGCCTTCTTTATTTAACTTACACATAAAAAAAATGAAACTGCTTTCCAGTCCGGCCAAAGTCTAAAAGACATATTTCCATTGAGTCACTTCTCAGATATAAGACTGAATTGGTGTATCATCATTGTGGATTTTTCAAGTCTGGCTTTGTCCTCAGATTTGGCTTCAGTCTAAAAGGATTACCGTAAACTTCTTAAAGTGTCAATCAAAAGTGGGGTATTTATGTATGGAAAAATGTGGTATTATTTAAGTTGAAACCATCTTCAAAAGTTCTCATAAACTTCTCAATGAAATCACTCAAAGTAATTAATGAGTAGGTTGTAGTTCTGTTAAAGTTTTCTCTTTATGCTGATGATATCATTGTATTTTAGAATTGGTGAAAAATTTCCAAACCTTTGCACAAGTGTTAATCTGTTAGTCTTTTAACGCTGGTTTGATAGACAAAAGTGTAGCCATCTAGAAGTTATCATGTTTTATCTGGATCAGAAGAAAAAACAAGATGAAACCAGGTTTTAGTGATTCTCTTCTTCATTTAACTTAAACATTAAAAAGTGACACTGCTTTCCAGTCCTGCTCAGAGGTAAAAGAAGTAACTTTAAAAACTCTAAAAGACATATTTCCATTGAGTCACTTCTCAGAAATAAGATTGAATTGGTTCTCATAAACTTCTCCATGAAATCCCTTAAAGTCATAAATGAGAAGGTTGTATTTCTGTTGAAGCTTTCTCTTTCTGCCGATGATACCATTGTATTTTAGATTTGGTGAAGATTTTCCAAAGCTGGGCACACGTGTTAATTTGTCACTCCCTAAGTATTAGCGTCACTTTTTTAACATTGAAGTGGAGCCATGTTGAAGTTACCAAAGCAGAACAAATTTAAGCATATAAGTGTTTAACTTGAGTCCGACTCTGGAGTTTGATCGTTGCTGCCATAAGTTTAACGCTGCAGTCTGGGGGAAAACGTGACAGACTTTAAAGTAATTTCAACTTTAACCCAACATTTCAAACTTCAGGAACATTTAATTCTGACATTGATTTTTTTGGATCAACAGTTAAAAAAGTTGAATTTTTGATCAACTTTTCAACTCTTGGATTTCACAGCTTTTTCAGTCTGAGCTCAACCTTGTAGGAAACATCAGGAGATGATTTTGTTTTACGATTTAACTTTGCTTTTGTTTCTCTTTTGTGTGAAATGAGTCTCATAACCATAAGGTAATAAAAGAAGAAAAAAACAAACAAACATGTTAATCTGGCTCAGACAGGCTCTGTTTTGTTCAGTCCCAACAAATATAATACCCCATTTGAGCCATCTATCCTGCATTTCCAAGGGCGTCATCTCATTATTGATTGGAGGAAAGTGAAGAGATATGGATATTACTACGCTGAAGGCCACCGAGGTACTGAAGGTGATTCATGGGAGGGTCTTCCTCATAATTCAGGCCCTGGACAAATAGTTCATTTCCAACAGTGTTGGCATTTGAAGAAATCAAATCCTTGAGGTGAATTTAAAGCAGGCCCAGAGGCGGATCTGTACCTCGCGCTTACCTGCAGACTCCTGTGAGGTCTCGCAGTTATCTTTCAATTACCTGCACAATATACCTCCCCCCCACGCACAAACACCTGCCCTCCCTAATCCACTATAAGCACTAACCTCCAACATCTCTCACTGTTTCTGCCGCAGACAAAACTATTACTCTTGCTATTTTTATCTCTTTGCAGTGTTTTTCATCGTAGCAGCATCCATTGTTGCACGAAATCGCTTTGAGATTATCGTTATGCAGATGCAGATGAAATACTAGTTCTGGCCGTGCAATTTTTCACTGCAGGGACCAACTATTATCATTTTCCTGACCATGCCCTTTCTGGTAATTCTCCTCTATATAGCCTCAACCTTTCTTATGGCTGTCAGTTGAAGGGAACCAATTAACATATTGTGTCCGAGGGAGTCATTTTCTCGCCTTCCCTCCCTGTGTTTTTGTCACACTGCTCGCTCGCTCGTGGGCAGAGTCGCACAAATTAGCGGTGTGGGCTGGAAGGCTCAATTACCTTTTAAGGACTTTAGAGGTAGTCTGTGTCCGTGTCTGCCTGTCTCTGAGCTTCTTCCAACCTGCCTCGATAAGGGCATAAAACAAGAGGGGGGGGTTCAGGGGAGAGAGGAAGAAGAAGAAGATGAAGAAGAAGAGGAGCAATTGGTGCACTGGGGCTGGGTTGAATTTCTAAATGATCTGATTCCTGTGTCTGCACTGCGACTCACTGTTGGCATGCCTGTTTCCCCTAGAGACAACGGCAACTCTCCTCCTCTCATCAGCCCACCACGCTCTCACCCCACCGCCTTCCCCCTCCACCACATATCTCCCTCCTATCTTCCATTGTGTGCGAGGGGACAGCCAGCAGAAAGTCCATTTGAATAGGATGGCAGGGGTGTATTCTCAGAGGAGCAGCACCACTCTGCGAGCCGTGCCAGGCCTGGCCTTGTTATCCATCTGTGACCATGTAATGGAGATGGATACTGTAGCTCTGGCAGGCTGAAATGGGAGAGAGATACATGGGCCAGTAGATATCAAGCATCTGAAAGTGTGAAAATGCTGCAAGCGTTGGAAATGTAAAGCGTTCGGCAAGTAGGGCTGTGATGGGGGAGATATCAGTGGTGCTGATACTGGGAAGTACTCGCAGCGCTCCCACTGTATGGATGATGAAAATAAGTCATGACCCCTGGGAGTGAAACTCGATTATACGACAGCCGGAGCCTGAATCTCATGGTTTTGGTTTGTTTTGATCAGAGAGGATGGATTCATTGAACGACAAAGTCCACGATATGAGCAGGTAATGAGTCAAACGGGTTTAAAACCCCAAAAATCTGGATTAAGGCTGCAGGATATTGGAAAAAACTAACATTGCAATGTTTTTCAACCCTGCGATATATATTGCAATAATAAAAAATACAGGAATTTTCACCAGATGACCTGAATAGTGCTTGGACAGTTAACCTGCACCGATCTTACCTCTTTTGTGAATGTTAGTAGAATGGTTTCTGTCTGTCTCAGAGATATTTTTAGCTTTGTGGTGTGTCGTGGAAAATCAAGTGTAAACTTAGTAAAACAATTTACAGGAGACAGGATGAGATCTGAAGAACAGCCTGGGCGTCTTTTATCGTACGGATGTAGAAATCAGAACAGATGACAAACAGAGTCTTGACCAAACCCAAGGAAAGCCTCCTAAGCTTTTCTTCTTCTCCCTTTTATACTGTCCGGTGTTTATCCGAATACAGTCATTGTGTACTGCTTATTTAAGTCATAAGGGTGATCTTTCGTCATCATGGGTACATCGAATCTTCCCATGATGACGTGTTGTCCTGTTCTGGAACTCAACACTTTGTTTAGATTAGTTTTACCTCTCCCAGAGATTAGCTCTAAATGTTCTGGCAGACAGACAGTTTTGGTCCCTTCAAAACAGCCTTGCTTACAACCTCTCAGTTATGAGACTGCATAAATAGGCCAACCCAGATTATTTGTAACCCCTCAATAAAAGATAATCACTCTATATTTCTTAACCTAAATGTATGAAAAGATTCTACTACAGGTGGGACGTTATTGTGGCGACAGATGAACACTGAACACGTGTTTTGGTCGACATCATCCTTCTTGTAACTGAAATAATTCCAGTTTACTGACTTTCCTTTTCTTTTTACCAACAAGTCTTCATTTTCGCTGGTTTTCTCTTGTTTGTCTCTTGTTGTTGTTACCGATGTTGTGCCGAGAAATGCATGCCCACTGAGAATTGCATGCACCTCGCATAGTAGAGCGGTCCATGGAAACGAACGATTTAAAACCCATACAATTCTTATTTGTTGGGCTAAACAGTGATGAGGAATGTTCCAAAAGTAATTCTCAACAGGTATGCATTTCTCGGCACAACATCGGCAGCGCCAGCGACTCACTCCATGTGCAGGGGTGTGGTTTCCTCCTCTCTGATTTTGATTGACAACTGGCAGGGTAGTCTGATTGGCAACTGAGTAAAGAACGACAGTGATTGGTGGATTGCTGAAGTCACATGAAGTGTATCTCAGTCAGCTTCCCTTGAAATTAGATGAGATCATTCCCCTCCAACATTGCAGGCTCTGAATGTGACTATCGCCCACACGTACATCGCCATGACGATGCTCCAATGATATATCGTGCAGCCCTATGTTGGATGATGTTGGATGATCTGCTATCAAGCTGAGGTCCAGAAACACAGGAACCTTTATTTTCTTTGGTTAGTCCATAGCTTTGATGTTTCTTTCTTCAATCCTCCAGGCTTTTATTCTGAAAAGTTTTCTTTTCCAAAGCTTTATTTTTGAGATAAAACACAAGGACGGCGAACCTGCAGCCTCCTTTGAGCAAAAACAGCTCGTTCTTCTCTGACCATATTTCAGCCGCCGCCCGTTCCTGCCTCTGCTGAATTTATGATATATGATATTTTTGTTAGACTCAAGCTGACCAAGAAGTCCCAGTCAGCAGTTAAATTCACACATTACAGAGGAAGGCAGGTTACCCTTTATTTATTGATATTGTTTGATATATTTATAAGTCCGAGCCCATGCATTATACATGCGGTCATAAGGCCTGCGCACAACAGGGAGATCAATGTGATGAAAAGAAAGAGGAGAAATGCAAGCCTTAGGAGCGCTGCCATCAGAGGCGTCTGTTTAATATAAATGAAAAACCAAACAGGAAACATATGACATGTTCATTTGCTTATGATGAGGCGGAGATTGAGGCGGCAAATGGAGTCTGATTTATTATGTCAAGACTCACAAATAGCTGTCCGAGTTCCTACTTTAAAGTCTGTCCCTTTAGTTTGATCGACAGAAACAAACTTTGTGCAAAATCTCTTTTTTAAGGAAATTTAACTTGACTTTAGAGGACAGCTGATGAAGGACAGATTATAGAGTCACTGTTATGTCCATGCATGCATCTCCACCAACATCCAGTTTGTTTGACCTCCTTGGCCCGCCCACGGTTGGCTGTACATGGTATATGCTCATATCTGCTCATGCAGGTGAAATGCACAGGTAGGTGATGTAGAAATGAGGCATAAGTGGTCCTACTGCAAACTTCAAATCCAAGAGTGCTAAAGGAACCAAAACAGCTCATAAACAGAATCAAATAAGGCTTTTGTAACAAACATATAATATAAAAATATGATTTAATAATACGGTAGTGCTGTATGAGTAATTGGTTTCCAGTTTTCATTAAATAGAAACAAACTGAAGAAGAATCAGGAGCCACATTCATTTTTAATCCAAACAACAATAAGAGCTCTGTGGTCTTTAAAAAACGTTCAAACTATTCTGTTTGCTGTTTTTATTTAACTCCTAAATTTAGGATTCACTGGAAATGGAGTATCCCTCCTTTCAAAATAAAAGCATGCTTGTTCAAAAGGAGAAATAAAGCAACTAAACACAAGATCGTTAAAAAATAAAAGCATCACATACAAAAGCTTCATGAGTCAGTCTATAGAAACGGGGCTAGTCATGTAGATAATGACATGTATGTAAGTCCGTCACATTATTGAAATAGTTTAAGAAGTAATTCTACTTTTATCTCGCCTTAGTTTTGCTGGTTTAATTCTTTTTTTAAATTTGGTTTTGCATAAACCAAACTAATGTTTTTGCTTTTTTGTTTTGCCAAAATAAAACCATGAGGTCAAAATTTAGTCATGCAACAGTCCAGATTACTCAATACATTTTTACGGGTAATCATTATTTTCAAACTGTATGTTTAAATTCCATTATTTTAGCTGACATCAGTCTGGTTAGCTTGTAGATTTTAGCTTTAATTGAAAGTACTACAGTGATATTTAAAGTTTAAACTACTTGCACAATTTGCATGTTGATTTTCTATCATGGTGGCAGCTTAACTACAGTGTTCTGTATGGGACAAAAAGCATGTGAATAAAAACATGTTAATTTGAGATGTTACTACCACTTCACTGCGACACATGCGACCGAAGCTTTCGGTGTGACTTTTCTTTTTTACTCTTCAGCTTATGGACTTTACGGAGGGTTATCTAGACATAGTCTCTCCTGCACAAGTCTGAGCTTTCTGAGTATTTTTCCTGTGGATTGTATCTCTGAGAAGAGCAATATTGCACTATTAGACATGTTTCTTACAAGCACGGCGATCAATATCAATAGACTTAAAAAAAGAAAAGAAAAGAAAAGTGTAAAAAATAGAGAATCTATCCTCGTGTGTTGCTTTGGAAATGTTACAGGGAGAAATGTGGAAGTTTTTTCAGAATGACTGGAGGGGCTTTGTGGAGGTTTTGAAAAATCCCATTATGATCAATAATAGAAGGGTCCATGTGAGGGAGGAGTGCAAAAGGAAAATGCAAATATCTATAACTGCAGCACGTGTTTCCACCTTTGCCTCTTTGACTGACGACTTTTGTTCAAATTAAATCTAAATATCGTCAGAAAAAGGTTCCTGCGTCTGGTCCTGGTGCATGACTGAAGGAGTCGAGGAGTTCTTTGTCTAAAGTAGGGTATACGAGGGAAAAGGTGTGGGAGGTGCATGGAGGGAGAAACAGGATTTTCACACTCAATATTGCATGGCTTGACAGCAGCTTTTCGCCTCACTCTGCCCAGTTCAGTCATGCAGGATTGGTCTGCTTTATGTGGCTGTGCACACTCTTTAAGTAGGAGTATTTCCAGAAAATATGCCACCCTGAGTCCTGCATGCTAATGAAGTAATTATGATCTTATTTCATATTTTGCTGTTTTTAACGGCTTCATTTCTTTTAAAAAGTTTAAAGATGAAGATTTGCTTCATTTGAATCCGATGTTAAAGCTCCGAGTTGCCTGACAGTCACTAGATGTGTGTTATCAAAAGGGGAAATGCTGTGAAGTCTTTGTTGTTGGGGGACTTTGATCCTCCACCAGGGGTCACTGTTGTGAAAGGAGATTGATCTCCACTAACCCCCCCTCCTGAGAAGATCAATGAGTCCAAGTCTCTACGGTACAGCTCCCCCCAACAGCTCCTTTCTGTGTATATCAGTGTCTCAGTGTGTGTGTGTGTGTGTGTGCTTCATGTAAGAAAAAGGGAGTCAGAGGAGATGTGTGTGTCTGTGTGTGTGCCTGCATACACAGTTGTCATTCCAGCGCGCTGTCATTACTCAGGCTGTGTTGAGAATATGTAGTGCTAAGTAGTCAGAGAAGAAGCAAACTAACTGAATGTGAAAGTGGTCCTGGCTCAGGTGCCAGGCTGGACCTGCTTACGGCTCCTGAATGTGAAATGTTTCTGTGCGCCGCGCTGGCAGCAAGGTGAGTCAGGAGCTCTGCACAAGTCACAGAGTGTTAGCTCGATGACTGCTCGCTTGTGGACTTCTTCTGGTCTCCTCCTGTACGCGTCTATCCGAGGGTGTCTGTCCTTTTCTCTCACTGGGCTGTAATGAGGCGTGGGCACATACAGTAGTCGCAGGAAACTAATAGAAACAAAGGCTCAGCTGACAAGTTGTACATATTTATTGTTGGTTTCCTGCGTTTCTTATATTCAAGATTATACTTTTGCTACTTTTGGGTTTGATTAGTGAATAAAAATGTGAAAATTAGCACCCCTGGTTCTATTTTTCTCTATGCTAACATTTAATAACTCAAACTTGTCAGGTATAAATTCAAAATAAAGGAGCAAAAAGAAAACTTGATGCTCTGTGATGAATATTACAGCAGGTTAAAGTTAATTAACCTTAATTAAGAGTCTGATTCCCATATCTATGCTTTTGTCATGTGTCACGTCTGTTTTATTTCACATTTTTATTGCTCTGTCAATCATTCGCTGCTTCAAACTTTATATTTCAAGGACTTAAATATGCCACTAAAATAAGCTATCCTGGCATGTTTATGTTTTCACTTCAGCTGACATTATTTACAGTCTGACTTTATTGTTGATTTTAATGCTTAATTCTTAGCTGTCAAACATTTAATTTGTTGGTGAAAAATCACGAAATTTTAACAGTTAATCCTGATTTATTTGATTTTTAATGTTTAAAACTCAATGATATTAATAAGTACTGGAGTTTTTAAAGCATTTTTTAAATGTGAAGCAAATCTAACAGATCTATACAGGCAGTAAATGAACTTTATATTCCTGGATTTGAGGTGTATTAGTCAAATAATGGCTCCACCACTGTGATTTAAAGTAGGCGGCATCTTCAGAGTCATCTGTCTGTAAAGTAAGGTTTATATTCATAAATGTAGAAGTGTATTCTCCAGTCTGTGTCAGTACAGTGTGCAGTCATTCTGAGGTCATTTTTATTTCTTACTAACATCCAGTGATTCCTTGTTAATGCAGCAGGATCTGGACTCTTCAGGAGTTCAGTTAATCAGCTTCCTCTGTTTCGTACACATCCTATCAACGTGAAATTTGTTCCCTATGTTGGTATGGCAACCATTTATCGTTTAACATGTCAAGTGAACTTTGTTTTTTTTTTATTGGAATTGCACTTTTCAGGAGTTCCAGTTAGGTTGTTTACCATGATGGTGCCCAAGGTGTAACTGGTCTCAATTCGGCAACTTGGACCTTCCTTAAAGGGATATTGCGGTGTACAATTAATATAGGGTCAAACACACCGTAACACCGAGATAGACACCCCCTCGAGAGATGAATGTTGCCGACCGCTTGCTTCTTTAATTGTACCAACTTTAGTAACGACCGCACGATAGCAATACACAGCGGTCTGAGGAGCCATAAACAAACCTCAACCAAAACACGACTCTACAGCCACAAATAATGCTCAGAACAGCACCTCACTTCACCAACAGTACATATAGGGTCACAGACATAGTACTAGCCACCAAACATCTTTCACCTACTCTCTTCCAGCAGCCGCTTGTTTGTAGCGAGACCTCGACCAGTCCATTACGGACTACAGTGGGGTGACGCAGCTCAAGGAAGAACATTTATGATCATTTCTTTATCATTTTCTTGAAGTAATAATCACCATATTAATCATTTTGCACTGCAGACGCTGTAGTTCTTCTGCCTTAGCATCTCGGTCTGATTGCAACTCCATGAGGAAACTAGCCTGATGAATCACTTCAATTAAGATCACTGCATTTGCACTTTTCAGTCAGAATCCCCTTTTGTAGTGTGTTACCTTCAAATATAATTAGGAACAAGCATTTCCAGTTTTGTTTTCAGTTCATTATCAGCTGTTCTAACAGGGTTGTTGGTTTGTATTCAGCAGTAAATCCAATAAGCATCATTGCAGCTGTAACTATTTCCAAACTTGGTCAAATAAATCACAGCAAACCTCAAAGAAAGTGAGGAAACATCCATAAAGAACATTTTTAATTACACTCCTCAGATAAAATATTCAGTATTAGAGGGGAGCAGCTACCAAAATAAAGTGTAAAAGTACAAAAACGCTGAGCTGGGCTTTAACCATACATATGTCTGTAGTTTCCTTAAATGGGCGAACCATCTGTTCGCGGCAGCCTGAAGCCTCCCAGTTCTAATTGTCCCGTCTGTGGTGTTTGATATGCATAATTAGACTTTTAATAATCTTTGCTGTGCAGGTGATGTTTGCCATGAGTTCACAGAGATTTGTATTTCCTCTTCAGTTGGAAAGGGGGGGTTACATTTCCAGTAGTCTGGATTCTGCTGTCGCTGCGAAGCTGCCTCAAAAAAAGGCAATTTTCAGCTCTGTGTCGCTTTGTTTTTAATCAGATTTTTCTTCAGTAAAATCCAAAATAAGGCAACCATATGTTGAAGATACAGGCCTGTCAGATCAGCTTTTAAATATGAGAAATACTTTAAATGACAGTTTGGTACATAAGAGGTCATTCGAGTGAAATTTAAAATGCTATTTTAACATCCTTGAGTACTCTAATGCACATTAAACATTAAAAATGAGATCTTTAGGGGTATTAGACTGAACTCACAAACCTTGATAGTCAACTTTGACATATGGTGGAGGAGTTTAAATTACTAAAAGGTAATTTTTTCACCTTTTTTTGGACTGAAATGTTTTCTTCTGTCCTGAGAGTGTGTCCAGAGGGCATGTGTGTAGTTTTTATATCCTGAAAGTTTATCCCAAGGCGCCAACTTCACATTTTGTCCACTGGAAGGGCATCCAAAGGAGACTTTTGTATCGTCTATATACTAAATTCCTCTCGAGGGCCCAGTCTTACATTATATTCAATGGAAGCGCATCCAAAATACACATTTAAAGGGTACTTTTTTATATATTATCACACGGAAAGGCATCCAGAGTTGTTATATACTGGATATTTACTCAGGGGGCACTATACCATGTCTCATCACTTAGAATAGCAGCTACCAAAGACACTTTTCATGCAGTCCCACGTAAAGGGCAGCAGAGAGGGCATTTCCAAATGTTTTATTTACCACGGCAGCATCCGACAGGACACTTTTGCAGAGTTTTCTCAAACATGAGGGCGCCGGGCCGGGGCGGCGGGTGTAAACCCCGGCCCCCTCGCCCTCCTTGAGTACACCACTGATTGGCGACACGAACAGAGGTTTCTTTGTTTGTTTGTTTGTCCATTTGTGGCGCGCAGGAGGTGTTGCTGAAATCACAGTTTTTCCTTGATGATCCATCGGTGAATCAGATAACGCATCTGTCAGTCCAGTCTGCTCTTGACGGTCACATTCAGCAGTTTAAAAGCATTTACTAATTTGACCTTTATATAGAAGCGAAATCCAGGTTTTGAATTATTAAAAAATGCAAAATGCAGTACTAAGAAGCATTTGGATGTCAGAGTAACTAAGGCTGACTGCAGCCTCCTTCCCAGATTTCACTGCTGTGCCGTTTTCACAGGTACAAGGGCTTTCAGCGACGATGTAGGCAGTCAGATCAACATCTCTGCGTAGTGAAAATGTTGACGTGTATTGAAAGCTACAGTGCGTCCTTTGGGGGAGCCATCTATGAAAAATGCAAGTGCAAGGAACAGTCTAGAAAGGCATTACAAATACCAAACTGCAGCACTTCAAGACGAGATGTCGGGGATGTCGGACAAGAAGGGATTCATCACATGTCCGACATTATTTAAGATGATTTTAGCACAGCCGGGCATTAGAGGGGTGCAATTTGATCACATGGCTTCGTGTTTTTGTGCGCTCAGGGTGAGTTTTATCGGACGAGCAGCTCCAGCACAATGGTAGTGTTTGTGGCAGCGGTGCTGCTGATGCCCCCTGAATGCCCACAGTGGCAGAGGAGGTTTAAAGAGCGCACTCAAAGGACTCGCTGATCAAAGGAGCGTTTCATCTGTGAATTCTGCTGCTGCTGCGTCGAATGCCAGAGACGTGTTATGACAGAGATCTGATGCTAAGAGACTGACAGCAAAGTCTCTGATGACCCCTTTGCACAACGCAGGAGAAAATAAACAGGAAAATAAAGAGGGGGAGCAAATACAGTGCAGAGTACAGTACTTTCATAGCAGGGAAGGTAGTAATTATACTGCAGTTTAACATGTACAGGCTTTGAAAATATGTTAATGTACTGTACATGTAGATCTGAGCTGCTAGAGACACTGATCCCCTCTGTGCAAAAACTTCATGTTCAGAAATACCCACACCTTTTTTACCTTTCACCTCCTCACCTTGTAAACTGGTTATATTTTGCACTGCTGCATATTTATAAGACAAGATTGTGCATTTATGTGGCATAATTACTGTTACAGTGCATGTTTTACTCATGCATGGCAAATAAAACAATGTTAATAAGGTTACAGTGTCAGTAGTTTGATTCAAACATGCAAAGGTTCTAGAAATAAGAATTAAACAAGATATCAAATATGTTTCCTTTGTCTTAAAGGGAGATAACAGCATAAAATTAGGGTCAAACACACCATAACACAGAGTTAGATACCTTGCCCAAAGATGAATGTTGCCGATCGCTTGCTTCTCTAGTTATTCCAACTTTAGTAACAACCGCACGATAGCAATACAGAGAGCCACACACTCAACCAAAACACCACTCTATAGCCACAAATAATGCTCAGAACAGCACCTAACTTCATCAACAGGACATATAGGGTCACAGACATAGTACTAGACACCAAACATCTTTGTAACTTTGACTCATTTCTTTAACAAAGAGACTAAACACAACTCACCCACTCTCTTCCAGCAGCCACTTGTTTGTAGAAGACCTCAGGCCAGTCCATTACAGACTACAGCGGGGTGACGCAGCTCAAGGAAGAACATTTAAGATCATTACTTCATGGAAATACAATCAGACTGAGACGCTAAGGCAGAAGAACTACCGCGTCTGCAGTACAAAATGATTAATATGGTGATTATTACTTCAAGGAAATGATAAAGAAATGATCATCAATGTTCTTCCTTGAGCTGCGTCACCCCGTTGTAGTTCATAATGGACTGGCCTGAGGTCTTGCTACAAACAAGCGGCTGCTGGAAGAGAGTAGGTGAGTTGTGTTTAGTCTCTTTGCTAAAGAAATTAGTCAAAGTTAAAAAGATGTTTGGTGTCTAGTACTATGTCTGGGACCCTATATGTCCTGTTGATGAAGTTAGGTGCTGTTCTGAGCATTATTTGTGGCTATAGAGTGGCGTTTTGGTCGGCAACATTCATCTCTCGACGGGGTGTCTAACTCTGTGTTACGATGATTGACCCTAAATTAATTTTGTACCAGAATATCCCTTTAAATGACCGTTTAGTTTAGTTTAGTTTGCACATTATGAAACTAAATGTCATACAGTGACAGGTGTTTAGAGGGGAAACATTTATAACTGTAGATGTGAAATAATAATGGTCCTAGAATTGAACCCTGTGGTACCCCGAACTGCATCGTAGCTCTTTCACCAGAATGTTGACATACTGATGACAATTACATACATAAATATTGAGATACTTTAAGACATGATCATGAAATCCATTTCTAGATTTCTATCATGCGCATAAACTGTCCGAGAGAGAGCGAGAAAACACAAATCCCATGATACGAACTCATCTCTTTCTCTAAGCTGCTGCTTTACTGTAAGTTCATCGTGTTACAGTGTATAAAAGCAGGAAAACAAAGTGAGTCCAAAGATGCACAACAGTCATCCATCACAGACCCGAGCGGAGGAGGTAACAGGTCACCAGCACTTAACCTCATTGACTCTAATTGTTCCCAGGTGCAATCAACGCCGGCCAGACTCCCCCGAGGGCGAACACAAACACATTGTCCAGGTCACAATACGCTTACTTCACTTCCTGCCCCGCTGCGTTATGGAGGAGATCTTGTCACGGCTGAGACGCAAAGTCGATGGTGAGAGTTGGAGGAAGGTGGGAATTTCTCAGATGTAGTATTTGTTCTAATCAGCCGACACGTTCGGAGGGAAAGTTTGAGTCGTCCATCAGATTTTAGACGCGACCTACAGACGGAGTTTAACCTGAACCTGTTTGAGAAACGTTCGGTTCTCTCCTGCTTCATTCATTCATTTGTAAAAGGGGACATTTTTCTTCTGGTTGTTCATCTATTTTGTTTTTTTTTCAGAGGGTTATCATGGTCCAGTTTAAAAAGCCCTGGACTCAGAGGGCTCTACAGTTTTCTTTTCCTCCCACTGGTCATCGATTTGTCCTTCAGCCGGCCCTCACAGCGAGTGAAAATGAAGTGGAGTGGTTTTTATCTTTGTTAATTGACTATTGGGGAAAGAAGCTCAGCTGCTCATTACCACCGCTGGCTTTTTTGGACCAGCAGAAATTAAAGCTTTGGCTAAAGTTTGATTTTGTCCAAATCTGATGCACTATAATCACCGACGCACTTGATTGTTGTTAAATGAATCCAGCTCGGCTTGAGTGGGTTGCATGAATTATTTTGTTGATTTTAAATGAATCGGTTTGGATGTGTTTTAGTTGCTGATTCCCAAACCTTTCCATTACTCTAAAGGTAGCTGTCAGCTCCTGTTATCTCCACCACTTTTAAGAGGCCTTTAAAGGATAAAGTTATAATACATAATAAATAAAGTTGGCAAACTTCCATTAAGGGATTTTCGATTTTTTGGCAGACTCGGTAAATTAACAAATACCTCCTGCACATGAGAAATTATAAAATACAACCTGAACCTTCACGATGATAAAAGGATTTATTTTTTATATTATGTTGAATAAATACAGAAACATCTAAAGTCTTATATTTGACAACGGAGCGGAATTAAAATGGTCCTAAAACGGGACCTTGTGGCACCCCACACTCTATCGCAGCTCTCTAAATCCACGTCCTAACCAGGTTTAATGAAGCCCATTCAGGAGCAGTACCTTGAGTATCCACTAGAGGCAGCCCTAAAACCAATAAAACCCCATTAACAATTATATAACAATGCCCATTTATACAGCAATTTTCAACACATGTCAGTCAGGATCGCTTAATGCCAGGATTCCACCGCATGCAGATCCGCAATCATACAGCGCCCACCAGATCTGATCCGCTGCCACAAATGGAGGAGAAGCGCTTGAGTATTACCAATATTTCTTCCAAGACTAGGCGAGTTTCACTGTGAGACATTGAATGAGATCCTTGGCCCCTCCCATTATCACGTGAAGAAAAGTTCAACGTATTAACTTTATTTTATTTTGAAATTGAACAGGATATTTTACTCTGTAGCCGCATACAACTTCCGCTGCCGCTTGTTGCTGCGCTGAATTGATGCGTTGTGCTGCGCCGTCCGACAAAAATAGAAGCCTTGCGTATCTGATCCGAACGCCAGAGTGGATCCGGATGGCGGACACATTGTGTGGAATCGCGCTCATTGATTATAATGCTTGCGTATTTGATCTGGCTGCGGTTCCGGAGGGGAGCGCATTGGACGCATTGGCGGAGCGTGTTGGACTTTGTTTGCTGAGATTGAGTGTAGCCTGCCTGAAGTAGCACCATGTTGAATTTATGGCCTGGTTCAAAAACAGTTTCTATTTAAATAGATGATTGTTGTGTTTTTAATGATGATCCTAAAATCTCATGTTGGAAATACAATGTAGGTAGAAGCGAAAAAAATGAAGGTGCCGATATCACCGCCCGTGGATATCCTACACAAATCTGCACAGGTATCCTAAAAATAACACGTCTGGATCAGTTAAGGGGTCAACATTTGAAAATATGTCTCATAAAAGGAGATCATGTGCAATCTTAAACAGTCCAGACTCCATAAAAACATAAAGAAGTCGACTTTTTATTCCAGTGCATTAAGAGTAGAGCTGCAGCTCCGGCAGCAGCAGCAGCAGCCCAGCAGGCAGCTTTAAGTTGTTGTGTTTAGAAAAGAAAAAACCACCTTTGGTCACTTAAACACAGTTGGAGGCCATCAATCAATCTGTGATGTCCAGTGCATTACAGGCCTAAGTGTTGTAATTTACTGTTTCAGTATTTCTACCCGCTCTGCTTTTCTTTTCTTTGTGATTTTCCGGCGCCGCAGACGGGGGGTGATCTGTGCAGTTTATGTGTAGGAAAAGGAGAGCTGAAATGCAATAGAAAAATGAAATAGAAAACAGCAAAGAGGAGAGAGAAAGTGGTGCTTATGAGTTTAGTGAATTAAAGGGAAAAGCTTTTGAAGATGATATACGTACATGTTCACAGGCGGAAACTGACGGGAGAGGAATTGTTTTTATGTTTGATTTTATTTCATCAGAGGAAAAAAGAAATGACCATAAAATCTACTTTTGTTTTACACTTTGTTTGGTTAGACTCATGACCGGGATTATAACAGCTTTGCAGTTACTCTCACCTATAAAGAGTCCAGATGGTCAAGTGATACTGATCCAAACAGCAAAATGTGTTTTCAGCTGAGGAGGTCGAACACCTCAGTCAGTGTGTTTACATGCACAGTTAAGTCAAGTTAAAGCTTAATTATGCGATTTAAGTGGACGACTGACTTTGTCTGGAAACTAGGCAAGAATCAAACTATTAAGAGGAGCGTGTTTCCAAGTGGTAGCAGAGTCCAGTTTATCTGAATTTTCTGCAATTTTTAGATTTTTATCATATTTTGTCAACTACTGATGATAGAGGGTTTATTCAAGACAAGAGCTTCTTTCATTGAGGCAAAGCAAATCTGGAAGACAACATCCAGATCCAGCGGACATCTGGAGATATTTTTTGTGCTGGTGCAAAGGTGATAAACATGTTGGGGAGAGGGGCTAAAACCTCCATTACACACCGAGGATCCTTACCCGGGATTTCCACCACACCCGGAATGGCTCTGATCTGGAACAGTGGCGATTTTTGCCTTACACCAATTCCTAGCGAAGCGAATTTCATGGCGGATTACGGAGAGCATGAATTGTGAGAACTCACAAGAACCTGCGGATTCATGTGCAATAGCGCGATAACGAGTTGTCTTTAACCACATAACCATAAAAGCAGTAGATTGTGTCCTTCCAGAGGAAAAAATCTACTTCTAGACTTGTAGAATCAGCATCTCCTCATCCACATCCTCACTGAACAGTCCAGCAGTCGCCGTGGTGACTGGCTCCTAGTGCTACGCTTTAGGACAGAGCTCCACAGGAGGTCCTTTCTTACAGCAGCCATCAGACTGTTTAACAAAACCTGAGTCGAGGACCTGTGCACATCAGCGCTATATACATGTTGCACTGTTAGCACTACTGCATTTATTGCACTTTTAGACAGTTTTTTATACTGGTTTTATACTGATTTTACTCTATCTATCCATCCATCCATCCATCAATCCATCCATCCATCCATGGTGTCATTGGGGTGAAATACTGTCTAAAACCTTCCACTTGTTCGTCCCCGCCCGTTTGCATGGTGTGAAACAGAACTCATGTGATCAGCTGCAGAGTCCCGTGAAATGTAGCGGAACAGAAAGAAGCCGATGGAATTTGACAAATTAACTTGAATGGTTACGATCGGCGGATACAGCCTTTTTGTAGCTGTTCTGAATGCGGTGGAAATTGGGGGTTAGTCTCTGGACACTCCTGATTTTTTTTTTACATTTGAAAGAGATGAACATGTCATGCGTTTTTTATTCTTTTGTTTCATGAGCATCAAAAATCCCTTACAGGAGCTTTAAGTTGATCTTCAGTCCTGTTTCTCATCAGTATTTCCGCCCCTGAGGCGACTACACAGGGGCCAAATATTCTCCTCTGTCAGATGAAACCAATAAACCAAAAGTCATGTTCATTGGCCGACAAGCTGTTGCCTCGGAGTAAACATAAGCAATCCCGCTCATGTCACGAGTTTCCACATGACTGCTGTTGTTTCGTTCAGCTGTTCGTTCAGCTCAGAAGCGTTTTCAGAATCAGTTCTGCTCTGCCAATTAACGCTCTCCAGCAAAGTGCTCATTCTTATCCGCCCTCCATGATTGCGGGGCCTAATTTATGTGCCCTAGCAACAATGGCTTATCACACTTTATGTTCAAAATGCTGCTGAGCCACAGCGCTGACATGGAAAAGAAGCCATAGGCCACACTTCTTTTTTTTCTCCTCTGAGCTGATTCCTAATTAAACGTTGAGTCAATTTCTTCTCATGAAGATTCCAGCACTTGGTTTCTGGTTTCCTAACCCTCTCCGATTCAATAGAGGAGATAAGAAAAGCTCCTTTGACCTGTATATCAGTTTGGGAATTGCATCAATTAAGTTTCTGTAAAATATAAACGAAGATGAATTTATTATAGCTTTAATAAGAAATCCAAATGAGCGCAGGAAAACAGTCCTGATCCTCCTGGATGACTGACATGTACAAGTGTGCATGTTCCTCTATTATTCATCAAAGTATCCAATTACCACACAGTGAATTAATGAAAGGACCGAGGACCACTGTTTAAATTCAATTGCATGCAGCAAATTGGCGTGGCCTACTTTCTCGCCGCACGTGCTTCAGTGCAGGTGTCGGAACGAGCCGAGCCGGGTGGGTCCACTTTACTGTCACGATGAAGGATGTCAGCTTAGTCTCCACTCTGATGTGATAGATGTGCTCGCAGGACCAAAATAAGGAAGCGTTCAGGAGTCCACTGAAAACATTAAGAGGTCTGGCTCCGAGCTGGATCACTGACTTATTGATGATTTATATCCACCAACAAGTCCGAGCCCCTCGCCGGAGTCTTTCCCATCCTGCTGCTGTAAATGAATATTTTAAGATGACCTGCTGACCATCTTATATCTGGATCTCCTTCAGGGATAGAAACTGATAAGGTTTAATTGATACAGATCTCATTATTGATCATTTCTTTACCAAATCCTGTGCTGAAAAAAAAAAGGGTTTCAGTGTCAACAACACAGATTTTATTAGGAGGTTTATTGCCTTTGCTGCTGGGAGCCTGGCTTCAGCTGACTTTAGATACAGCCTCTGATCTGTTGCCAGATCATAACAAAGATGGCAGCTTTCCATTGGCACAGTCTGCCATCAACAGAACTCACATTATATCACTGAAATTAATACATGAATCATCACAGTTTACCTTTGGTTTTTAGAGGCACTGGCTCCAGACGGTCTCTAAAAATACGCTGCTATTCTCTGTGGGATAGAAAACCCTCGACATATCACAGAGGAGAGCCGCCGGCCTCACGAAGGAAGTGGATTTTAAAGCTCAGTTTCATATTTAAAGATGGTATTATAATCTTTTGTTTGGATACTACCTTGGCTGACATTCTCACTGACTACCTTTAAGAACCTAAAAATGGTTCTGATCTGAAACTGGTTTTTGATCCCCATCCCTCGTCTTCTTTACGTCTCTGTTCATAGGTTCTTCTGTATCAGTGTGATTATTTTACACTGATTAGACTGGTAGTTTGTGTTGAAATTAGGTTACCATCACGGACTGTACAATAATAGTTCATCTCTGCAGATCCATCGCTCTGTTGAATGTTCCTCTACTTAAGTCCAAACTCAGGTTTTCAAAGAGCTATTTGATGGATTTGCGATAAATACAAACTATAAATTCATTTTACCAAAAAGGATAAAGCTCCCTGTCTTCAACAGCTCTTTGACTTTTGCCTTCAAGAACTGTTTCTACCACTTTTGGACTTCCAAGTAATTCCTTGTTACTTTGGCGAACTCTAGACTTTAGTAGCTCCAAAAACTGGTTTGAAGGTGATCCATATTTATACATATTTAATCTCTCAGTGAACAAAGTCAGAACACAAATTCAATCAGTGTTTGGCACAATTTTGGCTAGCTTGCTCTGTTTTTGTTGTGCCTCTTGTCTTTTAGCTAGAATGAAGACTTCTTGTTATTGTATGTGCAGATCACACAATTCAATATGGATGAAATGGGGCGTTCAGAAGCTCCATTTCATCGGGTGAACATGAAATAAACATCGCATCATTGGACCAGAATCTGGGGGGGGGCTTTCTCTCTGGGTGGGGAGTGCGTCTCTTAAAGTTCTAGTCTTGAGGTCTTGTTCATGTTGGGGGAATGGATCATGAGATTGACAAATTGACTTTGCTGGACCATTATGGTGAAAAAGGACGGAAACGTTTTCAATGTGCCGGTCGATCTACGTCCCAACCGTCAGCTCGGGTCATGAGCTGCGGGTAGTGACCAAAAGACTTGGATCCTGGACACTAAAATGAGAACCATCCAAAGGGAGGCCAGGCTCAGTCTCAGAGATGAAGTCAGGAGCTTGAACATCCAGAGGGAGCTCAGAGTCACTGGAAGGAGGCGTCTAGTTGGGCCCAGAGATCACAGATCCCTCGAGTGAGCAGGGACTGCCTTGGGAGAAGGGATGTCTGGGTTGACTTGCCTGCCCAATCGACCCAATCCTGAGTAAGCAGGAGAAGAAATGCATAGATGTTTCATAGCTTCAAACCGGTGCTGTACTTGTTTTGTAGACTTGTTGTCATTTGTCTATCCAGTGCAAGTCGAGACAGGATGATGGTTAAAGTGGTCTGTTTATCCACATGTCAGAAATTTTCATGTCCAAAAACCGGATCCTCAAACATTCAGGAACTGTCAGTTCAATCTGTGATATGGGACATTTGCAGGATTTGTCCGAATATGCAGAGCCAAAGCCGTTTGGTCGGACGAGGCGCTGAATGATTAATAGTCCCGTGGATGACAAGGGTAAACAGGATGGACTTGTGTGTGTGATGGCGGCTCACAGCCTCAGGACAGGCAGACACGGATAGCCGGGCTGACAAAATACCCTTAATCCTCATCCCTTTAGATTAGGGAAACAATGCTTACAACAGGAAAGGGCAAAAAGATGATGACTGCTGACCTGACACGGAGTCAGCCAGAAAATTGCTTTAACAGTTAAAATATGCATCCACATACACTCTTTAATTTGACCTCAAATGCTCTGCTTTAATTCTCTAGTTAAATCCAGCGTTGGCAGAAAAAAAGGGGTCACATTAATGTAAATGTGCGGTTTGTATATTCAGCTGACATTTTCACCCAGTCTGTGAAAGTCCAGTTTGTTCCTCGGGGGCACAGATAACAAGAGCTAGGGCTGTTTAACAATGAAGCAGGCCCATTATGCCATTAAGCTGGCTTTGAAACATTGCTTTTCTGAGCACCCATAATGAGCGTGCATTTCTGAGTTTTACCACTAAAGGGTTGAACTGGAGAGGAAAAGTTCCAGTGAGCCGTGGAGTATTTCTCTTTTTTTTGTTACATACATTGACATCAACATTCTGAAAGTAAGGGCTTCCCAGCGGCGCAGAGGTCAGCGCTGTTGACTTACAACGAGGAGGTTTCTGGTTCTTGGTTCTCAACCTAAAACCAAGCTCATTAGGTGGGCCGCCTGTCCGGGATGAACCATCGCCCAATCAGCACCCTGAGAATCCTGGATGAGAAAAACAGTATAGAAACCTGATGAATAGATCCTTACCAACTGTTGTTATTACATAATCCTGTTAGAATCGAGTCAAGAGACAATCTATTAGAGCTATAGTGTTTTTTTATGTGCTGTAAAATGTTGTGAAGACACTCAGGCAGTAGGGGGCAGTGATGATCTGAAATTGTCGTGAACCACTTGAAATGTTAATAAGCAAATACTTCAAGAAATAACACCAGAATAATAAAAACAGATATCTGTATTTGGTTAAAGAAACAAACGGTAATATCTGCAGACACTGCAGGCAGTCATCCAGCAATGTTGGGAAGAGTTGGTGAAAAGTTAGTTTTGATCCTTCATTGTAACTCCAGTTTACATTTCTATAAAGGTTGACCGTTATTGTGTTGTATATTTGGGTTTTTATTTCCTTGAAAAGAGCTGTTAGCTAGAATCAAACACTCCAGATGAAGGGTTTATTTCTGAATCTATCTTAAATAGGGTGACTATATGTCCTCTTTTACCCGGACTTGTCCTCTTTTTGGGGGGCTGTCCGGCCTTGTCTTGGGGAGTGTATAAAATCCTTTTAATGTCCAGGTTATGTATGGACGTTTTAAGTTTGTGTCGCGTGGACTTACTGAGTTAGAAGGGCATAAAAAAAATTTAACCCGACCAAAAGACTCAAAATTGACTATGCGCGATTCCATGACTCTGCCAGCATAGTCGTATCCTCTTTTTTGGGGATCCAGAATATGGTCACGCTATCTTTAACATGAAACCAGCCTGGGATGACCATGCATTTTAGATTGGCACATTAATATATATATATATATGAAAATATGTAATTTTGCATAACTTTTTCCCCCTCTCTTTATAGTTTTAGTGTAACTATTTACTTGGATGGTTGGATGGAAATCCAGATGTCCCTTGTTATGATATTTGAGGCCAAAAGTTCGGCATTTCCGTTCATAATTTCATTATTGTGATTAAATTGTTGTAATTAATCAAATCCACAAAACCAATAACAACATATTACAATTATACATTGGCCGTCAGCCATCTTGCCCCCCAATTACTGTCAATGGAATTGGCCGCTGAGAAACTTGGCGGACCAAAATTATTGGACAAAACCACCAAATAAAAAAAGACTGGGTGTTGATGAATATGTTCATCGCGCCATTTTTACATTATTGAAATTGGTTTGGGTGTCGGAGTCTTTTTGTGTTACTGTCAATCATTTTACTGCAGCGTTCATACTGCTGTTAATCCTTTGAAAACACTCTTAAAGCTTATATCACCAGAAGTGTTTGCTCTGGTGAACTCATCTCTAACACAGGGTTCAATGGGTTAAAGGAGATTAAATCTAAATCTTTGGAAATAAGTCACTTTGTACTTGTTTAAAGGGCAAAAAGCTCAAGTAATCTGCCTGCCAGACTGGGATTAAGTCTTTGATATTAAACTTGACACTCTCTCTGGCGTCCCGCTGCACTTATCCATGTACAATACGTTAAATTCATGCGTATGCGGCGCCACATAAGAGCATAAATCTGTCTGATTGTTGGTAAGTCAAGATAAGTGTGTGTTCTGAGGGGGGAAAAAAACGGCTTTCCTGTATTTTTATCAGCATTTCAGTGTCTTTCAAGAGCGAGTGCTCAACAACAGAATGGGAAACATCTTCTGCTGTTGTGTTGATGTGGGAAAAAAAACAGGACAGGGCCTCATACAGAGTAAGGGCACATAAAAGAACATTGGCACCCAAGAGCGTAGTTCATTGTAATGCTAAATAGGAAGCCGCAGTGATTCCGCCTGTGTTTATCTGCCAGGCAAAAGTTATCACACCCGGTTACTTCAGCTCAGAGCCATTCATGGCGTGCATTTTCAAGTGCCACTGATCTCGCCCCACACCAAAGGTTACACAGATCAGCAAAACCTACTTGTAAAATGCAAATGCTGAATAAGAAATTAGAAACGAGACTGTCGAGGATAGATAAGGCGCCACTTGTCAAATTTTGCATGTTGGGCTGAAATTCTTGTCAGGGATTTTGTATTATGACATTAAGGCCTTTGTGTGTAATGCCGGGTTTGAAGGACTCTTCAGTGAATGCACAAACCTCCCACAACAATAAGCAATTTGATACACTTGTTCCCGCTGAATTTACCTGCAGCTGGGACATGAATGTATTTTTCTGCTCTGTCAAGGACGGGCGGCAGTTTTTCTAACTTTCTGCTCCGGAGTTTGGACTTTTTCAGATTTGACAGCGTGCTTTCTTTGTGGAAATAAACCCGGTGTTAATAGAGGACACTAAAGTGTATTGTGCATTTGAATACGGCTTTTATTGAAATTACAGGACTCTCCAGGGTTAGGATCATTTCTACCTTGAACAGCCATTTCATTCAGACTGACCTCTTGTATTATGGACAAAATACTATTATTGTTACCTTTTCTGCTCCTGGAAACACACATTACAAACTCTTAATGGATCACCTTTTAAAAGCTAAAATGTACCTTGAGCTTTGGGTTCAAACTATGGAAGAAAAAACTATTGAGAATAACTCCTGTGCCGGACTCTTAGGTGTTGAGGTATTCTACTCCTACTCCCAGAAATTCAATTTACTGTGAATTTAAAGGGACAATTCTGCTCATGGGTAATTTATAAGTCAAAGTGAGGCATTAAGACACTTTTACAATCATTATTTTGTCATTTTTGCACCAATATTTCCATTATTACCCATTTTTAGACCATATATCTGTTTACTTTTAGATATTAATGTAGATTTTAAACACTTACGAGCAAATTATGCACCAGTCCTCACATAACTGCAGGAGGTGGAGGTGCTAGGAGTCTGCTCAACACTTAATTTTTCAGTTTTTATTTGCCAACCCTAAAGGCATCTTTGACCACGCGATGTTTCCATCCAGTTGTGGTTTGAGGGACGTTAAGTCAGATGAGAAAAATAAGCACCGCTAAAGAGGACGGTGATGACCGGTAGCCGGATCCTTGTGTCAGGACAAGTAGACTTTTGTGTCCAATGTAAATTTCGCTAAATTAAGTCAGATTACTCTTTATTTCCTTGTCAGTTTATTCTGAATACTGTATAAAAAAGTCGGCGGCCTCAAGGTCTCATGATTAGTTCCCACCTGTCATTTGTTTAAAGGGGACGTATTAGCGTGACACAGCTGAGTTGGAGCTGCAGATCTGACATTGGGGTGGGGCGGTGAATGACCACAATACTGTAGCCACAAATTCACAAGTGACTTTGTGTGACCATCATGCAACAGTGAGATTGTTATTTTGATTATGACGGATGTGCGATAATTTTCCCAAAAATACAATATTTTTAAGTCTCTAGTACGATAATTGGTCTGAGAAGTGTTCTGCAAGGTTTCAGCTGTTTGTTGACCAGTTTGATATACTGTATGTGCGTGCATGTGTCTAACAGTTAGTCATATGTGGATAAGTGCAGTCCACTGTCTTCTGGAGCTGTTTCCTGCACAGTGGAGTCCGGTAGTTGCATACTAAATGTATTTTTATCATATAGTTATGTGCAAAAAGAAGAGACTGCAGCAACCCTAACTCCAGCTCAGGGGACTCAGTATGGAAGCAATAGCCATTAAAGTAAGTGTAGAAATCCAGCTGTTTAACTATATATATATATATTTTCCTCGAACACACATACAGTTCACGTCTGGAGTGCAGAAGGACAAGACAAAGCCTGGGGGTGTTCAGGATTATTGACTCCTGCAAAGATGTAATTGAAAATAGAAAGATCATGTTACCATCAGGATCTGTATCAGGAAAATGGACGAACTCTCTTTTAATAATTCATTCCCGATCTTCCCAACAAAAATAAAACGCATTTGTTTTTGCATTTTCAAAGTGTTGTCTGTCACATGCGGTGAGGACTTTGCACATTTTCCTCTCTGTGTATTTGAAGACGTGCGCCGGAGTTTGGAGAGAGATTATCATGTGTGGTTGGTTGTCATCTTTGCTGCCATGTTTTTATCTTTTAATCCCAGATCAAATCAGTTCATCTTAATAGATATTTGCTGAGATCAACCACCATGTCTCTTTGCTTTTATCTGTCCTTCTAGACAACATTTAAAGAAAACAGGAAAAAAGAGGAGGAAAGCTCTTAATAATAGATGAGCTCTTTTTGGGGCATTTTCCAGTCCAGCCACAGGGGTTTGTGTCCTAATATTTTCAACAACACAGTGCAGTGTGTGCACATGCTGCTCCACTGTCACATAGTCTGATTCCCCCTCTGTCTCTGTTTTTCTCTCCCGTGCATGCACAAAAACACACCCACCAGCACAGCAGGTTAACTTAATCATTGCAGGAGGAAAAAAAAGGAAAGCGCAGACATGAAACAATGAAAAGTTTCTGGGTGTACAAACAAGTTTTGTGGAGGCTGGGAAGAGGAACAAAGGACTGCAAGGTGTTTATAGACTCGGCTCTCGGAGGTTGATTGAATGCTTTGAAGATAAGCCCGGCGACATTAGATATCCCAGTGGGCGGAGGATGGGAGGTTAATCTCATTCTCCACGATGATGTATCCGAAGTGACTCTTTTTTTGCCGGTGGTATCGTTTCTGAACACTCCTTGGGTTCCAAGGGCAAGGAAAGTGTCCATCAGAGCGGCCGCATTGATTGCTTCCAGATTTGATTAAACCCTCGGCTGTACTCCAAATGTAAGACAATAGCATCGAGATAATCTCACCTTCTCTCCTCGGGTCAGACGTAATGCGGTTTAACAATATGGTGGTGCACTCTTTTTCCAGTGTAATACCTCGCCGAGGACAATTCTAGTTAACTGCAGCCCCGTTTAAAATACTAGTGTACACACAAACAAGGACGCAAAATGAGTGACTGTTTCTATATCCCTACAGAAAAGTACTCCCATTTTAAAAGCAATAATTAATGATGTGATTGACAACCAAAGCTCAGTGCAAATCAGAAAATTCCTGCCTCTTAATACCTGATAATCAAAACTGAATGTTGCAGCCACATAGCTGCTCTAGTTGCTTTATTTCTGCACCTGTCAAATAATGAATCACTGAATTGTAATCGTACGTTTGGCATCCTGTTTTTATTTTGATGATTTAAAGCAGTTTCTACTAATGTCGAGAGTTTGAATGGATGTATTTCAGGAGTTTTCAGTCTGATTGTTTTCTCTATCCGTCCCATAAAGCGTCCAGTACAACAGATCCAAACATGTCAACTTGTGGACGCCTATTAGTCCCTCAGAGCCGAGTCTTTCTCACTTGCCATGTTTACATGTGCAAAATGTCTTGATCCGAGCAGAAAAATACATTCATGTCCCAGCTGCAGGTAAATTCAGCGGGAACAAGTGTATCAAATTGCTTATTGTTGTGGGAGGTTTGTGCATTCACTGAAGAGTCCTTCAAACCCGGCAAAAATTTGAGGGATCGGAAAATCTGAATCCACTGTTTATATGGGCATAAAATCAAATAATCTGATCCTAGTTTTATTCGGATTAGAGGCATTTGGATATACGCAGAGTTGTCTGATTTTGCTAAAACAACCACAGAAGAAGAGTCGTATTAACGCCTGTGCTGTCAACAAACCAACAAACGCGGTTGTGGCTCACTTCATCCAAATCAGGATTCCCCCCCTGTTAAATGTTGTCACTAGATGGCGCTCTTGCTTACTTATTTTACTGTTCTGTCAAAGGTTGCTCTGTGCGTATAGATGTGACATCATTACGCCGTATGTACGTCTTGTTATGTTACCGGAGGAGCAGACACGACACCTGTGGTTGTGTTTTATGCCAGCTTGATAACTATGATCGGCATAAATCACCCCAAAAGATCGGAATACCATTTCTTTCCAATTGAGCCGAGTTGGATCAGAATCTTCCACTCGACATGTTTGCATGTTATTTTTTTCAATTAGCTTTATCTTTATTCCGATTATTTGTTGCCATGTAAATGCAGCTACTGTTGCAGGTCTACGCTGCAGTTCCCCTCTGATATTTTAGTTCTATTTGACACTAAGTGCGTTTTAGTTCAGACTTGTCAATCAAGCTTTTTTTGAGTATTGTGAAATTAGATTAAAAGTGCAAAGGCATCAATGTTTCCAGGACGATGCTGCTGCCTGATGGCCCAAAAAGGAGAGTATAGTGTTTCAGTGCATCTTCATCGAAGCCTCAGTGTTAATATTATTGATAAATTCCCACATAACTTTACTGTATTTAACCCAAATATCACACAGGTTAAAGGAAACTTAAATCACAGCGTTTGAGTTTGATTGAAAGTCGTTCCTCGCATCATTAAGTGTATTTAATCCTGAGTTTTCAAGGCCAATTAAAGTCCTGTTGTGTATTTAGGCCTCCTGTTGCTTTAAGGTAAACACTGCAGAAACCCCACCGAGCTGGATGGGTCATGTGTTCCCAAAGGGCAGCTCCTCTGACTCTTAAATAGGACACCAGTCCTTCCACTGCAGCCCATGGCTAACGTCTTTATTAACTCTCATTAACAGCCTTCCTATACAAATTTATTCATTGCAGATTACAAAACCAGGCTCTGGGGTGGGAAACCACAGCCCGGTAAATCATTAATTGATGATCCTGCGTTCTTGCTGGAGTATTCCTGCAAGCAGAGTGAGAGCTGACTCCAACTAACAACCTCACACGTTTTAGCCTGAAACTCCACACTGGAAGATCTTTCTTTTTTTTTTAATGGGCGGCTAAAAAAGAGGCACAAAAAGCTTCTGTGAGGTTCTTTAAATGACCTTGTCTCGGTCCATTTCGCCCTGAAGCAGAGCATATTTATTTTGCGGCGTAGTCAAAGAGTCAGAAATTACAGCCAAAGAAAGGGGAACTGGTGTACATTAAGGGCCTTTGTCTTGCAGGGCTGAACAAAGGGCGTGTGGATTAGGCTGTCATGAACCGCGTATAGTAAGTCGGGTGGGGGGTCTGCAGACTCTGAAATAATACTTCCTCTCCCAATAGGGAAGTAATTTCCTTGGCAGGATGGTTTTCTCCAAAAAGGCGTGGGTCTTCTATTTCTGGGAAAGAGATCTTATTCTGACGCAGTTAAATCAGAGATCCTGCTGAGGTGAGATGGTACTTCTTCTTTTCTCTTCTTCACAATTTGAGAGTTTCCAGTCCATCCCGTCTGTTCAGCTCACTCCATTAAATCTCTGCTGCTCTGCCGAATCCTCCTGTAATGATGACGGTTAACCTGGAATCACAGTGATATTAAAGAGTGGAATCGGCGCACATCAGCACATCGGCTGCGGATGCTAATTGACTTGATTGTTATTAATTTTGACATTACGTTCCAATTAAAGATAGCAAAACACTGATTTCATTTTCTTTTCATTTTATGGTTGGAGATTAAGAGGGCATTGATCACACCTGAATGACTCGGTTTGTGCATTGCTAATTAAAGACTGAGATTGCAATTAAGATAATGAGTCTGTCTGGGTTTTCCGATGAAGCACACAAACAATTTTTTAACCCCGTCATTGGGGGACACGTGGCGTCAGCCTCTTACTGTATCCTGTTAGAGTGCACTAGCCTCTACGTTTGTAGGGCTAGCTAAAGTAAAAACATTTCAAGGTCCTGCTCCTTTTAAGAGCAGATGACCATGATTTCCAAAAAGATTGTAAAATTTTGGGAATGATTTATTTCCTTTCAAGTGTGGATGATGCAGCTGTACTTATGATTTCCAAAGAGACTGTTTGACATCAATCAGTGTTTTCTCTCCTTTTAAGAGTCGATGACACAGCCATGTCCATGATTTCCAAAAAAAAAAAGAAAGCAAAATTTGGCTTTTTCTTTCCTTTGAGAGTAGATAATGCAGCCAGGTTTGTAATTTCCACATAGAATGTTTTTTTTTTTTTGGTCTTTTTTTTTCTTCTTTGAGGAATAGATTATGCTGCCATCACCATGATTTCCAAAAAGACCAGATTTTGTCTTTTTTTTCCCAATTGTTTTAAGATTAGATGATGCAGCTGTATCCATGATTTCCAAAAAACTGAAACATTTTTGGAATTATTTATGATTAGATGATGAAGAGATAGCCATGATTTCCAGAAAGACTATTTAACATAAGTCAGTGTTCTCTCTCTTTTTACGAGTAGATGATAAAGCCATGTCCATGATTTCCAAAAAAGATAGCAATTTTTTTATTCTTTGAGACCTAATAATGCAGCCAGGTTTGTAATTTCCACTTGGAATGTAATTTTCTTTCTTTGTCTTTCTCTCTTTTTAGGAATAGATTATGCAGTAATATCCATGATTTCCAAAAAGAGTGTAAAATTTTGTCTTTGTTTCCTCTTTTAGGAGCAGATAATGCTGCCATGATATTGATTACCAAAAAGACTGTAAAATTTTGTCTTTTTTCCCCAATCTTTAAAGATTAGATGATCCAGCTGTATCCATGATTTCCAAAAAGACTGTAAAATTTTCTACTTTTCCCTATTCGTTTAAGATAAGAAGTTGCAGCGGTATCCATGATTCCCCAAAAAACTTTAAAATTTTTGGCTTTTTTTTCCCTTTTCTATCAAGATGAGATGATGCAGGGATATCCATGATTCCCAAAAAGACTAAAATTTTGTCTTTTTTTCTCTATTCTTTAGAGATAAGCTGATGCAGCTACATATACATGATTTCCAAAAAAACCTGTAAAATTTTGTCTTTTTTCGCGTTCTTTTAAGATGAGATGATGCAGCAATATCCATGATTTCCAAAAAAACTGTAACATTTTTGGCTTTTTTTCCTCTTTTCTTTTAAGACAAGTTCACATAGCAATCTCCATGGTTTCCAAAAGGATAGGTCTGTGTTTTTGTTTTTTCATCGCTGTTAGTTTGACCTGCATTCAACAAACTGTGCACTGACATGGATTTTTGGAGTGATTTTGAGCACATGCAGAGATTTCCACTGCAGAGTCATGTCTAAGAGCTCAACTATCAAACACACCCAGTATTTGCTTTTGACCTTGTCCGGTGTCAGCTTTAAACTCTGGTCTCATGTCTTAAAAAAACCATCTAACTTCTGAACTTCACACAGCCATAGCTTTGTAAACATATCAGATAAATGTTCAAATGTGAGATTCTGCTCAGATTTCGCTCTTTCTCACATTTTCCTCCCAACCATAAGAAGACAAATTGCAGTAAACAGAGCCGACAGTCCTATAATGACCATCTTATGTAATACGAATTGAACTGACGGTCTCTTCTGGCTCTCCCAGCTGTCTTATTCTCTCACTTCTTGCAAAGGCAGGCTGCCAAAACCCAGTCCAATAAACACAGTCTCCGTGACTCTGAGTGGCTTTTGTTCAATAACCCGGTCGCTTTTAATTAGGCGATGTAAACATATATTATTTGATAAGAAAAATTCATCAGAGGAAGCCCTTTAACTCTTACAAAAAGACGGATCACTGGTGCCAGAGAGCCATTACATTTTGGCTGGATTGGATGCTAACTCAGCACAGAAGAGATCGCTTTTAAGGGGCTTCTTAGACTTTTTATCGTAGAATTTCCTACTTCAGGCTCCTGGGACGCAGTTTTCGTGATTATGAATTTAATTGCGAATTATTTACAAGAAATATAAGAGTGGTGACGCCAAGATTCACCCTCTATTTTCCATCCAAATAGTGACTTCTCATAGTACACATTTTAGGGTTAGAGGTGCGAATTCTTCCAGGTCTTCAGGTCTCGCTCATTAGGAACAATGCTGCTATGCATGTGTGTAATTACATACTTCGCCATGGATTTCCTCCAGACGCTAAGCCTGACCTGATTTCCTTAATGACTAAAACCTCGAGTCCATGCTGGTCCCAGAGACATTTCTGCGCTGTGACGTCGCGGCGGAGTTGAAAGGGATCTGGCCTAATTAAATCGAATATCCTGATGCAATGGGGCATCCTGAGGAGTGTGCAGCAGGACGCTCGTTTGATTAGAGCAGTAGTCTATTTCTTATTAGACGGAGCGAGGTCTACCTCTGAAAGCACTGGCCGCTGATGCTCGCTTCCTCTACATGCTACAGTAAATAGGATTTGTGATTCATTATGCAATCATTTACTTTAGTTTGGCTGAAAACTGCAGTAATGGGCGCGACTTGCAAGCATGTGCCTCTAATAAGGTCTTGACATGGAAATGCAGCTACATATAGTGTGTTTCATTACGCCTGAACTCTGTATGTTCTTGTAATGCTAATATATGTTAATATTAGCATGCATTAACCTCTAAAATCAGCAGATACTCTGATGCAGAGTTTTAGATCGAGACAATCTGGTGACGAACAAGAAGTAGTAAGCTTTGATCAGTTGGAGAAATTCAACGTTTTATCAGAAATCACTGTCAAAAGTGCCAAAAAGGAGAGCTCTAACCACGCACACCACTTTCTTGAGTCCTTTTTTCCCTCTTCAATTTTATCTCACGACTTCTAGACGGGCAGCAATCATCAAAACATGTCCACACTCAGGAGTTTCGTCTTCAGTGGTGGAGCTGAAGAGTTTCCAGCAGTATCAAATTCAGGAGAGTCGGTCCTCTTACAAAGCTGCCCTTTCGGTGATGCCGGAGTAAGAAAAAGTGTTTGAGACACAGGAGCATTTCGACAGGGAGTCCTGGAGTAACACGGGCCTCCACTGAAATTGGATTAGACATCCCAGGGTGCCAGCCTACGAACCATAATTGGCCATCACCCGGTTCAGTGGTAGTACTTAAGTTCAGAAAACTTTAAACCTTGGTTTTGCTGCAACTGGCAGCGAGCAGCTTTTGTAACATTTCAACTCAAGACTTTTTCTTACTGTTGGATATTTGTTTCTTTTTCGGTCCTTAAAGCTCATGTTAGGAGTTTTAGACAGACTCAAACTGAAGCTGAAGTCAAAGAAACAACAAGATCATCAGCGGTTGGTTTTTCTCAGTTTAGTGTACAAGGATTTCCTGGTTTAATGCAGAATTAATGTTTTTTTTTTTACCTCCATAAGTAGCTCTGAAAACCTCTGACCTCTTGGCTCTTGGCCTGACTTTGCTTTCTATGAAGTTTGTTGGCTCTGTTGAGTGTTTTCCATCCATCCATCCGTCTTCCACTACTTATCCAGAGTTTGGTTGTGGGGGCAGCCGCAAAGACTTACCCGGGACCACTTACCCGAGATTTCCACCACATCCGGAACAGCTCCAATCCGGAACAGCTGCGAATTTCGTTGTACACCATTCCTACCAGATCTGTTTGTGAGGCAAATTTCATGGTGGATTACGGACAGCAGGAATCGCGAGAACCCGTGGAGTCACATGCGATAACAAGTTGTCTTAAGCCACATAGGCTAACCACATAAGCAGTATTGGGATGGAATGACGTCTATAAACCTTTCACTTGTTCGTCTCCGCCTGTTTGCATGGTATGAAATACAATCCACCTAAAACACAGAGTGTTTTATTTTAAAAATAAGCCGGATGTTTTATTTTGTGGTGTGCCCAACTTCCTTTCAAGCATGGGTTAATCTGTGCTGAATTTATCCGGCATGTTAAAGCGTTGTTAAAGCGGACTCCTGCCGGTGGGATGTACCATGAATGCCTCACCCAGGAGGCGTCCAAGAGGCATCCTGGTTAGATGCCCAAGCGACCTCATCTAAATCCTCTCAACATGGAGGAGCAGCAGCTCTACTCCGAGCTGCTCCTGGATGACCAAGCTTCTCACATTTGGCTGCTTGTACCCAAGATCTTGTTCTTTTGGTCACTACCCACAATTCATGACCATGGGTGAGGGTAGGAACGTTGATCGACCGGTATATCCAGAGCTTTGCCTTTCGGCCCTGCTCCTTCTTCAACACAACAGATCTGTTGCACCAGTCCATTTGTCGATCTCCTGCTTTATTCCTGCCTCACTCGTGAACAAGACCCTGAGGTACTTGAACCCATCCACCTTTTTTCCGGCTGAGAACCATGGACTCAGATTTGATTTTCATCTTTCAGCTGCTTCACACTTGAGTGTGATCCAGTGAGAGCTAAAGGTCACGATGAAGCTAACAGGACCACATCATCTGCATAAAGTAGTGACCTGAGTGTTTTATTTTGAAAATACCTCGACATTGTTTCATTTCCTGACCTTAAAAGCTGTAGTCAGCACCAGGGTTGGGCCACCCCTGTCCAAAACATCTGCACACGCCCCTGTCTGTTCAGTTTGTTCCATATGAGCTTCTGCAAACCTCTTTGTCATCCTCGTCTACTAGCCTCCCTAACTAGCTGGATCGCCCGCAGCTACACTGATGAATGCAGTTTGACTAAACAGAGGTGACAGTGGGTTGTAATTATGTTTCACTGTAGACTGAATAATGCCATTAGCAAAAATTCATGCTCCAGCTCGTACATTACAGCCCAGCACGTAACTGTGACCAACATATGCTGTAAAGTGATTTCCCTGCCCTTTCATGCACGAGGTTTTTCTCATTTTGAGACTTTTTTTTTTTTAATCAATTATGTTTCCACCCCAGGGCTCATATTCATGAGAATTCATATATGTATTTGAAGCACCGTGTTGTAATTTATGAACCAATCTGTGGTGTTTTATTCACAATTATTGCTCAGATAAGTCTGAGAACAAAACGCCACACAAAGAGAAAAAGGTGGGAATAAAAGAAGGAAGAGTAACAAGTGATGATGATGCAGAGAAATCAGGTTGGGTAAGGACAGTGGGGTAAAAAAAAAACACACATATCTGCCTTTGGATTGATTAATAATTTATTTTTTTTTATTCTTTTCATAAATTAGCAGGAAGAAGGAAGTGATTTCCACAATGGAGTGTCCCGTGGCCATATTAGATAATACAAAACAGAAAAGAGTCGTTTCATTTTTTTGTAGTCTTTAGAAAAAGGAGAAAATAACACGATCCCATCATCCCCTTCGGTGAGAAATTGGAGTGATTTCAATGTTGAGAAGTTGTGGTTGCAAACTAGATTATTGCTTTAACAGAAAAATACACAAACAAAAAATTAAGATGCTGCTTAAAGCCGTAATAATAAAAATAAAAACAGCATTTGATAGTTTGCAAATTATTAAAAAGAAAAACTGAAAATAGAGCAAAGATGAAATGCCAAATGCTGAAACTTGAAAATTGAATGTTTTATGAGAATTGCTTTAAATTTGGTGGCAACCAGGCATTTGAAAAAAGGTTGGGACAGGGGTCTGTTTTTCATCGTGTTACATCACTTCTTCTTTTAACGAGACTCCAAACTTTGCAGATCCAGTTTCTGAAGTTTTAAAAGTTAAAAAAAAGTAAAAGTTCTGTTCTTGCCTGATGTAGGCGAGTTTAAGCAGCTGAACTGGGGGCCCCCTTGGTCCTAATTTTTGTTTCATGATGTTTAACTGGGCGACAAGTTGACGGGGTTCCAGGAAGTGGACTCCTCTACTACAGAGCCATCATGATGAGATCTGCTTAAACTGAAATATTTAGAGGGAAAATCCGGCGTAAGATTAAAAATGAAAAGTCTCTCACAAAGTTAAGGATTTTTCTTTATCTTAACTTTTGAGGGATGTTGCCTCTCTGAAAGCCTTTTTTTAACCCTGTCATATCTGATTGCAACTTAACTCATAATTTGGAGTTCTGGAATAATTTTAGTGGAATAACAAATTTTCAGATCATTTGATTTGTTGTCTTTGCACTATTTTCAATTAGATTAAAACTGGAATTAATTTGCAAAATAGCCCAGTTTTGATTTTTTAAACATTTTACATTATCCTAACATTTAGATTTAGGCTTTAGGAGGACATTCACTCTCATCATTATAAAGTTAACTTGTTTTATCCACGAGGTTTGATGTTGTTGTATCAGCATATATTAAAACCGCAGTGGAAAAACACTGCTTATGCTCCTCGAAGTTAAAAGTCTCATTGTAAGAACACAATAATTGCTCTTAGGCGTTACAGCTTCATATATCTCGTAAGCAGGCCCCCTATGGTTTCTCTTTCTTTATTCTCTTATTAAAATATCAAGCCCGGTTTCAGCAGCTTGCAAAATGCCTCCTCAAAAAGAGTAAAAATAATTATCAGAGCTCCACAGTGAAAAAAAAGAGAGGGTAATTAGCACCACTGAATTAATCTGAGATAGGGAAATTGCAATTATACTTGTTCTTATTAAGTTACATTATTTCCTCGACCACCATGAAATTATTTTTTATGGTATTGCGTCGCCTTGTAGGACTCATTAATAACAATGGCGTATTCTTGTGTTTAAGACGGAGTAGAAGGTTCCCACCCAGGTGTTTGGACAGAGTGACAGGGCCTTTAAAAGAAGGTATAATTCACCTCTTAAAACAGATAAACCGAGTGCCGTAAAGGTGTGACTTTGATAGTATAGAGTGTGGTTGTTTTGTCCAGCGTTAACCAGTGTAAGCCACCTTTGACCGATGCAGCAATGGAAAGAAATCTACTTTTTGTGTACATAACGAGGCGTTTGTCATGTGTCTATCGACGGCAATCGACTGTGTGAAAGGAAAATAACCAGTTTAAGCCGACAAAGCGGAGCTCACAGCAGCCTGACCCTTTATAACACATCTGAATAGTGTTTCTAATGTAAAATTCAATGAACAGCTTTCAAAAACTACTCATATTTGTACTTTTTTTTTCCTCCTTCCAGAACTTTTTAGACGTTTATAAAGTACTGACACTCACTCGATGCCTTTTTATGATGTACAAAAGCAAACAGGTTCTTCAACGAGGCTTTAATTCCTCGTATTCATCAAATTTGGCCTCTCTCGGAGTGTTTGCCTTGAAAGTTGATTTCTGTTTGTCCGTATTATGTTTCATGTTCTTGTTTCTTTTTTGAGGGGCGTCCTGTTCGCCTTGTAATTTTTAATCTTACATCAGAGGTAAAACCAGTTGCAGCTGTTTGTCGGCCTACTTTATTATTTGTAATGTTCAAAATCAAAGTCCAGTTTACACCCCGAGAGATAATTTATCCACAAGCCTTTACAAGTAGAAAAGACTTTGAGCAGAGCAACATAACGGTGCAGTGGTTTATTTCAGTCCCAGAGAGGTAACTGCAACATAAAGTGAAAGAAACCAAAGTCAGGAAGATCCATGATGTAAAAACTGTAATACCAAAAGTAAAGGAAAGGACTGGAGTCACTTGTAGATCTCGGCCAAGTCAAGAGACCTCAACTGAGACAAGTGGGTGCAGTGCAGGTTGTAGGGCTTAGACGATACGCTTTTCTCCTGATTCGATTCCTCTTCCATTTTTTGGATGCCAATTCAATTTAAATTGCTATTCTTCGATATTGTCAATTTTCTTGATTTTTAGTCTGCATTTTTAAAACCAATGAAACAGTTGAATGATGATTATTGTCTACTTACTCTTCCAGGAGCCATAATTCCCCCTAAAAAAAACACATCATGTAAGTCAGGTTTTAAGATTTATTCTTAAATTCGAAAAAAAAAAAAAAAATAGATTTTTCAACATAAAAATTACGACGGAGTATTAGGGCCACATTATGAAAAAAAAAAAAAAGAAGACTTCAAGATTAAAGTCATTACTAACGAGAATAAAATCATAGGAAAATCATTTCTTATGAGAATAAAGTCGTAGAGTAAATGAAGTCTTTGTGGAGGAGGAAACGTCTGAACTGGTCAAATGCAGAGTTATCAGTGGGTGCATCAGTGGACCATTCAGAGAGCATTCAGAGAGGGAGGCGAGTTCTGACGAGCACCGCGTCTGTCTCTGATGTCGGCACAACACCGACAGCAACCTACACCTGCAGAGGCACCAACACCTTATGGCAAATAGATTCATACAACAAACTAAAGACATATGCTATTGCTATAAACGGCTGCATTGAGGGATTTAACCTCTGCACAGACATTTCCCCCTCCTCAAAAACAGTGATTCCCTACGAGTCCGTCTGGTTCTTTCTTACAATAGCTATTAGCTACGACTTTATTCTCGTAAGTAATTACGAAGTCTTATTTTTTTTTCTTAATGTGGCCCTAATTTTCTAAAAGAAAATCGCGATCCTTCAGTGAATCGATTTTTTCTCCCACCCTAGCAGGTTGTATTGAAACAGACTCCACGGTTCAGCCGAAGAATCACATCTTCAGGCATCATGGTGGTTCTGGAATATCTGGCAGCTAGGTAGCAGCCTTGAGACCTCCTCCCTGACCGTTCCTGCAGAAGTTAGCTGGTGATTACTTTTGGCGTGCGTTATGTGCATTCAGTCTTCATCTTTTCAGGTTCTGTTTCAAGCTGCACCGTTTCACCTTTTGCTTCTCAGCGTGGATGTAAAATGATTAGTTTGTTCATGCGCAGGTGTAAAACCTCTGGAGATTCTAAGTTCGAGGAGCTTCGGTGGGTTATTACGTAGCTCTACATGTTCCCGCAGTAATAATCGAACCTTCACTTATGGATAAAAGTCATGTGCTCTTTGTTACACCAATTACTCCAACTTCCACCGAAGATAGACCATCTCTCCACTTCATCATCCATGTTCCCGCTGACTGAACAGCAGGCAGGAGAAGTTACTTTTTACAAAGTTTGAACTCATTTCAGAAAACCACGTTATTCCCACTGTGTAGTATGAAACTGATGACTAACTCGGCCCATGTGTCGAATTAAAATGAGGAAAGTTGCAAATCCAAGTTACAACTTTGAACCGTGAACCGGGATGACCCACCTCTGGTACGTGTGTCAGTTATGTACACATGGCTCAGCGTGGGTCCAAACCGAACCACCGCTCTCCCACTCAGCTCTTATGTCTATAATTAGTTTCATAGTGAGAGCAAATTCATTTTCACATGCCGAACAGCCTCCAACTGTCAGGCACTGCCAGAGGATATGGATGGACCTTATTCCACTAATTACCCCAGAGCAAATTTGACTCTGACTGACTAAACTCCTACCTTTGAACGGAAATCTAGAGAAGCCGTTTTTATTCGCCGTATTGGTGCTTTTTTTTCTTTTTTTCTTTTTACATAATACATGATAAAAAAGACAAAGTCAGAAACGCTCTGTAAGTGAGGTTAGAATGATGCTAATTTAATAGAGAGTAGCCACTCAAATGTCTGCGAGTCGAAATGATTTTGACAGCTCCTCAGAAGCCCTCAGAGCCGTTTGGGAGAGCTGCTCATGTTATGTAGATTAATCTAGTGCTATCAAGCTGTGCCGACCACATGCCAGGTCGCTGCCCGTCTCTCCCTCTGAACCACACTTTCAGCTGGAGTTCAGCTAAAAAATCATATTAAGTGAACTCTAAGCCACCCGAGGGTTTCATTTTTGACAATTACTCCGCCGATTTTAGGAGCTTGTGGGAGATGAGTCAAATGTTCAGGTCGCAAAATGGCAAAATGGGGATAATACTCGCCATTTTGCCTTTTTTAAGCTTCTTTCAACTGTAATCTTGAGTCTTAATCTCATGAATTGGCACCTTCAAGAAGGAAATGTATTATTTCCATCTATCATTGGTGCCAAATCGCCCCATGAGAATGACTAGGAAGCACACAGGCTAAGGCACATGGCAACAAAAGAATCAGAGTGAGTTTGACTGTGTTTTTGCTAGTTAAGCGGCGCACAATCCCGGCGCTTTATGAGGTTTAGGACCTAAAGAGTTTGGGTGATTGTTCATGGGAGGTTTGTAGAGGTGGCACCCAACCAATAAGTGTGAAGTTTTGATTGTGGGCGTGTCCTCGTCTTCTGGTAATATCACAGCGATGTAAAAAGACCAATAAAAATACTAAGAACCCTTACAAAACTTCATGATACCCCTTCGCTAGATTAACCCATTCATAGAAGTCCAATTACTATTTACACTCAGTGAACGCTGGGCTAAAAAAAATGTCTGCATTGATTAGGAATAACCATGTTATCGGCGAGTCAATCTCGAGACATCGTCACCTGAATTGGCAACTTAAAGAAGGAAATGTATTATTTCCATCCATCATTGGTGACAAATCGCCCTATTAGAACAACTATGAAGTATATGGGCCAAAGCACACAGCATCAAAAGAATCAGGGTGAGTTTGACCGTGTTTTTGCTAGTTAAGCGGCGCACAATCCCAGTGCTTTATGAGGTTCAGGACCTAAAGAGTTTGGGTGATTGTTGAAGAGAGGTTTGGAGATGTGGCAACCAACAAATAAGTGTGTGGTTTTGATAGTGGACATGTCCTCGACTTTTGGTAATATCACAGCGATGTAAAAAGACAAATTAAAAAAGTACTCTGTTACTGTAAAAATCCTTAACAAAACTTTAACATAGCCACTTTTTCGAGGATAACCCATTCATAGAAGTCCAATTACTTCCTACACACAATGAAGGTTGGGCTAAAAAAACGTCTGCATTGGGTTAGAATCACCATGGTATCGGCATGTCAATCACAGGTAGCCACACCCTGAAATATACCATTTATACTTGGATCAAAATTTAAACCCGATAAAGTTAACTTCATCTAGACATTAAGATCATAAACTCATTGAAAAAATGTGAAATAATGTCATTAATGAGGTGAAAAGTGGAATAATTCCCTCATTTGATTGTACACCGATAAAGTCGCCCTCTAGTGGCTCTTGGAAATAATGCATCTTTGAGAAACCAATGTCTGCTAAGACCATAAACTTCTCTTCTATAGAGCTACACCAGATTTATCCTTACAGACTGTCATTCACTCTTCCATGATGTGAGTTACTTGAATCCAAAGACATGCAGAAGGCCTCTATATATTTACTCATCCGTATGTAGCTGTGTGTCGCATGTTTCCCCGCTGACTAAATCCCATCAATAAGTCAGAGTTGTTCCATACTCCGCCATGGCACATCTCGATCTGTCATTAAACATCAAAATGAAAAAGCCTTTATGTTCGAAACCCTCCGGCATGAAATACACTCCCTGTCATGTCCCTGTATCCATATGTGTTTGCAGTGTTTTATCAGCGGCGTGTGTGTGTGTGTGTGTGTGTGTGTGTGTGTGTGTGAGCACAACCTGCTATCAGCTTTTGTCGAGCATACGCTTTCTCGCTTCCTTGTGAAGTCCTTGCAGATTGTGATTTAGAGCTACACTGTACAAATGAATCTGAAGTTGACTTTGATCTATAATGCAGTGTCATTTCTTACAGGGCCTGCTGATGAGATCTTCAGCTTCATTTGGCTGAGGCCTGGAAATTATTTTTTGTCTGGAGGGAGAAAGCTAATAAAGCCTGGGAGTGAGTTATCACTGAAGTTCTCTGTAGTGCATGATAATGCAATGTAACCGCTAAAGTGTCACTGGGTTCATTTTGTGCAAATGTGCATTCAGCAGCGGGGAATATGCCGATGCATGATTACGATCCTACAAGAGAGCCATTTAAAGTTCCATGCAGATATATCTGCAGTTATTTGGATGCAAACTATGTGGGGAAACTTTGAGGATAGCAGAGCGACCTGGGAGCGGGGTTAGTAATTATGACCAGCAGTTTGAAACCTGAAACCCTCATTATGTAGAAAATCTGAAAGGTCAGGACTCTGGAAATGCTTTGAGCTTCACTGCCTGTTGTCTCTCCCCTAATAAAGTTAAAATATCTTAAATAGAAGCTAAACCTGTAAAGTTAAGGAGGGTAGTAAATGTTGGCCGATAAACATCCATCAATTACAAGTACTTAGTGCTGAAGCGCTGTCTTTCATCCGCATGAATTCTTACTAGTGATTTACAGAGAGTTTATCTAAGGGCGTTTCAACCATTGACTGTATTTACTATGGACAACTTGACTCCGCCTTCCGCCATTATACGAATTTGATGCTGAATTGCTCTGGTATTTTCAGGATTTTCTCCACTTCCTGGACCAACCATTAGCGTTGTACGCATTCGGCGGGAGAGTCGCTCTGATGACCCTCGGCTAAAACAGCGTATCCCCCGAGTGAGCTACACAATCCTCATACGTCCATAGGCTGTATCAGGTGTCAATCATAGAAAACATGAACCCTCATTCTTAAATACAGTCTTTGGTTTCAACCCTCCCTCAGTACGTTTACATGACACTCGAGAAAACTGGATTATTGCCTTACTCTGATTAAGACAACCGAAGTGCACGTAAACATCTAAGTCTGATTAAGACCCCAGATAATGCGAATTCGATTTTCTCTACCATGTAACCAGCGTAGTTGGAGTGTGATTGGACAATACATGTGCGCGTGCAACACACCCACGTAACTCCAGAACAAAAACACCGGAGAAGAGGAGTAGCGTGCGTCTCATCTGATCTCATCTCATCTGCAGAAAAAGTAGCGTGTACATCATGTACGACAAAAACAACGCTGTACGATTCTCCATCTTCTTGCTCGAAAATGCTCAGCAGCAGTTGTAGACACTTCTGACGTCTGGCACGGACCTGCTGTTGATTTTCTCAGCTGCATGTATACACGGACAAAGAGAGAAGTCTGATTCGGTGAATAAAAACGAATTATGAGCCGAGTCCGATTAAGATGTGCATGTAAACACACTGACTGTGGCAGCCATCTAGTCTAGTTCAGTTATCAAAAAAATCCCAACATCTCAGTCTAGTTTGGATGTTACATTGGAGTCTAAACTGGTTAAAAGGTTTCCTCTCTAACTTTTTCATTCAACCAACTAGAAACTAGCGTGGAGTTTGTACCAATTATCTGAGTAAGTGATGGAGAAGGCTTGGTGAATGGATGAACGTGAACAGGTCCTCTGCAGGAATATAAATGCCGACTTTTGCCCAGGGAATCAAGTATTCAACAGAGACGCTAAAGTCTCCTGCTGATTCAGATTCAAAGATGAACGTAGAAGTACAGAGGATAGATCTCTACTCCAAGTCAAGTGTAGCTGGTTGTGGCGCAACTAATCCAACTCAGCGTTTAGCAGGAAAGAGGAAAGATCGGTCGCACATTGAGGGATATATTGTAGACATTATGACTGAAACATACCTGTGCTTCAAGGTTTTATCTTAACATGTTTTACAGACAACAAAGTGAGTCTTTGCTTCAGTTGTAATCCTCTGTAAAACAGCAGAGACCGTCCATGAAGAAGAGGAGCTGCGTGCTTTAACAGAGTTGATACCCTCTCTGGCCTTGTAGCAGCTCATCGCATGAATAAACCCACGCTTTTGTTGTGTTTTTACGAATCTGCTCGATGTTAATATTAAAAAACAAATACTGTGTGCAGCCAGCAGTGGACTGCTCCTCTGCAAAGGTCACCCAAAGACCATCTTATCAAGTTTTCAAGCACACTGGGCCATCATAGAGGGCACTTTATCATGTTTGTTCTATCACCGGGGCATCCGAGAGTGCACTTTTGCTTAACACGAGGGCATCTGGTCCAGTAGTGTGCTCAGCTCTGCACAGTAATAGTCCCAAAGATGGTTATTTCCCTCTGAAAACCAAGGACAGACATCACACCTGCTGCTGTGTGCCGGTGAACACTTTTATTGCCGTTTCTGCAGTGTCCTTTATTTGTCTTCAGCGGGAAACGTGTGATGATGGTCCTTGGGTGTATAGATGACCTCTTGGCATGTAGCATGTTTTGTATTACTCTGAAAGTTCGGCCTATGCAGCAAACTTAGTCCTTCAGGAGGTGCTGGGTGAAGAAACGAAGGATAGAAAGACTTGAATGTTGGAGAGTAATGGGATCATCGTTCATCTTTGGAAATCTGAATTCTCCATTTTCATCCGATTATCCGAAGTGATAATATGAAGAACATGCAGCAACTTGTGAGGACCATCCTCTGAACCTCTATCCTCATGTACCATTAGTAATTGAAAAAGAAAAGCGAATCTATTTGGTGACTTTGGCCTCGCTAAGACACCACAAACATAACCGCTACCTGCACCTAAAAGCTCTGTAAATCCAAGAACCCATTCACCACTTATGCAAAGGAGAAAAACTAGTGCCAGTCCAATCTTCTTCTTTTATAAAGACTTGTAAGAAAAAGAAAAAAAAAAACACTTTTTCTCAAATAAATAGACTTTGGCCGACCAAGGTCAGATAAACAGAGTAAGCTCTTAAAAGAGATTGGACTCCTCCGTACAGCCTCCATTCAGAGCGGAGGATAGTGTACCGTCCAAGGACAGATACTGAACACAGAAGACGGTGACACCCAACCTTTTAACTGGAATAACCAAGTCAACCAAATGAATGTACAGCCATAGGTTATAATGGATTGAATAAAAGGGATGTCAGTGTGTGTGCTCCTGTAGATAAATGCTTTGTATTTTACATCGCATTATGGTAATGACTCTAGATGTCCCATTTGGCAAATACATGTGATTATTCCTCCATCCTTGCATCTCCCCATCATACCTTAATAGGGAGGAGTGAAAGAGTGAAGAGGAGATACAGACAAGCCAAGCAAATATGCATAATTTAGTCGCCGAGACGTTAAGTGAATGAGTTTTCCACAGCGCTGCAGAAGAGAGTCACCTAGAAGCCTCCTATAAGACTGTGGCAGCTGTGGCTGTCGCTCTATGGATGGATTAATGTCGAGTAATCATTCCTAATTATTATCCCCACCTGCTTGTGGACTAAAACGCAGAGCCCAAAGCCAAGCGAGCACCTTTGAATGTCAGGAGGAAAGCCTCGTAAGCCAAGGTGCTTTCAAGGCCGGCGGGTTGGCCCGGCGCTTCTGGAGACCACGTAAGAAAAAGAGAGAGAGAAAGGTCAATGGTTTAGCGCCAATATGCTCATCGTCACTGCGGTCCAAGAAGTCAAATCTGAGTTATTCCCAGGGAAAGTATATTAAGGGTGAACAGATTTTTTCCAGTCTTGTTTCTCTTCACTTTGTGGAGATCGCACTTTGGGACCATGATCGCCATAAACGAGGTTCATAATAACTACCAATCTCTCCAATTGTCCACCATGCCATTGATTCGCGCGAACTTAGAGATGTGAATGTATAGTACTTACTTGCTTCATTTGCAAGGCAAATTATAGCACTTTATGCTAATTTTAAAGGTAATCCCTGCCAATTAAACCGTCAAGATCAAGTGAAAAGGTATCATATAATTCAGGGCACCCACACACTAACACGATCAGTTTGTCCTCCATTTTAGATAAAAGTGAGCAACCGTCCGTTTTCATACGTCACCCGGCAACCTTTGTGCTGATTGGCTATCGCAACGTGAATATCCGCTCAAGTTGAGACATTTTCAGATCCTGTCCAATTCGCATCATTTGTGCCGCCAGAGTAGTAGGAGCGTCTAATCACGTCTTTGCATTGACTCTTACATATAATTGAATGATTTTACTCGTGTTTGATGTGTAGACACAGTAACAGCTGTGTGCCTCTTGTTTTGGGTGATCATACATCCTCCTCTACTCGGACATGTCCTCTTTTTTATGGGTCTGTCCTGCTTTGTCCCGGGAGGTTAATAAAGTCCCTCAAATGTCCGCTGTTTTGAACTTAAGTTTCGAGTTTGTATCACTAGGACTTACTGAGTTAGATGTGTGTGAAAGACGCACGATCCGACCCGAAAACCTCAAAATTAACTTTGTGCTGACTCTGTGGTCGTGCCGTCTTTTTGGGGAGTCAGAATACGATCGCCCTACTCTTGTTTAATTGTACAATGGTTGAAATCTGCAGCTTTTAATCCATAGGTTGTTTAATGAATTGAACAAACTGTTAGAAAAATAGTTCATGATCAGAAATTTTTGAAGAGATTTCTGAAATCTGTCAGATTTTTGAGACTACTTTCATCTAAAGTGAGCAGTGACTGTTGAGAGATAATAAGCTTCACAGCGCAGGATGGATGAGCAGTAAAGCTTTTTTTTTTTTTTCCCGTCATCAAAAGGAACAAGTTTCTGTCTGTACCTTAATATAACTTTTTTTTTTTGTTTACCTTCTGCACTAATTTAATCGCTGCCGGTGGAAACAGATGTCTGGACACCTCTCGTTATAAAAGGGCAGGTGGAGGGATCCAAGAACACCGCTCTGCGTGAATCTCAATCCACACAAGATGCAGACAGAGTTCACCACTTTCACTCCGTTTCTGAACCTCGATTGAATATTTGCGGCGTCGGAGCTTAATAAGAAGTTTTTTTTGCTTTCAGCGTGTCTCATTTTCCATAAGCACATTTCACCGAGTCCATTTTAAATACTCATGCTGCGCTTGATGTAAAACGGAGCAGGGTAATTATGTTGCCGAGCAAATATATGAAAAGGGAAAAAACATTTCTGGTTCAGTGCTTTTCTGGTGTTGTGGAGATTCATATAGACAGAGTGTGTAATTCAAGGATTCAGGGCAACATGACAAGGATCATTTCTAACACCATTTAGAGGAGAGTAATGAAGTGTGACCGGGGTTACACATTTCCCTATATGACTGATTTCCTGTTTGAGATCTGGTGTAGGACCACAAAAATCCTCAGCAGAGGATGTTTTCACCCAACACTAAGACTCATAATGAACCAAACCCAGAGTTTCTGCTTGTTCTGCCTTTATTTACTCCTAATTAGCATTTGTTTGCAAGCTCTGACAATTCATTAAAACAATGCAACGACTGAATCAAAATACAAAATGAAAACAAAAGTGTGGAGATACAGTTTGTGATTTCAGACGACCAGAAAAAAAGCAAATAAAAAACAAAATATTACATTAATATTCTGGGATAAACATTTGGCATTTTAATATGCTTATATGTTTAAAGATAACATCGGCATGAACTAGTTTACAACCCTTTGTATGTAAATACAAATGCAACTCACAACTACATTAAAGGCATGGTTGACGATTGGAGAGATTGGTAAATGTTATGAACCTCGTTTCTATGGCGATCATGGTCCAATAGTGCGATCTCCACAAAGTGAGGAGAAAAAGAATGGAAAAATACGTTCACCCTAGCAGGTGCAGGGCTGCAAAAACATTGACCAATGGTAGGATGGTAGGGAAAGTCCCGCACTCCTTCGCCTCTGATTGGCGAGAAGTATTGGGCTCCAATTGGTTATTCCTAATGGCTGTGAAACGTCATCGTCTGTTGGGTTAGGGTTAGGGTTAGGTGATTCAGAAGAGCGATAATTTTCTGTAATGTTCTGTTTGATGTACAGAGCCGACAGCCCATGTTTGGCTTGAGCATGTGATGACGTTTCCAGCTCTTCTAGCCAATCAGAGTCGAAGGAGGCGGGACTTTTCCCCTGTTGTCCCACAAAAAAAATCAAGCGTAACATTATCGCTCTTATGAATCTCCTAACCCTAACCTGATAGACGATGATGTTTCACAGCCATTAGGAATAACCAATCGAAACCCAGCACTTCTAGCTAATCGGAGGCGATGGAGGGTGGGACTTTCCCTTTACAGCCTACAAAAAAAAATTGCGTCCAGGCAGCTGCAGACGCTGCTCGCTAGCAGAGCTGGCATTTACTGCCGCTAGTCACTAGTCCTATTTGAAACCAGCGTAGGATCTTCTGCTGGCCGGCTTCTTGCTCTGCCAGAGGGGGTGTGTCGTGGGGAGGGCGATACAGGTTCTGGGAGGAGTTATCGTGGAGCACAGAGGGGAGAGGTTTGTGTGTGGAGGGTGGGACGCTTTTTTCAAATCTGCCCCAAAGGAAGCAGTTTTTTTTCAACTGCTACTCAGATCATCAACCACAACTTAAAATCAACATCCTTTACTCGCTTCAGCTTCCCCTGTGAGTTCTCCACTTCCTGGTTTTGGCTTCACTTTATCTGTACTTCCCCTGAAATGAGCAGTGCATCATTTTTAAACAACAGCACATAAAGGTCGATAAATCTACCTCTGGACCTCTTTAACTGTAGGATAGTCGGTGTGGAAACTCTCTGACTCATCCCCAGGTTTGTGCCTGGCTTTACAAGAACCAATTAGCAAATGACCGTGTGCAGCTAGTACTCATGGGAATTGTAGTGTCACAGTTTTCACAGTGCCATTAGATTAGGCCTGGTGTGCCTCATAAGGGTCTCTCTCTGGGTCTTCTTCCATGTTTTAAACAGTTTTTTTTTACTAGTTTAGGAAAACTTCTCCGTGAAACTTTTGAGTATTAACTCAGTGGAAATAATTGGACATGTGGGTCAAAACCTCGATTACTCACAGCAGCATGCTGGATGGATTATTGTTAACACTCTTTATTAATGATTTTTTCTTCTTTCTCTTATTTAAATGTGCAGAGTTGATGGATGATCAACCTTCGTGTTACATTTATTACAGAGCCATAAGACCGGCCAGAAGCCTCAGGGATCTATTTTACCTCCAACTCTGATCACATTTCTTATTGGGTTTGTGTTTCTCACTAATAGGACCATTAACATCAGTTATGAACCTTTCGTTAAGACTCTTTTCCAATGAGCGGCGCTTCCCTCCACATCTCCACAGCAGGAACGGATGAAACATTTAAATCTCTCTGTAAAAAAAAAATCAGTCTATTACAAGCTGTTTTTTTGCGTCTGTTCTTCTCTGTGGGTAGAAACTCCATTATTTACTCACTACAGACAGATCTTTATTGTGATGGGACGCATTTTGATGCTGCAGGCATTTCCAATTCCAGTGTGTACACTGAGAATAAAACACTATCGAGTGGTGGCGGGGTTATTCTCGTCCCTCGTCGACTGAACTGTTCCTACACTTATCTAAAAATATACACAAAGCTTTGTTATCCTTTTCTGTATTCTATTAACTTAACATATACAGCACTTTCTCTGCATAATACATTTAGTGGGTCATCGCTGCCGATTCCTGATTAAAAAAGTCGCTCTGTTTTGCATAACGCTGGTGAGACATTTCCTCTTCCTTTGCTGGTTTACTGTCAAAACAAGTCATCTGGGTTACCCCTTTATCAGCTGTGCACTCAGCACTGCTGCAGATAAATCCCTCTGACTCTTTTACCATGCTGCTTATCACTTACTGTGCCATGATGTGGTCACAGCACATGCAGCAAAAAAAGAAGATGAATCTGCTTGTCTGTGCAAGTCACTTCAGCAGATATGCCTGAATTTTTAAACTCACCTCAGAAGTAAGTTTATTCAGGCCTGGTGGCAATTAAAGTTGACAAAGTAGGTAGTTGGCACTCCTGCTCGGAAAACAGGGTTTGAGGTTTGCATCATCGTGGAAAATGTGGAAGAAGAAAAAAAGACAGAAGGGAAATTAATGGAGACATTTAGTTGGCAAGTTGGTTGAGGATGAACATGCATTTTTGTATAAATATGATAAACTAAGCTTGTGGTAATTTGCACTTTTTATATTCTTATAAAATATATCATTACTTTTTTTGAGGCATCCCTTTATTTTGCGCTCCCCCCCTCCCACTTTTCCATTATTTAAGTCTTGATAGATGCATTTTTACCAACTATGGAAAAAATGTAAAAACTCGTGTAAAAAACTCAATGTAAATAATTTATTTATGACTGAAAATGTGAACTTTACACCATTATAACAAACAGGTCTAGCAGTCTTTAAAAGGCATTTGGAGGATCGTTATTGCGTTACCGTATTTTACCCAGAAGATGGCGCTTGAAGCTGCATGTGATGGCATCAGTGTGCAAAGCAATTAAACTGTTTTCTCCATTTTCAGGTCAGAATTAAAGAAGTCATTGAGTAAATGAACTTTGTGGAGAGCTGGTTTGATTGAAAAGACTCCCAAACCGCGAAAACAAGTGACCAGCAGAGGGCAGTAGAGCAAGTCATTGCACACAGTAAATTGTCAGTTCCTTTAAACTGTAAAAGTAACATGTGTTGAACTGCTTTTGTCAGTGACAGATTGTGTTAGAGAGAGCTACACATCTGCATATAAACTGCACATTGCTGACCTTAACTGACCGTTTTGTCGCCAACTGACATACCTTTGCAGTTATTCTCTTGGTTTTGCAGTATCTATGGTCTCCAGAGGTTGAGGGAGTGTTTGGTTAACAGGTATTCATGGTGCCAAGAGGATGCATCATCAAAATGTAAACGATATTCTGACATTTAATAATGCCGTTTGATTTTCGACTCAAAGTCAAAGTCAACTTCATTGTCAAATATGCTATACATGTTAAACATACAGCACAGATGAAATTTCAGTCCTCTCAGACCCACGGTGCATATGAATAAACTATAAGAATAAAACTATAAATGTATAAATATTGAATAAACAAAATACTACCTTAAATACTCTCAATTTACAAAATAAAGATAACAGTATAAACAGCATAACAATAATAAACAGTGTAACAGTATAAAGATAAGGAAGAAGGTGAATGGAAGAAAGACAAAAATCACCTATTTATATTTCCCTTGGACTCTCGTCAGATTCTTTTACTCTTACCAAGCAGTTACTTGTAGCTTTAATTTCAAACTAATATATCTTTTGTATAATAAGTGAGAACAGTGAGTGCATTTATCAAAATGTTAAAAATAAAACACATCAACCCTTATCTGGGCCACTAATAAAGGAATCCAGGTCCAATCACTCAAACAGCACAGGTTTAAATATACATAGATATATAAAACATGGTTATATTTGATCAGTTTATTTGGTTTAGTTCCTGGGACCTTGAACACGTCGCCTCCATTCCAATCCGCCCCTCCCAGATCAACTTTCCCTCCGTCTCTGCATCTCTGCGGCACCAATTTGAATTGAAATTGCCCGTTCGTTCGCCTGAAAACAGCATCTCCCATGCTTCAGAGACTTTATTTTTCATTTGTATGAGCTATCTAACCTTGTGACAATCACACTGCCGCTCATGTGTATAATAGTTGTTTGGACATCATTTCAGAATGTGGAAGTTAACGTCCCAACATGCCTCGGTTTTGCTGATACAAGGTCAAACTTGCCGATAATGCATTAGCGCAGATTTCTGACTTCTCAACCTGTTTGTGTTCTTATTTATACCTCCACATTTAAAGGAGGTCGTTTTATTGAGTTTTATGACACAAACTGATTCAACTTTAACAAATAGGACAAGTACAAACCCTTTTGGAGGCGTCTTTTTTGTTTTATAATGCTGAATTTTGTGTGTGCGTGTCCTTAACGCGGCACTACAATATGTTTGGATGATTTGAGGGCAGCAGGCATAAACGCGTGTTATAAATTTAGCCAGAGTCTTGGCCTTCCTTCTCCTCCGCGTCCCCCTGACGACCAAGGCCAGGTCCCCGCTGATGGAGAGAGAGGGGTCAACTCTGGCAGCAGGAACAAAGTGGACTTGACAAGTGTGAAAGATTTAGTGCCGGGCATTTAGAGTGATCATCTTTTCCCCTTTGTCAGCAGGTAGAGAAATTTCTCTGCCCTTACTGTGTCCTTGATTCAGGTTTGATGGCACAGGGGGGGAAATCCTGTCTCTGTGCACGTCTCCCCTCTGCTGTGATGCAGAGGCCGGTCGGTCGGTCAGTCGGTACATTGTCCTGTTAATGACTGTTATTGCTCGGAGTGGAATGAATATTATTACCTTGAAATTTAAAGCTTATGGAAATTTATGTTGAAATGGCAAAAATGCACATATAACATCAACGTTCGCTGTCTCAGAAAGCGTACATAAAAAATCTGCAAGTTAAATGTTAAAACAACCACCAGCCAAATAAGCTTTCAGGCCACTGTTTCAGACTGATTCAGCTTTACGGGTCATATTTTCTTAAGAATCTCCATTTATAAGAGTAGTAGAGCCAGTGAACAGTATATCTGAGGTGTCTGAGTCAGGAGAGGAAAGAGCAGGTGTCCTGCAGTCTGAAATAATAAACCAGGAACCTTTAATGAACAGCTCAGACTTTTATTTGTTTCACTCTGCAAACGCCCCCTGCCTTTATTTGGGGCAGGCTTCAATAAAGAATATCATCTCATGCAGTCTTCCACGACCAAAACCAAAAATATAAACTTATTGTTTATCATACTGAGTGGTAAGAATCTGGCATCTTATTGGACACTGACTCCAAACAGGAAAGTGGTTTCAGAGGAGAACTCGATCAAGCTAGACGGTGTTTCGGTTAAACAGGTAACCGTGCAAACTGGCGACTTCCTGTCAGATGCATTTGCATTTATCATATGCCGCATTCCAGTTAAATCAGAAGTTGGATTGTGGAGCTGGGAATAATGTTACAGCCGAGTTGATGGCGTTCCAGTTAACAAGTGGGAAAACCAAGATGGACACCTACTGTTAGCCGTTGTTAGCTATTGTTAACAATTGTCAGCGGTCATTAGCTGTTGTCAGTCGTTGTCGGTGGTTGTCAGTCGTTGTTAGCGGTTTTCTTGAAGACTTAAAAACAGGCAACTGGACTGTGTAGAGATGAGAAGACGTTTCGCCTCTTATCCAAGAAGCTTCTTCAGTTCTTCTTCAGTTGTTAGCAGTTGTCAGCTGTTGTTAGCGGTTGTTAGTTGTTGTTAGCTATACCAGTTGTAAACAACACACAATATAGTATGTGTTCACAGTTAGACGTTGGGCAGTACAACATATTTAATTTCACAAAAACAAAAACAGAAGAGCTAATAAATGAAACATTTGGCTACAAGAGCTTTCACTGTTACTCTTTACTGTTGATGCACTGCGCTGCCACCTTGAATTATGATGTTGTCATCAAGTCAGGGTTGGCGAGGCTCGTCCAACTCTCCGAGTCGGAAATCCATATTCAGGGGGGCGTTCCAGATGAATTTCCAAGTCGGAGTTTGGAAATCCTGAATTCTGAGTACAACTTGAATGCAGCAATAATCACAACTTGCTATTTAACCCTAACGACCGCTGAGGCATTCAGCTGAAAGTCGTCAGTTAACACGCTAACTCTCTAAATCAAAACACCGGCGCCTGTGGTAGAATCATCCCCTCGTTGTAAATGGAGACCGGCATCTTTCACTGCCATGTTCATACAGTAACACAATCTAGTACATAGTATTACTTACATACTAGAACCTGACAAATGCTTCACAGCAGCTTCTTGTCCTTAAAGGCTGCCGTAGCTGCATCATCAAGAGGCTGAGCAGAGATCTAATATATTCAAATATTCCCATTTTTACACACAATACCGCTCACTTACTTGTAAATATTGAACAAACCAGAGGACTACGATCTTTTTAGATTTAAAACCAGAAAGAATAGATAAGAAACGTTTAATAAAGGAGCATTACGTCACATTTGTGTTTTCCAGTCTTTAAAGTCTCGTGCCCTGACTGTCCAAACTGCATTTTACTGCTTTAAAAACAGGAGTAACTGGACGTATCACACAACCATAATGGTGGTTAGTTTTTAATCTGTGAATGGTTCCCAATCTAAAACCTGTTTCCGCCCTCTTTAAAGGAATTACCATGCGTACAGTGTCATGTAATATTTCAACCCTTCTCCTCTTTTTTTCATTTGTTCTCACTCTCCACAGCTCCCCTCTGTATTATATGGCTTAATTTTCCTGAAGAGCAGCAAATGTTACACTTCAGTGAAATTTTGAGGCCTCTTAAATCCCAGAGACTATGCCTCATAGATTTCAGTAAACTATGAAATTAAATATGGGACCTCCTGTGTGAATTGGATTTAAATATCCCTATTACTCCTGCAAATGAAAGAAAAAAAGTAAGATTAACTTTTAAATGATGGTGAGAATCCTCTAGTGCTACGGCTTAATAATTAGGTCATTAGCACAAGTGTGATGCTTCCTAATCCCTCCCAGTAGCTAGCATGATACCACAGATCCGTATCACCCTCTTATCAAATCTCAAGAGGTGCATCTGTTGCTTTTCTTCTTGGATCTCTCCTGGACACAAAAAACAAACAATAATAAGACACAAATCCACCTCGGATACGTGCCGAGTGCCGCGATGTGATGGATTTAGACGAGGCGAGTCAGGTGAATGTCGAGCAGTCTTAATGGAGAGAGCGGCTCCAGTGATCCCCGCAGAGCCCGGTGGCTTTAGTTTTCACCCAATTACCATTTTCAGCTTCTCCCTCCACTGTTTTTGTCACACTGTGTGGTGTTTTAAAACCGCTGTGGTGTCTTTTTCCATTAGAGCTTCTCAGGCTAAAGTCGATGCAAATACCGTAATGACCCAAATATGAGGACAACTCCCACGCCTTTTTTAAGACCAAGACTTTTTGAGAGTTAGTTCTGTTTTTACAAAGTCAGTCAAGCACTGTAGTCCACTGGACGGATGGGTCTGCCAATATGCATACTGTCAATCCATTGTTTTAGTTACATACATCATGAAGTAGGTTGGATTTCATTTTACCGTCTTTACACAAGTGGATTAAAATGATGGAGGAAAAGCAACGTAACTATCATCTTTGTATAAATTTTATAAACAGTTAAAAACTCTCAGAACTTCTTTGAGTTTGAGCGACCACCTACGAGCTAAACGTACAAGTGCAGCTGATCAGACTGATGTCTTACCACCAATTTCCACTGTATCTGGAACGGCTACGAAAAGGATGTATGCGCCAATCGCAGCTGATCGTAACCATTCAAGGTAACGTGTCAATTTCTACTGGCTTCTTTCCGTTCCGCTGCGGATCGGCAGACTCCACAGCAGATCGCAAGAGTTGTTTTTTCTGGACGCCACATAGCCCATGCTGAAAAGGAAGTCGGGCACAGACACAAAGTAAAACATCTGGCTTCTTTTCAAAATAAAACACTCCGTGTTTCAGGAGGATCATATTTCACACCATGCAAACAGGGGGAGAAGAGCAAGTGAAAGGTTCTTAGAAGTCATTTCACCAAGATGACACTATGGATGAGGAGATGCTGATTCTAGAAGTCTAGAAGTAGATTTCCTCCATTGGAAGGAGACAATCTACTGCTTATATGGTTATGTGGCTGTCTTTATAGAGACAACTCGTTATCGCGTGATTGCACGTGAATCCGCGGGTTCTTGTGAGTTCTCAAGATTCCCGCTGTCAGGTAATCCGCCACAAAATTCGCCTCACAAACGGATCTAGGAATTGGCGGACGGCAAAAATCGCTGCCGGAAATTGGGGGTAAGCTCTTAAATAGCACTAAGAGTATCTGTTTCATTGTATTCACCCAAAACAAGCATTTCTTTACAGCATCACTGTGGACATGAGAGTCTATTCCATTAAAGATATTTCCCCGTGTGAAGCTCTACTCCTCTCGACAGATCCATCACATGTCCTTAGTTTCGCTTCCAGCTAACAAGCCCTGATTGTTTTCATCATTTCCTTTTTTTCTTCCTATCAGGCCGGAGTGTCTTTCTTCTAGAGTCCTGATGGGCCCGGCTTTCACTTTGATGGATTTGATTTAGTGATGAGGTTTGCCTTGACATGGAGGTGGAAGACTTTTAACTAGAGAAACAACAACTAAAAACACACTGATTTACACACAGTGGTGAAGCAAAGCAATTAGGAACAAACTAGGACAGAAGGACTTTCATTTTTCGGGCCTGTATCTCTTTTGTGGGTTTTGCACAGCAGATGGAAACCTGGAGATCCATGGGGAGTGGATACCAATTTGTGCAATTTAGCAACAAAAAAAAAACACCTTGTACAGTGCAAATGAAGTTTGCCCAATTCAATAAAACATATCTGAGGGGTACCATAATCAAAAGCTGGAGGGACTTTTGCAGTACATCAAATGTTATTGTGAATCTGAGTCTGAGAGGCACTAGAGCTCATATGAAAGTTTCAGTGACACTAAATGTGTTTGATCCAATTTTACACAGGTTTCAGCCTCGGTCTGGGATCTCTACAGGGGTTTCTCTGTGCTTTAAATTCAACTGAGAGTCTTAGATACTTGGGCCCAAGTGTATTTGATAAGAATTATCATGTTTGGTTTGCATTGTTGCGCATCACTCCTAACATCAAGACTCATTTCTGACCATTTATCTCTTCAGGTGGAAAATTTAAAGTAGCTTCAAACCCAAACCAGCATTTGTCTTTGCATATATATGTGCAGATGCTAACTATCAGATCTGTCTCCTCACTCTCTTTGAGCTCAGTATCTCAGGATCGGGCCTCTCTTATGGGGCGTTCACACCAAGCCCAAGTAAAATCATCTACTCGTTTAACTCGAGCGAATCTAGAGGCGTGAATTAAAAGTATTAACTCGCTTGGGATCAAGTGATAGACAAAGGGGTTTTTAAATTTACCAGGTAATCCTACCTCCTCACTCACTTGCCTTCAGACAAGCTTCTTTTTTTATTCCGGTTTCGGTAACTAAAAGAAAAGGTATCATATAATTCAGGGCACCCACACTCCGACACGATCAGTTTGCCCTTCTTTTTAGATACCAGTGAACATTTTTTAGCTCCCGCTCAATTGATGTCACCAGAGTCGTAGGAGCGTCTTATCGCGTTTTTGCGTTGACTTTACATGTAATTCATTCACGGGAATGATTTTACTCACGCTCTATATGTGTAGACAGTTAGAGTTCCATAAGGGTACGTAGGTGTGTCCAAACCACAAGGGTTGCCTCAGTGACCAGTGCTTGGTTCCCGCTCTTCCTCGAAACAATTATCATGGCTTCTCACCTCATCACTATGCAGATGATACCCTCCTCTTTCTGTCATTCTGACCAGATGACGCAACCGATCCTGCTTGGATCTCTGATATTTCTAAGTGGATAAAGGATCGTTACTTTCTGTTGAACTTGTCCAAAACTGGGCTTTTTGCTATCTCAGCCAATACCCCCATACAAAGCCTGATCCATATCCAGTCTGTCCAGAACTCGAGTGTCATGATTAATAACCTTTAGGGTTGATCTCGCCTTGATTGTTTAGCCATGCTAATTCGCACTAAATAAAGTCCCCCGAAAGACTTTTAAAAATCAGTCCAATTAAATAACTGCGAGGCATTACTCCTCCACTAGATTTGCATATTTTCATTATTTTCAGTAGATTGTTTTTTCTTCTTTATTCTGGTTCAGAGTATCCCCCCTAAATAAAATACAGTCTCCTCTTTCCTCTTCATCATCTCCATAGTTCAGGATATATAAACCCGTCCTCTAAGGAACGCTGTTTAACTTATGTCCAAATAGCGCAGTAGAGCAGTAAAACCACAGCACACCAAGGCTCTCACAGGGCCTTTACTCATAGTTACGTACTGAACTGAAGACACAGACATATCCATCACATTAAACATAATGAACAGGCTGTGTTTGACCCTGGTAATGCTGCACAAATCTCCTAAACAGCTGTGCAACAATAGCTTGTAAAATAATTGTGGTTTCCCTGCCACCCATCTTCCAGGATGGTAATATACTATCACAGAACCATTTGCAATGTCAGCCGGTCTCTGTACCACACAAACACTTCCTCCCTGCACATTTTCCTGATGCCCATTACACACAAACACACGCCCGAGGCGCTAAACACAACCCTCTTTTTTGCTCTCCATGTGAAAGTGATGACATGAAAGTTACCATCCTCAACCTGCGTGAGTTCTGAGTGTTCGCTATCGTGAAGGACAGCTTTTAATACAGCCCTCCTTAGATCCTCTGCTGCCAGCATTCAGAAGCAGCGGACCTGCAGAACAAATTGTGAATGCTCTTAGCCAAAGTCAAAGCCAGCAGCGGGCTGTTTTGATTGACAACGACCTTTGAATTGGCCTCAAGTATCAAAATAGAGATGTTCTCCTGGCTGCTTCCAGGGGAAACTTCAAGAGTTAATGGCCTCCAAACTCCTCGTGATCAGAATTTATTATTTATTTTTTTCCCATTTACAAAATCTTAATAGCGGTGCCTACAGGCGTTTTTGCCCTTTGGAAAGCCTGCAGAAGAGCTGAATACCATCCAAGATGCACCACTGTGAGAGGCTGTCAATCTGGCTGTTTGATCAGTGGACCAATACTTTCAATTAAGGGTCTTTGGGTGGCTCCCTGGGGTTTCTCTGTGGACTTTATCGTTAATTTTTCTGTATTAATGTGAAGTAAAAGAAAGGTGATGCAGAAGTTTACTTGTATCCATACTTACTAAAACTCAAAACATGACTTTTTATGCCAGTGCCTAAAAAGTTTAGTGCAAAATGTTTACATCTTTATGGCCTTTATATTGAAAAACTCGCCTTTTCATTCCTTTTTGTTTGTTGGTCATCCTTTAGCGAACATAAAAACACACTTACCTGGAAAACAGGGATCATAGAAGTTGGTCAGAACTGTCTCCTGTAGTGATGTCAACCCAGGACTGATTTACCCTCCCACTCTCCTCAGTGATTCTGCTTCTTCTTTAACTATTGTGGCTACCTGCTGAAAAAGCCGACCATATAAAGTTGGCGATATGTCAGGCAAGAAAGCAGGAATAGTACGAGAGCTCTTCTGGAGCACTCAGATTCAGATTCAGACAACTTTATCAATCCCCGAAGGGCAATTCACTCCACAGTAACAGAACAGACAAATACCAGACATTCACAGCAGCATATGACCCAAACATTCCCCAATCAGCACCACGAATCTACAATAAATAAGTAACCAGATATTAAATACATGTGGAATACCTTCAACAGTGGAATGACTATAAGAAATAAGAACTAAAACAATCCTCAGACCCCAATTTCAACACCCCAAAATCCAACACAGACCACCAATCCACTACTTTTTACAGTTAGCAACCTGATCACTAAGGGGATAAATGAGTTGGAGTATCTATTCGTTTTTCTTGGGGGAGCATAGTAGCGCCTCCCAGAGGGCATAAGAGAAAAGTCTGAGAAAAAGGATGTGTCCAGAATCGCCATGTCTCTTGGAGTTTTTCCGCCTCTACATTTTTCCACACCAGCCAATCAGTGCAGTGCTTTATTATCATAGCATCCGCACTGCATTAGGAACTGAGAGGCTGCAGATGGTGATACTTTGTTTACCTTGACAGCTAAAACTACGATCTACTCGGCTCTTAAAGCGAAGTAACGTACATGACCTGGCTTTGTTTACTACCACTGCATGTTAGTAATGGATATTACATTTTATGTCTGAGTTTCTTACCTAATTAACCTACAAAGAGTACTTTAAAGTACGACTTTGAGCTAAAAGTCTTATTGGTTTAATGTAAAACTGCTGAGAGTAGGGCTTTCGACTTCTCCCAAATAAGAGCACACATTTTGATTTATTTTCTTATGTTCACACATTGTCAATTATGACATGATGCATTCAGTTCTTATTGTGTTTTTTCAAGACGTTTTTATGCTTTTATATCTGATCTGGGTGCTGAATCTGTTTACATTGTCTAATTTCAAATTAGTGGACTGAATAACGTTTTTTTTTTTTCAAGAAAAAGGACAAAAAAGACGAAGCTTCATATTTCCATATATCCAGTAATTGAATTCCCCTCGGGGATCAATAAAGAGCTACAGTTAAATGGCATCAGAAGGCTACATTTCATTTACTATTTGAATTTGATGAGCCATAACAGAGACAGAAAAAGTCGGTGTTGGCAAACAATTCATATCTTAATAAGAAAATAACTTTTTCTCTCACAGCAGCAGCAGCAAAAGAGTAAACAGGAAGCATTATTCACTAAATAGGAGCGGCATTTAACCCACTTTATTGTGCTTTTCTTGCACGTCGCAGCTAATGACAGAAACCCACACAGTGTCAGCCTGCTAGAAAACACAAAACTCTGTTATATCTGCAGAAATATGGTTTTACTGCAGAGCTCTCCGTCTGGCTTCGGTATCAGCGCTCATGCAAAGGTCACAAGTTCAAAGTGAGAGATGCTGAATGAAGCAACTCTTGGAGTAAATCTGCTCTAGAGCCAGTTGAAGACTGGTTTTACTGGTCGCTGTAGGAAGGAGATAAGAACACGTCTCCAGTCTGAGAGTATAGATAGCGAACGGGAAAGAATAATAATCTGACTTTTACAGACTTATTCTTGGAGAGCTTCTCCAATTATATACAGCACTTGAGACTGAACTATTGATATCTTTATGCAAACATCCTTTAGAAGTGGTGGGATTCATATTTACTTAGAAAGATGAAGATGAGAGAGTTTCTGTAATGACCTCTTCCAGCTCGTGGGGTTGAACCAACAGAATATTAAACACTACTTTAGGTTTTGTTGATGTAGCTGTTCAAAGACACGTCTCGGCTCCGAGGGAGATATTTTAAAGAAAATGAAAGCGGTGCACTGTACAAAACTAAATACGATAAACTGTTGTGCATGTCGACTCATTGTTAGCACTCAGAAAAACATAAATGGAGATATTTCCACTCCAGATTTGATTCGACAAGTTTAAGATGCTGGAGGAGAATGAATAGAAGCATGAACTATACTGTACTCCCAAGGAAAACCACTACTTCAAACCGCATTTGAAATATGGGTTTAGAAAGAGTGAAAAAAGATCATTATAAATACGGGGAAACGCTATAAACCGTCCTCAAAAGGAATTTTTATGAGTCTGGGAGTTCTAATGAAAATCAGTTTGAGATTCAAAAATAAGGGTGCTCTTTGTGAGCCTGTGGGAGCTATTCAGCGCTCCACTTTGAATCCCTGCGACGGAGCATTGTCTTTGAAAACGCGCTTCATGTTTCAAACGGGCGGCCCATGAAATAAAAGAGTAAGCGCGGGATAAAGGAGCCCTCAGTGTTGGTAATGGTTAGAAAGACGAGGCGGCGAAACGCGGGGAGCTACGTCTCATTTGGACCTCATTCAAACCAAATAGACAATGGCCCATTAAATTGTGACATGTTTACTGCCTCACGCCATACATGACTGATGTGCATTATGAGCTACACCATTTCAAGGGAAATGACATGTAAGAGCTACAGCACTGTAATTTAGCCCCAACCCGCAGATTCAGCAGGAAACAAAAACCATGACAAGTGGATAAGGGCTTTGGCAAATGGCTCCATACGTCTCTCTTGTCACTTACATATGTGCTCTCCCATGTGATCCATCACGGTGATGATTGGAACCAGTATGGAGCTCGGGTCAAACCAACAGCTGGCCTCTTTAAGAGAGTGCAAAGAGAGAGGGGGACTGAGCATGGTCGGCCTGTTTAAAGGTGATGTAAACAGGCCCTGATGGATGAAGGACTCCCATCCATCCATCATCCTTCCATCCTGAAGGGCCTTAATCTTCTGCAAACACAATCCTGCCACCGCAGCCCCCTCATCCCTCCGCCTTGTCTCTCAAGTCCTTAATATCCCTTTGTGGAGAGACCTTGTTCCTGCAGTAAGACAACGCGCTCTCACCGGACGGGAAGAAATGACACCGGCTAAAGGTTAAAAGCGCCGAGAGAAGCATGAGGGAAGGAACCTTTGAGCGGAGAGTTCTTATCCCTGCCCAGATCATAACTCACGGCGTTTCCTCTGGAGAGCAAAAACACAAACTGAATTTATTTCAATAAAAGGTCAAATAAACTGAGATTGACTGATCACACGGCTTTATAGTTAGCATCAGGCGTTTTCAAGTTAGCATCACTGATTGACCAAATTACAGAAGGATAACACTTAAATTGGACCACTGTAGATGTTCTTTGTTACATGAATGAAGATGTTACAGACCAGGGCTCGATAGTGCGACCGTTTCACTCCCATTGGCAACTAAAAATAGATGAGTGCGAATTGTAAAATGCTTTTAGGGGAACATGTGCGCATAAAAAAACAGCTAAGGCAACAAGGTTGGATATTTGACGGACATTCACTGCGGATCTACTGGTGTCTTCTCACGCTCCATAACTGGGAATAACAACAGCAGTGCGGTTAAATCTACTCGGCCCCCTCACTGTCAATGTTGAGTGTTGAATAAGGGACTGTCAATAAATTACCGGTTGATGTTCTCAGAAAAGGCTGTTTTCCTTCAATAGCTTCCATGTCACGTGATCAAAAGACCTAAAATTGATTTCAAATAATAGTACTAAGGTCGAACAATGAGAGAGAAAGTTGTTATAATTTAAAAGGATTTGAAATATTGAAAAAGCCAAGATTCAAAACTTAACTGAAAGAGCGCCGTGTTATAGTGAGAGGAATAAACAATCTGAACAAAGAAAGTAAAGAAGCTAGATCAACTTTTATCTTCAAAAAAAGTGTCAAATACAGGAAAATATGTTCATCTAAGTCTTGGTATGTTGGTTTTGTGGAAGAATGTGAATTAACGTGGTCTTTTCTGTTTGTTTTTGAAAAATAAGAAATAATGAACTGTAAAAAAGCATGTTGGCCTGCAGCTCTTTTTTTTTTATTGTGTTGAGTGGATTAATAGCTTATGAAAGATGAGCAGACTCTATAAGAGTTTTCTTCTTTTTGCTCGTTTCATTCATTCATTTTATTCATTCACATGTTTGAGATTTTTCCTTGTTTGTATTGAATATTTTAAATATTAACTGAGTGAAATAAAGTATGAAATTGAAATAAAAATGAAATTTCCCTAATTTGTCCCAATAAATGTTTTTGTGTTAAATCTAAAGGCAAATTTCAAACATTTCCTTCAATAGCTTCCATGTCATGTGACAAAAGACCTAAAATTGATGTCAAATAATAGTACGATTATGTCGATCAATAAGACACACATTATTTGATCAATTTTCATTGTACCCCTAAAGTTCTTTCTGTGCTCCTTGTGAAAAAGTTAATGTCAAGCCCTGAAGAGTCAATAACACGACTTTGTAGTAGAAATCTCCGCATAGGCTCAAAAAAACTTATTTCTTTGTTGAAATCATGGATTCTACGCTTGTTATCAGCACATGATGGTACGTGATGCAGGTTCAGGGAGGACTCAGCTTTCTAAAAAGTCCCAGTACTCCATGTGGGAACTGTTTTTCAGGTTTCTTGTGGTAGAAGTTTGCCGGCCTGACCTTGACCCCGGCCGAAACCTCTGGGATGAACAGGAGCCAGATCTTATCACCCAATACCAGCACACGACACCGCTAAAGGCTCTGAATGAATATTGAATGGGAGGAAATCCCTGCAGCCAGGTACTGAAATCTGGAGGAAAGGCTTCACAGGAGAAGATGCTCTAACACTGCTATTAATACTTATAGTTTTTAAGAGTTTTTCAGAATCTTTGTGCAGAAAAGTTGACTGAACACAGATTGAAAATCCCCTTTCCTATTGACCGCGTCTCTGCTTTTATATCTCTGATGTTCGCTGTCCTGTTATTGTTGTCGTTTCTGCTTCCTCAGATTGTACTGCGGCTGTCAGCCGATGATTGGGTCTATATCTGACTTTTTATTCTTGACACTTTGGTGAATATTCCAGTTTTTTAAAAGGCTTGAATGAGATTTTTTCCTATTGCAGCTTCCCTGACTGCAATATCCACAAATCAATATAACGCTAGATATAAGAAGTTTTTATTTACAACTTAAAAAAAAACTCTGAAATAGCCAACGGGGAATATGGATGAAAACACACATTATTCTGCATGTACTCCAAACAGTAAGTCAAACAAACTTCCACCCACACAAACACTCAGTACGGTTAAAATGCTGCTTGTAGTGGGTTGCCAGTCAGCGATGCACGTGAAACCCCCGGACCAGTCTCTTGAGTGTATCATCATTTCTTTTCCAAATAGAACTCGCACTCACTCATCACTCAGCGCTCACAGTGTCTGCGTCTCCGCCATGCTCCACGGGCTGAAACCATCAATTGTGTGGGAAGCCCACAGCAGAAACAACCTATTATTGCGAGAACCACAATAAAGAAAAAGGCTACGGAGGCTTCAAATACTCGTGAGCACCTCTGTACGTTTGCTTTGTCAGGAGCAGTAATCACATCCTTCAGAGTCTTCATGTCAAAGGCGGTAGAGATGTGACGTTTGCAGACGAGTCGGTCTTTTGAACGGCTCTTTGAAAGGAGCGGCTCCTCAACGTCCAACTCCCTTCAAAGAGAAATAAATCCACCATCTTTAACAGACGGGCGCCGCACAAGTAATGCTCGGAGATGGAACTAAAACAGGCTGAGTTAAACACATTCAAACAGGGATTACAACCATACAGCTTTTTACAGAACTGGTTAGAAAACAATGATTTGCAAATCCCTCTTCACCTAAATTAACCGAATGCACGACAAAGACAATAAATGTAAAGTTCAAACCGATAAACCAATTTTTTCTTTTTTTGCAAATATCTTGATAATTGTTGAAGCTTTGGAGGTCTGGAGGTGAAGTTTTTCACATTCTTGCTTGATGGACCTCTCAAGTTGACCTTCACTCATCATATTTGTACCTCCATTTTCAATGGCAGACTGGTCTGGTCTGCAAGAGGGTCAGTCTCGTATCCACACTCTTTGACTCTGAAGCCTTTCTTGTGTAGCATGTTCAGAATGTGTCTTTGCGTTGTCTTGTTGGAATAAGATGAGGCTCCGATAGCACCAGATGTTGCTCCTAAACCTTTATGTACCACCTAGACCTTAACGGATACCGGCTTTTGTACTTCGACCTGATCACAGTCTGGTTGGTCCTTTTCTTTTTCGGGACACCACGTCCATGATTTCCAAAAAGTTTTGGAAGGTGTGGATTTATCAGACCACGACAGGCTTTCCCACTTTGGGTCAGTCCAGAGAGGCGTTGTCGTTTCTGGCTGTTGTTGATATCTGTCTTTGTCTTTGCGTGGTAGAGTTTCAACTTGATGTCGAGACAAACTGTCTTAACTGACAATGGTTTTCTGAAGTCCTCCTGAGCCCACGTTGTAAAATCCTTTACAGAATGAAGAGGGTTTTTATTGCGGTACTACTTGAGGGGTCAAAGGTCACTGACATTTGATGATGGTTTTGGGCCTTGCTTCGTATGTGCAGAGATTTCTCTAGATCTTCTGAATGATATTATGGACTGTAGATGATGAGCTCCTCATTGAGAAACATTTTAATAACTGTTGTAAACAAAGTGGAGATATAAATCTAACTCCCTGACATATGTCATGTTTTTAAAAATCCGCTCATATCAGACCAGGTTAACACCTTACCTCTGCTCTGATTCCCAGTCTGTTCTGTTTGTCTTCGGCATCATCTATTCGACTCAAAAAAATCGAACCCACCTAAATTTAAGCTGTGAAAGTACCTTTGGAGACATTTACGGCCCAAATGCCACTGACGCTGTGTTTGCCTATAAACTATTCACTGCTGGCATATTCGGGGCAAAGATGCTGACTGTGAGGAGAAACGACCCGAAGAGTTACAGTGTGAGAGTTTTATTAGCCGAAAGAATGAAAGATATATTCAGGGACAGAGAAAAAGTGAGGACTTCACAGAAAAAAATAAAAGACCGGCTTTGAGGAGATGTCTATATTTCATTTCAGGTATTCTCTGAACATACTTGGAAACTGTTTCACAATGACAGATATTATCGACCGACTCTTTTTTATTTATTCGTTGCTTTGCTTAACTTCAGAGCACGAGAAATAAAAGGAAACCTCATTCAGTCGATCATACTGTAGCAGGATTATGAACTCAGTGGAAACACAACACACACATGAATTATGATAAGTAAGAAGAGAAAACAATCAATAAGGAGGCCAGTGTTTTCATGTCCTGTCTGGAATTTCATGTTAAGGCGTGAAGGCTATTGATTTTCTACGCTCTCTTTAGTCTCACCCACATGGATCACCAAATTCAGGCTTATTTTTTCTGGTTTTATTGGGTGTAATAACAGGTTTAAGACAAAAGTTTACACAAACAAACTTTGCCTGTGCGAGGAAGCAGTGAGGGGCAAGTGAGGTGAAATAAAATGGGAAAAATCAGCTTTGTTTAGTACGAGAGAAAACTGCACAAAACTTGAGATGGATGGGGTGGCAATCTGAAAAGGCTGCTGACTGTAGGGTGACCATACGTCCTCTTTTACCCGAACATGTCCTCTTTATTGGGGGGCTGTCCAGGTTTGTATGGCTTTGTCTGAGTAAGTTTATAAAATCCTTCAAATGTCCGCGGTTTTGTACGTAAGTTTACATTTTGTGTCACATGGACTTATTGAGTTAGAAGCGCATAAAGGACACTCAATCCAACCCAAAAAACTCCTTAAATTGACTTTGTGCAACTCCGTGACTCCACCCCCGCAGGAGGTCAGAAAATGGTCACCCTAGATGACTATATATATATATAATTTTTAGCCATGAGAGTCATCAACAACTGTCCAAATTTACCTGCAAACCTCTAGTAATGAAATCTAAAACCAGTGTAAAAGCTGAAGAGGTTGCAGTACCTTAAGCGTCCACTTGAGGCTGGCCCCAAACACATTGAAGCTGCATACACACCCATTCAAACAAGCTCATCTTTACGGCAAAATAGCTCAGTACAAGAAAATTATTTTGTTTTATTTTGAAGGTATTACAAATTTCTTGGTTACAACACTGCAAGATAGAAGCTCGACCACATTGTTTGTATTGTAAATATTACAACAGCGTGGCTCTGTAGTAGAAGGGTCCTGGTTAGAAAGCATCATGTTCAGAGGGACAATGGAAACGTGAACTAAACTAGCCCACCTGCAGTCCCAACTTGCTAAAAGACTTTTTGTTTTCTGCACTTTTTTCAATGGAATAATAACAATTAACACACTGTACTAACCTTATTAGCATACCTGCTAACACTCCCATTTTCCCGGGACTCTCCCATATTTCAGACCTGTCTCCTGCCCACCTCCTGTATTGTCATTCCTCCCGAGAATCTCCCGTAGTTTGCATGTTCCACGTTTGTTCATGAATCGGATCACTATATTTGTCCAAAATTGACGGGTTTCTAGACAACCGAAGTTTCGATGAGCAATCTAATTACAAACACTCTCATAATTAGTGTTAGATCATTAACACCAGGTAATCTGAAGCCATATAACGGGCTTGAAAACACCTGCAACCTCATTAAATATGAAGATAAGATAGCAGTCAAGTTAGGTGTGGAAGAAGACAGAGAGAGAGCTCAGAAAGAGTCTTTTCTTCATCACAGGAGGATCGGTCTCTTAGACAGCTAATCAGAATAAATGTGACAGAGTCGCAGCTTTGAGGCCAGAGAAGAAGGACTACTAAGGGCCTCAGTGCCACCTGGACTTCTCCTTCATCCTTTAACCCATGTTACATGCCCCACCGCACTCTGATCCCTCAGCGTGGACAGCCATTAATCATCCATTAATCTTTATTTCTATTCGCTCCCACATGATTCACTGTTGTCCAGCCTAAAACACACACACAGCGCTCTTTCATGTTTTTTCCTCTTCTTCTCCTGTGGTCTCCGGCCAGTGCAATTTATACCGTAATTATCAAGGAGTTCCCTCATGGGTGTGTTGTCCTTTGAGGGGAGAAATGATAGGTCTGAAACTGACTCTGAGGCCTCAGATAGATGTGTTGTTTTATCTTTGCTCTTAGCTGTACAGCCGAGTAAGGTGTAAAATCACAGACAAGCCCCCATCCTCCAACCGTAAACCTCCACCCGCCGGGTTCTCGGGCAGCAACAGTTCTGGGGAATTCATGCAAAACACAGACTAATAATAAACATCGCACTCAGGCTGTGGGATTCACAGCTTGTGAATCAGTCGTCACAAAAAGTCTCTTTTAATTTCTTATTTGCAGCCTTTATGATATTTAATGACACGCTAATGTGTCGGAGTAAAGCGTCTTTAGAGGGTGACATAAATAAACCCCCACGCACAGATGGCGAAGATCTCTTTACAAAAGAGACCTTCAAAACGCCTCAGATCATAAACTGTTTGACTTTCACTGTGAGTTTAAAGTCAGTTTTTCATCGTTAAAACCTCTAAAAGTTTATCTGTATAAACATTTATCTGAAACTGCAAAGTCCCGCAATTATTCAAACTCTAAACTATTGGAAATGATGTTCAAGTAAAAGAGCTGAGGAGTAAAGATGTCTACAAAATGACTGTGAAACATGTCTTGACGGTGGTGATGGTGATGATATGATGAATGTGGATGAACCAGCAGCAAAGATGGCTGCTGGTTTTAGAGAGAGTGGCTGAAAGACTCTGATTGGCTCTGCTTTATGAATGGGACGACTTTTGGTGCTCATAGTACAGGAAGGAGGTCGAAGATGACGATACCTTCACCTCAGCATCCATGAATTTTAGGCATCAGAGTTTAAAGGGATATTCCGGCGTAAAATTAACTTAGGGTCTAACACACGGTAACAATGAGTCCTTCTCTAGTTATACCAACTTGAGTAACGACCGCACGATAGCAATACAGAGAGCCACCCGCTCAACCAAAATGCCACTCTATAACCACAAATAATGCTCAGAACAGCACCTAACTTCATCAACAGGACATATAGGGTCACAGACATAGTACTAGACACCAAACATCTTTTTAACTTTGACTAATTTCTCTAGCAAAGAGACTAAACACAACTCACCTACTCTCTTCCAGCAGCCGCTTGTTTGTACGGAGACGTCCAGGCAAGTCCATCGACGGCATTGGGGTGATGCAGCTCAAGGAAGAACATTTATGATCATTACTTTATCTTTATCATCAGACACGGTAGTTCTTCTGCCTTAGCATCTCGGTCTGATTGCATTTCCATTAAGTAATCATCATAAATGTTCTTCCTTGAGCTGCGAAACTCCAATGCAGTCGATGGAATCAGCAGCAACAATCGGCTGCTGGAAGAGAGTAGGTGAGTTGTGTTTAGTCTCTTTGCTAAAGAAATTAGTCAAAGTTAAAAAGATGTTTGGTGTCTAGTACTATGGCTGTGACCCTATATGTCCTGTTGATGAAGTTAGGTGCTGTTCTGAGCATTATTTGTGGCTATAGAGTGGCGTTTTTGTTGAGCGCGTGGCTCTCTGTATTGCTATCGTGCGGTCATTCTAAAGTTGCTATAACTAGAGAAGCAAGCAGTCGGCAACATATATGCCGGTATATCCCTTTAAGATACACCATACGTCCGTCATTGTCAGTGGGTCCAACTTACCAAATAGATCTTGTTTGAAGTCCTGGATAGCCATCTGGTCTTTTCTCGCCTCTTACATTTCATTTTATTCTCTTGACACTCAGTCCGACTTGATTGGATTTAGGAAAAGCTTTGAGAAACTGAAATTGTATGATTGAAACATATTTATGCTTTATATTGTGTAGATAAGATAAATACTCGGATGGATGTAGTGGATGTGGATTCCCCCAGCAGCTTAGAAAGAAAAAAATCCCCCTCTGTCATTGATCACGGCGGCTTTTTCTCCTCGATACAGCCGCCTGACTTTTCGAGCTCTGTAAAATAAGAAGAGAGACGGATTTAACTCTCACCGCTGGTGTGGCTGACATCTCCACACCGGAGGTCATCGTAATTCACTCACAAAGTCAATACTGCTGTGTTGTCAAAACAAGAACCATCTTGACTAGCATTCAGCCGTCCTGTAGAGACTCTCATATCAGTACTTTGGTTTGGCAGTGGCAATTTTTCTATCACAGCGCTGGTCCTCTCCAGATGGCAGCAGTATTACCTGGGAAGGTCAGACGCCCATCAGTCTGGATGCTAACGGTATTTACAAGCATACCTCTGTAATCCAGGGACATGTGGGGGAAAAATGTGACACATATACCTCGAAAGAGACTCTGTGTTTGTTCAACAAATATACCTTTTATGTGCGGGGTCTGTGTTATGACACAGTGGTTAACAGAGCGTGAGACGTGACCGTTTTTTAAAAGGATAAGATTCACTTTGTTTGATCGGAGGTAATTCAGCACTTTGAAGTGATTTGATTTTGTATTAGATATTGGCAATAACACCGAAAGACTTTAATCTCTTTAGATCAGGGCGATGTTTTGGTCGAGTCACCTTTTCTCCATTCTTAGTCTGAGTTCTCATTTTCAACACTGTTAAACAATCAGATAAGACTTCTGTCCTCGTCCCCTCCTGGGACTTGTGTCAGGTTACGTATTCAAGGTGTGTTCAACAAATGCCTGGATGTTTCGTGTCTTCTCGTTTGATTCGTTCATAGGACTCACTCCGTTTGTACACAATGACACGTCTATGATAGTGCCCAGGGGGTTTCCTTCACGCCATCTTAACCTGTCAGGTTGGAGTTTGTCCAACGTGTTGTCATCGAGCAGACGCTTTTACCCGGAGCGATGAACATTCGAGAGCGAGGAGAATACGAGCAACGATGTAGACAAGAAGAAACATGATCAGTAACCTCCACATTTTCCAACTAGTTCATCGTTGATAAACGTCACCAAGGAAGCTCCATCCTGATTGGCGACCAGGATGTGAGTCATTCACTTGAATCCAAGTTCTTTTGCGAATTTGTGAATTAAGCAAGTATCCATCAGGGTTCCTAGACGGTAGGAATCTCCATACTTCTCCATACCCTACTGTTTAGAATTATTTTTAGGAAAAACCGACTTTTCTGTTTTAGAGAAAATATATATTTTTTTACTGTCTTAATAGTCTTGAAACCTAAATATGTTTCCATACTTTATTTTTCATTTACCAAACTTTTTATGACCTGGAAATTGATGAAATTACTTCCATACTTCTTCATACTTTCCTTGCGTAGGAAACCTGCCCGATTAAAGTCGTACATTTGCATCAATCACATATGTAATCTGCAGATTTTGCCACATTCATGTTGCCTGACAAGAACTATAGTGACCTCTCACGTATTTGCATTGACTTTATATATAATTAAATCAATATTTTCACATAAATACAAATAAAAGATCGTATTTCAGAATTATAAATACCACTGTAAAATGCATCAGAATGAATATTTTCATACGTATAACGACTCAAGCGCAGAAAACCTCAAATTACCATCAAGGTCTGTGAAGAAGTATTTGTACTTTTAGATACAGTATGTCTTCATTATTTATCGTATTATTCTTTTATTCAAATATCTGACAATAGAATTGTACAAGAGCACTGAAACCCTCTCTGCACATTTAGTATAAACCTATCAAAACCACTTTGTACTCTGCTCATGTTTCCCAGAATATCTTAAAGACCCTTAAGTTTAGAAATTTACTCATTTTCAAATATAACAAGAGTTTTTTTTAAACAAAAGACATAATATCAGTTTAACTTTATCTGTTTCTTTCAAGTTAAACAGTTAAACGTATATACCGGCGGCGGCGGACTCCTTTCATCTGCAGAGTTCAGAGGGTTAATATCCGTCCTCCATCAGCGCGCTGCAGGTGTCATTATTTGAATGTCAAAGACAGAGGAGCTTGTTTAAGTGGTCAGAAAAGCTTTCCGCTGTAAGTAAATGACGAGCAATAACAAGGCATGAAAAGGACACAAGAACAATCAGTTATAGAGCTCTAAAATTACCCGGATTGTTTCCCTGACATGTGTCCCAGACAAGCCATCTTTGCAGTGGTGCAAATAATGACCGTAATCTTTCAGTCACAGAGGCAGAAGTAGTGTGATGGCTTTATACTGCGGCGGGGAAGTCTCAAGGAGAGAGAGAGAGAGTCGTGTTGGGTTGTTGGCTGTGTGAAACATGTGACAGAGATACCTGAGGCTGTGCTTTAAGTCCCGTCTACCATCAACAATCCCCGTTCTCTCTTATTGTGCGATCTGGCCTTGATTCCCGGTGATTCAGCCGACGTTAACCACATCGTTCACAGATCAGGAGACAGTTGAGGCGGTGTTTATCTTTTGAAATGGGTAGTTTTGAAAGGGAACAAGTCAGGCCTTGGCTTTTTGAGGTTTTATTGGGTTGGCTTGTGAGATTTAAGGATTAACTCACTGGATGGACCCAAAACGAGCAGCTTTACCTGAAAAGATTGTGAAAGTGACCACATCCAGGATGCATATTTGTATTCGGTGAACATCTGTGCTCTGTCAAGTCATCAGGAAGAGACATGCTACCAACATTTACTGAAAACATCCCTGATGCAATCCCAGGATATCAGGTGAAACTGGAAAAAAAAACCTTTGCAGCATTGCATCTTGCAGATTTCTTGCGTTGGTTATGAGGATTAATGCAACCAACATTTCTTTGCATTAGCTCTGAATGCAATTAAAACACACAGAGAATCACGATCATGGCTGTAAAACATGCTTTTGGTATCTCCAGATCAAAAGAGGCGTCCCCTAAAGAGTTGCGCCCATGTTAGACTCGTGTTGCACCATCATTTCTCACACTGAAAGGACCAAACTCTGACTTAAGAGCGGGTCTGTGGTGACTTTAAGGGAAATCCTGAAAAATACGGTAACAACTTTCAGGTCGAATCAGTTCTGACTGAGTTTCTATCTTGATGTGTGCAGCCTCTCCTTCCTCGCCGACATACCTGCACCGACAGGACCTGTTTCTCATTGTAGCAGCGGCACCGAGATGCCTTTAAATAACCTCAAAAATCAAATCAACTCTCTTTAAAACCTCATCCATCTTGGAGTCAACATCAAATTCAGAGGCAAAGGACTGTGTCAGAGTCGTCAGGGCCATCTTTTTCACTCCCCTCACCTTCCTCTCTGAGTGGAAATTTCAGAGTTATTTCACACTCGCTTGAAGGGATAACTGTGTTACTTTGCTCAAGCTGCTACTAGTACTGGCACCGCTGTAGCCCAGAGTTAATAAATGACAAGCAAGCATTATGAGAAATGTAATGGAAAAGGAAATAGCAATGATAACATGGCGCTGAACTCCAACATTTTCAAATACCCACTGCTTATAAAATGATATTGTGACTTCTACCCAGTCCTCCACCGGGGTCTCACAGTTTTTCTGTTTTGGGCTCAACTCAGCTGGCCTTATGAAGGAAGGAGAGCTCCTCCAGTACCTTCAGAGGAGAGATTTTAATGCTTATGTGGGTGGAGGCCGACGAATATTTGCATGAAACTCAACAAGAAGGAAAAGAGTTTCCTGCAGGTTAAAAGACGTGGTAAAAAGTCACGGACAAGCATCTAAATAAGAATTAGTTCAAACTCGGTTTATAGCGATGACATGCAGACAGTATAGACAGCATTTGTTCACCTAGTATATGAAGGGATTAAAGGGCAAATCTTCAATTCAGAAAGTTTATGCATAAAAAAACACAAAAACTGTCAGATATATTTCCAAGAACTCGCAGCGGAAGATTTAAAGTTCTGCAAACGCCCTTTAGGTCAAATTACCGCCATCCTGTAGTGGCTGTTTGCAACTACAAAGTACAGCTTAGGTGATTGTCCAAGACACATTTCACTAAGAGGACTATAAAGTGTATCGTATTGTAACGTATCGTAAATATTTACAAACCTTAACACCAGTTGCAGATTTAAAGCCCTCCAAACACCCTTTTAATTAAATTACTGCCATCCTGTGGTGGCTTTATGCTACTACAAAATAAATTTTGTTTGATAGTCCAAGACAAATTTTCCTAAGGGGACAAAAAAGTGTTTCATATCATATCGTATCACATTGTAATGTATTGTATATATTTAAAAACCTAAAAACTAGTTGAAGATTTAAAGCCCTCCGAACACTCTTTGAGTTAAATTACTGCCATCCTGTGGCGGCTGTATGCTACTACACGGTTACAGTTTGGATGACGTATTTTCAAACCTAAACAGCTGTGCTCGCTCAAAATCTATTCGTAGCACTTATTGACACATGAAGCTTTGGTGAATATGGGTATTTTACAGAAACGTAGAAGCTCATTTTTATCTCACTGTTGCAGAGATTTTTGTTGCTGTTTCTCGGGGTTCGGGTTCGAGCAGCCTTGAATTTCTGAACGCACACAGACAAAACCTCCGGTCGTAGTTACCTGTCCTTCTGTTTCCCATACTCACACATTTCTCACTGTAGTTAAAGAAGCTGCATTATGCAGAATTAAAAACACATTCCACCTTTTCTGTTTCCTTTTTCTCGCGCTTTACTTCAACAGAGCGTCTACAACAGCTCGACTTGTTACGGTGTAATTGAAGCAGGCAGATTATTCCTGCCTTTGGAGCTGTCCGTAAAAGTAGAAATCCAATCTGCTTGCTTTAAGCCTCCCTGAAATCACTCCCACCTTCGCCCTACCGGTGCCGCCTGTAGGTTCACTTTCTCGCTAGAGGACACCTTAACATTAAAATCCTCCAACATCCAGCCGTGCAATCTGTGACCTTTTGAATTTACAGCCTCCCCTCTCTGCACAAATTCATCAAACATTATCTCCAATCGACTCCCGTATTTTCCTGATACGATGAACTAAGTTCTTGGCAGAGTAAAGTCGAGAATAAAGGAGTATTCTTGGGAGTAGTGAGTGCGAAGGAGTGTAAAGAATGAATCACGAGTTGCTTGTTTCACTCGGTTGGCAGCAACAATCTGCCAGACGGCTTACTGGGATTCACTCAGTGTCTTATTTGAATATACACCAGGCCGAGGAGGAACACCTTATCAAGGAGATGTGAGCAACTGTGATAAATTTGCTGTATCCAGCTGCATTGAGCTGATAAGCACCCAAATTATATTCACTCTACATGCCTGCTCTAATTAAAAAGAGTCTCTCAGGTTTCGGCAAGTCACCATTTGATGTGTTTAATCTTTGTTAAAAATGATGCAAGTCGTGCACAAAATTACCGGATAGCTTTCCCAGTTTTCAGAGTAATAAATAAAGAAATAAAACGATAGAATATCACATGGATGCATGCCCGCTTTTTTCCTGACCACCTGCTGCTTTCTGCACAGTCTCTGCACACGGCGGCTGACATCATCAGTATTCAGACCGCCGTCCCCCCCTCCTGTCGCTCCTCACAAAGGAGCCCTCGGGGCATTAGTGGTGAACCTCTACCCACATGGGACCTGTTGGTCCCCCTGACACCTGTCTCCCTCAGGTTGACCCCAGTCACGCTATGGATCACGGTACCATGCCTCGGAGCCTGAATCTGCCCGCCTGGTCGGACTTTGACGGACAGCTACCACTAGCCGACATAACATGCAGTGTGCTTTTTGGAAAACAAAGGAAATCTTCCAGAGAATGAATTAAGGAGTATCACCAGAAAGGATCATATTTATTCCAACACGTCTGGTCACTTTCACGCTCCGGTTGACTATTGATTGTCGAGGCCTTTCGCTGCGAGATAAACTTAATGGAATTAAAAAAGTTTTCCAGAATTGACTTGGAAAAGGCCACGCTTGTTGTAAGCAAGGGAAAGAGTACAGAGCTGAAAAAACGTCGAGGCAGAAATCTCTGCCCGGCGAATCAATAACCATCACCATGTGCGACATATGATGTTGAAATCTTTATTTTCTTCTGTAAGTGCAAGCATGTAAAGGACAATGGAGTTTTGTGTGAAGCTCACAATGAACGGTCAGAGAAATGGAAGAATACTTTCTCGTCATAATGTCCTCAAATCATGGCTCACAGACGTCTGTTCTGCTACATCAAATCTTCTCCGTCCAGACGAACGCCGGTCCAGGAATGACAGAGGGTTTTGTTGAACGTTGAGGTTCGTGTTTCTGGTCTCATAGAGGGATCACAATAGCCGTGTTCTGTGGATCCAGTTCACTCAATACTGCTGCTGTTCCAACGTGTTCCTCATTACTCATTCATGTCGGCTCCTGTCAGCTTCAGATGTTTACAGTCAAATCCTCCTGAATGGAGTTGAAACGGCTTTACAGAGTCACATGTTTCATATTGATTTGAATGTGTGTAAACGTTTTTACAAAACATGTTTTGTAGCTGTTTTGGAAAGCGCCTCAGGCTTTTTTGTTTTTTTGTTGTCTGTGTTCAATCCACATTTATTATTGAAGAGTTTCAGCTCCAAATAAGGAATCAGCGTTTTTGAAATCTGCAAACAGATCTTAATTAAAAATAGAGGGTCTGGTTCTACAAAAATACCAATGTAAACCAATAAAGCATCACTAAATTAAAACATAAGCCTGATTCCAAAACATGCTGAAACATCATGTTGTGTGTTTCAACTGAAAAATGTTAGAATTGCATGATAAATATACAGCATGCTTACTCAATTAACAACTGGGAACCAGAGGGACCAGTTTCAGGAGTTTGGAAAATGAAGTATTTTCCCATCCTAGTCTGGTGTTGGATTACAGCTGACTTTATTCTTGTAAATTTACGACTTTTTTAAACTTAATTTAATCTTCTTTTTTTTGTTTTGTTAATGTGGCCCTCATACTCCATCGTAGGCTTGTAATTGAAAATGGGCAGATGTTTTTTTTGTTTTTTATTTAAATGAGAATTTTTTTATTTTTAAGGCCTGCTATCTTTGAATTCAATAATTAATTCAGTTCAAATGATTTACAAACCATCAAAATCTGTTTTATTAACATTTCGAACATGCGTCCCATTCTTCTTTTTTGGATCGGGGTTATAAGTGACTTTTTTTCCTGTCATATTCAGTCGACAGGTTTGGAGTTCCTCCACATACATTTACATTCAGGTCTTGTCCCACTCGCTATCCTTCACCTGATGTAACCTGCCACATACTTTACTGTACACAGTCACACTTTCAGTCCCTGCAGGGTTACATCAGCCAACTTTTCTGCTGATAAAGCAAACCGTTCACTTGTTCCACATAGTGAGCCATGAAAGTGACTCTGTGTTTTACATCCAAACTGCACACAGTCATTTACCCCGCAGCAGCAGCTGAAAGGACCGCACAACTACTTCTACAAGTTACCGTGAGCTCACTGCCTTTTCATTTTGAACCACTGAGGCGCAAATATCACAATACAGGTTCCTTTTTATTTTACCTGTAAAAAGCAGAGAAGGGGAAAGTTCAAACATGGTATTCCTCAGGTGTTAATCACCATCATTTACATGTCCTCTTCAGCACAATGTTTCCTTATTAGCTTCAGATTTATGTGAGTGTGAATGGATGTTGACGCCTCAGATTACAGGAAGTCAGGGTTAATTTACCCCTAATTTGCTGCACTCGACAAACGGCTCAGTAATCTGATCCGGGGACTTTGTTGTTCCAGATGTGTGGATTAGAATAGCCTCTCTATGTTCATCCATAGAGATTATCTTCATCTCATTGCCAACACCATAGTCAATGTGTTTTTACAGCCGCAGCTTAAATCTGCTATACAAACAAAGCCATGAAGGCTTCCCTGAATTACCTGTGGTTACAGTCTACTTAATACATCAGAGACATGAATATGTATTTACACTCCTCAACACCTTCTCTTGTCTTTATGTGCTGTAAAAGCAGGTTGACTTTATTTGTGCTCCTTTTTAGCAGGTTTTTCTTTAGGTTTTCATTTTTATGCAAAATTAAAGTCAGTTTATGTAATTAATGTAAGGTAACCAGATTTCTGTAATGAAATCCAGGGACATCCGGAGCAGGAGGGGTTATAGGCTGCGTGATCACAGACAACGTCTCGGTACTACTTGAAAGCGGTGCATATATATATATATATATATATATATACTGTCAAAATTGGGGATGCTTGTTCCGCGATCGTCCTCTCCACTTTTTAGAGTCTGGTCTGCATAGCGGGGCTCTGGGGGCGGAGCTTGGAATTGTGATGTAAGAAATCTCACTGTGTCTGAACCTGCCGTTTGGGTCTGTGGAAGATTCATAAGGATTTGAAAGCAGCAAGTACTTAGAAAGACAATTTGAACTTATTTTACTCATGACACATCATGTAGCATCAGAAAAATGAACATATGAACATATAGACAACAAGAAAAACATGATTTTCATCAGAGTGGGTCTTTAATGATTATTATGCATCACAGATATGAAAGTTCATCACTGAGCAGCTGTGATCTTCACATTGCCTTAAAACAGACATTACTCTGTAGTGGAGGCCACTGCATAGGCTCAAAATCACCTCCAGAAACGAATGTCTTTAAGTACAGTTTGTAAAACTGTTGTAGGATCTAGGTCGATACTTAAAGCTACTGAGATGCTTGACATGGACTAACCTGGTTGACGCGCCGCACGACTAAGTTTTACCGTGAGTTGTGATGATCATTGAAAGTCCGGACGCTGTTCCTCAGATTCAGCAAACTAAACATTTATTGCGATGAACATAAACAAATCCATTTTTTGCAATCAATATCCAACACTGGACAAACAAGGAAAATGCCAGCAGTTAGCGCAATGACAGTTAGCGCCATGATGGTCAAAAACCCTTTGCCCTTCTGGGTCAAACACCAGCCCACAACAGTAACATGGCTACCTTTGTTTCTGAGCTCCCAGATAACAAAACAGCGACACCCAGGGCACAGAAAGTGAACTTCAACTCATAATATGTATCACAGCAACATATTTGGCTCCTACAACTGTAATGAAACCATAATCATGATCCTTCAACCATCAATCCCTACAGATACTTACTTTTCCTGAGGGGGGACCTCACATATTGAAGCCAAACAACCCTAAACTGCTCTCTGCAGGTAGAGGAGTCCTGTGGTCCAGACCTGTCACCACCCAGAACTCAGGTAGGGGACAATATCTCACCTGTATGTGTGTAAATATGTATCCCTAACTGATAAACCTGCAGAACGGGAGGATTAACAGCAGTTTTTAACGGTTGAACGCAGAGATATTTACCAAAGATAAAGACCCTGATGTGGAGTTTCAGTCTGCGTACACTTTCAGTAATTAACAGGAAATTAAGTTGTGTTTGGACTCCATGTTGGGCCGTCTCCCTATCTCCTGCATGGAGCCTCCTGTTCCAGATAATGATGTCCTCTGCATTTTTTCCACGGGGGAACATTTCCCCCGCCATTCATCAAAGTCCACTCCTCTGTGTACGCTCTGTCATGCCACACTTTCCTCTGCAGCGCACCAGGACTGGGATGTAAGGCCGGTACCGTTGCTTGTCTTGTGACGCCCGGTCCTCCTGGTGAGAAATGACACTCAATTTGTTTCCCATCATGCTACCTGGGTAGCCACGTATGATTAACGTACCCCCGCTAAGTGACCCGTGACGTGTTTTTCTCCCATTTTGACCGGGTGTGCTCAGGCAGGCGCGGCACATGCAGCCTCTGAGTCACTCTCAGCGGATGGTAAACTGGATTTAACCTCTCTCTCTCTCTCTCTTTTTTCCCCCTCTTATTTCCTTTCTGCACACATCTGGCAAAGTCTGCACTCCTCTTGGTCTTTTAACATGTAACATAATTTCCCAAACTCCTCCGAAAAACTGTTGGCAAGGCTTCTGAGTGTAAAGATTTGCTCTATTTGCAATTCAGCCCACTGGAGAAAAACCTTTCTGACACCATTACTTTTTGAACACAGTCATGTACTTTCATATTTTTTAAGTGCAGCGGCTGAAAAATACGGCATCATGCAGAAAGCAGCCAGGTGAGCTCCTTACACCAACTGGAAGTTTGATAAGGAGTCAAAGAAATTCAAATCCGTGCTTGTTGCACAAGAAAATGGGAAAATGCTTCATGTAATGCGACTACAGCCGAGTGATTCTGCTCGTGATTGATAAACAAATGAAAGGGAGATGCTGGAGGAAGATGGGCAGTGTAAATTAAGAATATGGGAGGCAGAGGAGAGGAAAAACGGAGCCGGGTCCCTCACAGATGTGTGAAATGTGTTCTTGTTGGTCTTCAGGGAGGAGAATTGGAAAGACTAGACGACAGTTTGGGGAGGCACAGAGGGAAAGAGGAGATCTGTCTTCCACAGAGACCTTGTCTGTGAAAAGAAGATATGAACGGGACATGCTTATAGATCCATGGACAAAACAGGGCATGCACGCGTGAACACACACACACAGACACACACTGAAGAAGAGGAGGAGGAGGAGGGCAAACTTCCTAAACACAGCTCCCTTTACTTGAAAGAGGACTCGAAGCCTTCATAGTGCTGAAGGAAGGAAAAAAATCATGACGGAGTGAAGAGCGTGAAGTCACAAATGTGAGCTCGGGGAGTAGAGAAAATAGCAGGATGTCACACGCTAAACTGAGAGTCTTCTCTGCTGCAGGAACAGAAAGGGAACATATTCATCAGATCAACTCTTTAAAAGTTGAAGGAAATCCTCTCAGTTAAAACTGCCAACGTAGACGTATAATCTAGACTTTGAACACTAGATTTTTTAAACATTCTGATTTCTACAGACATAAATATCCAAAGTTTCTGCCAATCATTTCCTGGATTATTCGATGTTATATTAGCGGTGTAAGTGGATGGTTTTGGTGAATGCATGACCACTCCTGCAGAAGTGAGTAACCCGGATTGGCTCCGTCCTTTATCCACCCTTCAGTTAAGCATTTCATAGCTCTGCACAGATATTAAAGTATTGCAACAGCGTCCTGCAGTACCTCCTGTTTCCACTCGAGGCTTGTGGATGATATCCAGAGCTGTAGCTGTCATCATCATTTCTTTATCATTTCCTTTCAGTAATAATCATCATATTAATCATTTTGCTCTGCAGACACAGTAGTTCTTCTGTCTTAGCATCTCGGTCTGATTGTATTTCCATGAAGAAATGATCATAAATGTTCTTCCTTGAGCTGCGACACCCCGCTGTAGTCTGTAATGGACTGGCCTAAGGTCTCTGTACAAACAAGCGGCTGCTGGAAGAGAGTAGGTGAGTTGTGTTTAGTCTCTTTGCTAAAGAAATGAGTCAAAGTTAAAAAGATGTTTGGTGTCTAGTACTATGGCTGTGACCCTATATGTCCTGTTGATGAAGTTAGGTGCTGTTCTGAGCATTATTTGTGGCTATAGAGTGGACTTTTGGTTGAGTGCATGGCTCTCTGTATTGCTATCAGCAGTCGTTACTAAAGTTGGTATAACTAGAGAAGCAAGCGATCGGCAACATTCATCTCTCGACTGGGTGTCTACCTTGGTGTAACGGTGTGTTTGATCCTTACTTAATTTTACGCCAGAATATCCCTTTAAGTTTTGATTTCATAAACCTCCATATCAGAGACATTTAAATTTGAGTCTGTTGGGATAAAGGGAACATTTTTGGCTGCAGAATCATCAAAAACGAGTTGTTTGTGAACAGCTTTGAATCAAACATAACCCCTATTTTAGGTTGCTTCCTCTGCAGATTCTCCATTCAAACCGTCGCTGTGAGCGTTATCTCCCATATAATACTTTGATTCAATTTAAGGCAATGACGATTCAGGCTCAGTCGTCTTCTTAATATGATTCAAGATAAACTTTTCTTCTTTAAACAGCTCGTAGAAACGTCCTTGAGAGGGCTATTTTCCCTCTCTCCATTCATTTTAGGGCTCTTATTTCTCTTTCACTGCTGTTTGGAGTTCAATCACGTTCTTCTTTGGCAAAATTTCACCCCCCCATCTTGTGATTCAAGGGTTGTACATGATTGAACTGTTTCTTTCAAACGAGGATAATGGCAGCAGTTACATTTTCTCTCCAAAATAATAAGGAATGAAGTTTAGTAATGGGGTTTAATAATGTCCAAGAGATGCGGTTAGCAATAAAAATGTACCGCATTTATGCAGTGCCAGGGATTTTGGAGATTTGAAGGTTAAAAACAGCACCGTAAGACTTCTGAACCACATTTTTTTGTGATTAATCTGTCCTGAGGTTTTTATCTTAACCAAAAGCTCCCTCTCTGAATATATTCCCGAGTCCTGGAACCAACCCAACCTGTGCCCATGACCCCTATCAACACTGTCTGGGAGAAAAAAAGCCTCCATGAGGAAAAGTTAGCGGAGCTTAAAGGGTTCAAAGGCCTCAGATTAGAGTTACGGCAGAAGATTAGAAAGAGAAAACAAACTGTAGGTAGAGGCAGAGTCAGTCCTCTGAACTAGAAACTGTACCCCCTTGAAGTGGGAGAAGAAAATATACCGAGCGAGACATGAGAGACTAAGCAGAACCTAATTTAAATTGTGCTTTATTTTAGAGGTACAATGGAAAAAGACCACAGAGGATTCACTCATCAAACAACCCCAGAAACGTCTCCACGGGTTGGGGGAGAAAAAAGGAATAATAATTGTGTACACTCTGAAGGTCTAAGATTTGTCATTATAGAAAGGAAGAACAGAGGGAGGGAAATAATAAGCCAGGGATTTCTAACGTTATTTAAAGAAGTTCTAATCATTAGTCCGCTGTGCCGCACGGTCAGAGAAGCCACCAAGGCCTCCTCCTGTGAAAAGAACATGATCAAAGAGGATGAAGGTTAAATAAGTTTACTGTGCGCCAAGACAGGGAGCTGACGGAGGTTTTCTCTGCTGCTCACTTTGTGATGAAAAAAGACAAAATACACAGTGAGGAGAGGCAGAAGGAAGTCAAATAAGATGGTAGAAGAGAGGAAAGCTTAGGCTGTGAGTGACAACGAGCAAAAGGAGCCTAAAATGCTGAAGATCCAACTTCTCTGCAGCTTTTGAATGGACCTAAACCTGATAAAGTGTCCGTGTACTAAAAACCCTGTTATCACCATGTGGTTAAAAGGCTGATAGTTAACAAAACCATCTAGTGTAATTGACAAATGTTTAATCATCAATTATTAATTTGTGTAAATACTATTCATTTGCGCATCTAGATTTATGCGAATGAAGCGAGTGAATACTATTCATTCGCGCGAATGAAGCGAGTGAATACTATTCATTCGCGCGAATGAAGCAAGTGAATACTATTTATTCGCGCGAATGAAGCGAGTGAATACTATTTATTCGCGCGAATGAAGCGAGTAAATACTATTCATTCATGCGTCTAGATTCGCGCGAATGAAGCAGGTAGATGATTTTGCTCTTGCTTGGTGTGAGCGCCCCATTAGAGACGTTATCAAGTACATTGTGTGGCCACAAAAGGAAACAGACTCACTTTTCCAACAGACAATGGAATACAATTTGGTGTAAAGGGAGTGCAAAGTCGCTGCATGATGAAGAGCCCTTCATTTTTAATCAATTTCGTGGAAGTTTAACAAACAGCACAATTAAAGACAGACCGCATCAGGAGAATACCGCGCAGGTCGCTACAGAGATGCAGTATGAACAGTTAAGCTGTTATTAACACAGAATCAATTCACCACAACACCAATAAATTACTAAACAAGTACACAAACTCACCATGTGGTGTCGGGTGAGAATTACTCGCAGGTCAGCTCCTCCAGATGTCCTCGGGTTTGCCAAGAAAGAGCTTCCTCGGTTTTGCTGGCACAGTATGCGGTTCCTCACACCACAGCACAGCAGACTGTTTGTAATCTTCTCTTGGTAATGAACACTCACTCCTAAACTTATTTCAACACACGCTTAAATTATCTGAAAACGCCGCAGCGTCGCACTTGAAATCCTGTAAATACAGCATAGTGCTTTTTGTAGGCCTGTTCTGATTGCATCTATATTTGCGGCATTAAAATCTAAGACGGGATAATGTGCTTCGTCTTCGTACTTACATTTCTGTTATTCCTGTTTAGAAGAAGCTTTCATCGCCGGTGGAAATAATTGTGTATGCCACGGGTGATAAAACTTTATCTGCTCGCTCCTGGCTGTTAATATAA